CACTGGAGCGTCGGGGTTCGCGCGGAAGCTGGTGATTCCAATCGCCGTCATGTTGCCGATATCCTTGGGCCGGGTCCCCGGTGGATTGCGGCCTGGCCAGTTGCCCTCGTACCAGTCGACGAAGTAGTCTCCAGCACGCCGTCTGACCTGACCAGTGGTGAAGTGCTTCCCTTTGCGAGCCAAGTCTCGGTATGCCAGGAGGACACAGCGGGTCATGTCGGTGTCGTCGGTTGCATGGCCAGGCGACCAGTTGAAATGACCGCCGCCGATGATGTCCCAGAGACCCTTAGGATAGGACTTGGCGATCTGGCTATGACTCTGGAACTCGAGAGTTGCGCCCAGCGAGTCGCCGGCGTGAAGGCCCAACAGCGCTCCAATGGAGCGGGACTGGCGTCGCGTGTACTGCTTCTGGCTCTTCTCTGGCATTGCGGCTTACTTCTGACTGAGGGGTAGCGATGAAAGGGTAATGGAGGGGAGAGAATTGCAATCAATAGTTGAGAATTGATGAGATCTAATGGCTCAAAGCACTGCCACGATTCTCTTTGTGGATGCATGATTGATACTAGAGGCGGGGCTGCTGAGCGTTTACATCTCGAACGGGGAAAGAAGTTGCGAGCTGGTTTTTGTACGGCTGTTGGGCTGTTGGGTTAGTGAGGCCCTAACTAGACTTGGCGGTAAGAACAGGAGGTTTAATGAGATGCGACTTTGATCTCTTGAACCCAGGTACGGGGTGAGGAAAACATCGAGTGAGCATTGATATGACTAAAATCAATTGATCTTTGAGGTCCAGGTCGCGAGGAGAGGACCTGGTCCGAGGCCATTCAGCGAGTGACATCCCTGGCGATCAGTGCCTTCAGCCCTGTAGCCCTACAGCTTCTGCCCCCCGTGCCCACAGCGGATCCTTGGCCCTACATAACTTGCTGCCCAGACCTATGTATTCTGCTCTACAAAAGTCATAACAGTAGGGAGCAACATTGTGAGGAAGGAGAGGGAGCCAATGCCGTAAGAATACTAGGCGATGGTAGGCAATGGCAACGTTGACGGAAGAATGTCCCTGGACGAACCACCGGAAGGATCCCAGGCTATAATGAAGCTCTGGCTCAAGGCTGTTCCAAGAAAAGGTGCCGCTTCAGCCTGCTGGGCCCAAATCCGGGCTGTTCTTTGGTGCTGCGACAACTGCAAACTTCTCCAAGTCACGGATTGGCGCTCAATTGGTGAAATGAATGGCAATTGGGATGGATTACGTCTGAAATATAGGGTGTTTTAACCTGATTATATTACCCGGCCGTCTCCTAGGCCTGATCTGAAAAAGAGGAGTTCGGTGCCCAGGCTTCGAGTCTGGGGTTTTGCGGGCCTCATCTTTCTCCATCTATCGTGATTAGAGTGATCAAATAGACGAAGATAACGGGGAGAACCTACCGAATGACTGGTAGCGCTGCACATGTTCTTGACCCAAGTAGATGTTTCAGAGGGGATATGTTGGGGTCGATGCATTTAAGCGCTGACGTCTCATTGACGGATCTTGGTTCTTCCTTCGTCTCGCCCCGGAAATTAACGATCGAATTTACCCCATTTGAAAGCAGGTGCAGACATAACCTACGAATTGTTGTTATTACTTCCATTGGCTATCTCTTGGGGCAAGGGGAGATGCAGTACTACCGTCTTGCCGGTAAGTTTCCTCAAGTCGGGGGACTGGGGGCTCATGTTTCGGTGCACTCCGGATGTACTTAGGCTTCGTAGGCGAATGGAACAATATGATTCCATGAATTTCGCCCCTTGTCGAGCATTCAATGTTACTACAGACCCTGCAGAGGACTATAGCCGGTTTAGTCATGTATATAGAAGAAGGCATGGGAGCATGATCGCCAGCAAAGGGGCTTGCCTCTAGACGGCAACTCTCTGGTATTTGCTTCGACAATGATGCTGAAATCATTCCTCGGGCTCATCGCCCTTGCTGAAACATTATTAGTGGCTGCTACTGGTTCTAATTCCTCCGTTCCCACAGCCAAGACTCTGAATGGAACATACACCGGTGCCAGTTTGGCAGGCTGGGATCAAGACGCATTTCTCGGCATTCCTTTCGCGCAGCCGCCGGTTGGACCCCTTAGATTCAAATTGCCACAAAGCTACAATGAATCCTTTGATCGTAGCCGTAATGCCACTCAATATGGATACAGCTGCATGCAATATGGCCAAAAGTTTCAGCTTTCCGAGGACTGCCTTACGATCAACGTGGTTAGGCCATCCGGGACACCAAAGGATCCTTTACCAGTTCTGTATGTATCGAAATTTCTTTCAACTGCCACTTGCTAATTCAGTCTTCAGAGTTTGGATATACGGAGGCGGCCTGTATACTGGGAGCACAGCTGATCCCCAGTACAACTTGTCCGGTATTGTCAAGGTCAGCCAGGACATGGGCCAGCCTATTATAGCGGTCAGCTTTAACTACCGCGTTGGCATCTGGGGCTTCCTTCAGAGTTTCGACCTTCTGACCGAGGGCTCGAGCAACGCTGGCCTGCATGACCAAAGGCTTGCGCTTCGATGGATACAGGAGAACATTGCGGCATTTGGCGGCGACCCTGAGCAAGTCGTCGTATGGGGTGAGAGTGCTGGCGCCCAGAGCATCGCCTATCAAATGTTTAGCTACGATGGCCGGGACGACAAGCTATTCCGTGGTGCTATCCTTGAGAGTGGAGGAGTAACGGGTGCACAGGTATGGATTCATCGCATGTTCTGGACCAACTGACCACCATAGCTGACCTGGTACCAATAGATTCATGATCTGAGCTACTACAACACTCCGTACGAAAATTTCACTCGGGGTGCAGGATGCTGGACAGCCTCGGATAAATTAGCCTGCTTGCGGGCCTTGGACCAAGACACAATCTACAAAGCTCAGCAATCCTTGACGTGGAACCCAATCATTGACGGCTACTTTCTCACCGGCTACCCAAGCCAACTAATGAGGGAGGACAAGTTCAACCCGGTTCCTATGATTATAGGTGCCAACACGGACGAAAGCTTTGTGATGAACAAGCCCAACACGGATGAGGAGCTGTTTCGTGAGGCGTTCCGATGGAGGAATTACGCTATTAGCGCACCGACAATGCGAAAGCTGATGGAACTGTACCCCGACGATCCATGTTACGCGCCACCATACCATATCCATAATTGCACAAGGCTCGCGAGCAGAGGGTTACAGGGACGCCGAGCAGCCGCAATCGGTTCGGACATCACCATGATCAGCGGGCGCCGAAAGATGGCAGAGTTGTATACATCTGCTAGAAAGGACGTGTTCAGCTACCGCTTCGACCAGCTGGCGTATGGATACAACGAGTGGGATGGAGTGAAGCACTTTGCAAACGTCGCATTCAGCTTCCAGAATATATCTGGAAATATTGGCCCCAGCCCCCAGTATGATACCCATCTTGACCTGGCCCGGGCGATTGGCCAGGCATACGTGAGATTTGTATACGACCTCAACCCGAACCCGTCGGATAAGTATGGCAAACAGGAGAAGCTGCTGCCTGAATGGCCGGTATATGACAATAATGAGCCGAAGAACATGGTGTTGAACGCAACTGAGAATAGGGTCGAAGATGATACGTGGAGGAAGGAGGGGATTGCTTATATTAACAGCTACGAAGTCGCCAGAGAGCTATATGCATAAACCGCAAGTGGCAAATATAAAGTGTGTTCAATGTTGGCTGTTGATCTTGACCTTTGTCCTTTCGCCATGCTCTGGACGTCGACATTTGAGATATGGGATGAGATCAACTCCGAATCTTGTGGTAAACGATCAACTGCAAGTCCTAAGAAGCAAAAGGACCCGAGTAACGCAGAATTCCTCAAGAAGCAGGTCGTCGTGGAGAAAAAACAGTCGCTCTGTCTCTCCTTCTTTTCGTCTTCTTTTCGTCTAGCCTTAGCTGCCGTCTGTCCTACAGTTGCATCTCCGCTTTCGCTTCCCCCTTCGGAACCCTCCTCCCTAGGAAAGAAATCCTCGTCTAGCGACTGGAGATGAACGAAATTAGGCCAGACATATATGGCACGATATCCGCTCCATCGCGGTTAGACTACGCAAATATCTTTAATTACGAAATCCCTTACACTTAAATCCTCTGTGACGATCAAATAGAGACTTTGATATTATCTGGTTAACCATTGGGCTGGAGCCAGGGCAAATCATTGACAAGGAGAGTAGTTACGTAGCCAAGTGGGTGACACTGGAAATGGCACACCTAAGCACTCCCTTAGTATATACTTGATCTATTATCTTTTATAGCTTGCTAGGGAACTGCCAAAATAAATCAATGGGAAGAGTATCAAGGGCTCAGTATTAGTATTCTCTAATCTCCGCTTAGAATAAGCTACTTATTGGAATAAATAGATGTTTATTTGGGTGGTTATTTGGGTGATTATTTGGGCCTTCCTTTGGGTGTGCCATTTTCAGTGTCACCCACTTGGTAGCCAATGCTTCATGCCCGACGGTAGACATACTCTGGCCACTTGTTGAAGGCCCCATCTCTCTGTCGAATGAAGCTTCCTAACCATGTTTTGAGAGCACTGATCGGCTAGATTTACGTCATAGACACTCAAGTTATCCGGGCTGGAACATAAGGAAAACAGAGTGAAACATGGATAGGATGGTGGTCATCAGGGAACCGGGGTGTACCAAGTTGTCCTAGAACGAGAGAGCTGCAACTGTGCCACCACTACCAAAAGCATGTCTCAATATATTGACAGCCACGAATAGGTGTTGCCGTCATTAGTCACACTCTGATGACATCGTTCAGCGTCAGTCATGCGTACGGGTCGCGCGTGTCTCAGTTGCCACCGCTAGAACCTAGTCAAGGAAGTGGCCGCCGTCCGGGCAATCTCCATCGCAGTAGCTGTCTAGGGAAATTGTCAAAGTTATTTAAGCAATAAACACTCAACCATATCCGATTGGTGGTAGGTCCATCTATCTCTATACGACCTGAACTGGGCGCGACGTCATTCTCATGTATTCTCCAACAAAAGCAAACCTCGAGTCTCGCCCGGGTCGTAGCACCATTTGGGTGCATGCAGAGGCGTATGGTTTTGGCCCCAGCAGCTTGCTTCTTACATTGGCTCCTATGCTGCGAAAGCTGGCTTCCTCTATCGGACCACATACAACGACCGAGTATGTTGGCCAAGGACACACGCTGGATCTCAATACAGCACCACCATGGGATAATGTCCACAACTGCGATATTTCCACAACACAGGGCAAACAGGCTTTGGGCGACCTCTTTCATCTTCAGCAGCCGGTTCTCATTGTCGTTGCATGCGACGCTGCCTTCGTAGAGCTGCTGTCCAGATTTGGGGCTAGAAGGCTTGTTGTCATTGACCCCCTCATGTGGTACTGGCCATCCGTTCCTCTGGCTTGGGCAAATGCGAGCCTGGTGATTGCAGTGGACTACATTGGGGTCCGGGCTCGAGTCGACGAGGCAAAGCTGCACAACGCCGTCGTGGTTCCTCCTCTTGTGCCGTCTATCGGTCGATCGATTTCAAAAGGCCCGAGGAAGGGCACCTTGGTCAACCTGGGCGGCCTGCGAAATCCACACGCTTCTGCCGATGAGAATATCGCCTTTGCGAGCCTGGTGCTCTCAGTCGTCGAACAGGCCATCCAATCCCGAAATTGTCCTGATGATCTCCCCCTGCATTTCCTGACCAGTCAAGAAGTGTGTGCTGGGATGCAATCAGATGTGGCCACCTCGACGTCCCCGGAGAAAGCGCGCGTCCTATTATCGCAATGCAAAACAGCCTTCCTCACGTCGGGACTTTCGAACATTTACGACGCTGCAGATTGCGGAGGTCGCGTCGTCTTTCTGCCAGCCACCAGCAAGTCGCAGGGAGAACAGCCGGAGCTCATGGAACGAGATCTTGGCTGCACCTTTACGCGTATTGACTGGCATGAGCTGAATATAACGAAGCCAAAGATGGAGTATTCCCAGACGAGCTATACCGAATGCTCTCCCTTGATCCAAAGCCATCAAAAGGCGCTTATGGAGGATCGCGTAGCACAGGAACGTTATGTGAAAAGAGTTCTCGAATGCTACGAAGCGGAGGAGGACAACGCAAAGGAGTTGCAAATTCTCTTCTCTTGCTTCGGGCGTGATGATGGGACTTTAATTATGAAGGCCATCGTCGACGCGATCGCACGTGAGCCGGATGCTAGAATCAGAGTACCAAGCCGTCTTCAAAACTCTCCCCAGCCATCCATTTAAGTTGCGTGTTAGGTTGGCTCTATTGCTGTATATCATTAAGATAGACTTTCTTTGGATGCCTTGTTATCCCACCCTGGAATCTGATATATGCAACTCCTTTGGTTGCATCGCGCCTTGAGATCTGCTATTTTGAGCGCTAGAGCTTTTTCTGATGCTGGAATTGCGAATTGTTCGTCTTCTCTTTGGATGGAACATCAAGGCGAACGCAGTTTGGGAGCGCGCTGGCCACTGTGCCATGGAGGTTTCTTTATACGTGTAATTCTCAGGAGACTCCTGTTTATCCATTTTAGCGCGCTGTTCGAGGGCCAGTGGTCTTGTGACCCGCGCCACTGTTCTCGCACGCCAGAAAGGAAGACTCGGCCGAGAACGCTTGCAAAAGTAAGCAGAGTTATGGAAGCTTATTGACGGCTAATGTCAGTGAAGAAACGGCTTTAGATAGGCAGACGTCTAGCATGCTAAATAACTGTTATTATTGTGAACTCGGAATGATCCTGGTTGCAACTGTCAGCCGCCAAGCAGCAACTGCTGCGCCACAGGAACAAGCTGGAGGTGCTGATCCGTGTCCGCAACTTTACCCCTTTGGGAAGATTTTTGCGAATTATTATGGGCCTATTCAGCACTGAATTGTGCTTAAAACTAGCGATTGCCTTGCGTCATTGCTAAACTGCTTCTCATTTACCGAGTCTCCGCTCACGATCACGAACGTTGTAAACTTCTTCGACATTCGTCGTACGTCTTGTTCAAAATGACTGGGGTTCCTCGGTCTAAAAGCTGCCAGAATTGCAGAATCAAGAAAATCAAGGTGTGATCCAACAATAGTTTGAACTGATCGCAGAAACTCATCCGTTTGTCTATCTAGTGTGATAAGAATTGGCCAACATGTAACCAGTGTGCGAGGTCCAGGAAGCCGTGCCCAGGGCCGACGTCTCGTACCAAGTTTGTCCATTATGCCCAGAATGGTTCAGATGGGGATCTCCCGGAGTCTCCTGCCATTGGCGGCATGGACGATCAGAATCCGGCCAGCGTTGGACAGCAGAAAACAGTAATGACAAAGTACGGCCGGTCCAAGAAAAATAGCGAAGAAGATTCCTCCTTTGCCGTTTTCCGTCTTCACGTTCCCCGAGCCAATCTCACCACGAGCGCCGAACGCACTGGCGCGAGACTTGTGAATCTCTGGGAGAGGAATAAGACAGGGGGAATGGTTTTGCAGAACAGCTTCATACCACACCTCCCTGCAAGATTGTCCGGGAGCGCCTGCCTTCGCGACTGCACTGCACTCTTCTGCTCCGCCTGGAATGAGTATCGTCGTGGCAAACCAGTGGAGACCTTGCTGGACACTCCGTTGTATGGCAAGGCTCTCCGTAGCCTGCAACATGCATTTCAAGGGCCTGATGTTTATACAGTCGAGACGTTGGGAGCTATGGTTCTCCTCGAACGCTCCTACACCATATTTGGCAACCTGACACCAGGGAGTATCAAGGGCCATCACCGAGCAATCGAAACCGTACTCCAGAAGAAACCCCCTCTGAATTTGGAGGACGACCTGGAGGTGACACTCGCGTTTGAGAACTCCAATATTCTTGTGAGTTGTCCCAGACACATTAACTATTTAGCAACTAACATTCAGCGCAGCATACCGCATCCCTGAATGGGAATAGTAACTACATATCCGAAGACAGATGGAGAGAATTGCTCACTAAAGTAACACTCGATTCAATGGCTGACGAGGAGATGCAACCTTTTGCGGACGAGTCACTTTACACTATAGACCTGTTGAATACCTTGATCGAGTGCGCGCACTGGATCTCCCAGATCCGCGCCAATCCCCAGGAAAGTCGGGATCTTAGAGACATGGCCTCAAAAAGGTTACGAGCTCATTCAACTAGGATGGAATCAATGTGTTTAGAAGGCACTGCCAAGGCATTCAATATGGGATCTCTACGAGAAGTGCCAGATGAGGAGTCCATCACTGGCTTTAGGTTCGAGAGCACCACCGTCAAGTTTGCACAGGTCTATGCCAGCATGCTCAACTTCCAAATCATTCTCTGTCGGATGGTTTACGAGCTTGAAGTCATCGCCGGCAATGCTGGAGAAGACGAATATGCGGCTTACAAGGTTGCTTGCACCCAACTGTGGAATTTTGTCCCATATCTTTCAAGGGTAGACACCGTTGCAGCGCTTCACATGATCGGTGTCATTTTGCCCTCGCTGGAGGCCGCGAATGAAATCGAACTGGAATATATTGTGGACGAGTGCTACAAGGCGGATAAATATTCCAAGCGGCTGCCGCAGGACCGAGAGACATTCATAGCGAAGTCGATTCTGTTGGCAAAGTCTAGAACAGGTCGGCTGTGACCAGACAACTGATCGAACGGCACTGGCGTCGTATAGATGGAAAGATGTCTCATGTCAATTGTAGAATAGTAATATATAATCCATATCCATACATCTTCAAAAGGCGGACACCAAACCTCTGAGGCGAGAAAGCAGCCACGGGCCCTGAGACCAACCAGCCCAGATAATCCCACCCACTGCCATCCAGCTCAGAAGCCCTTTTGCAATGAACACCCTCTTGACAACCTGGAATGTTTTTCTTTCGTTTACTCTCGGGAACGGCTTGTCGGGGACATCTTGCTTCAGGTATTTACAGAGCGGCGCCCATCCTTCTTCAGCCTGAAACTCCAGCAAGGTCCAATTATTTGCTTTCGCATCATCCCTAACGCTCTTATAATACGTCGTGTACGCCGAGGCCTGGAAGATGGTGGGTTCATTGTAGAGTTCCTTGTAATATTCCACCACGCGCATGTTGAGCCGGTACCAGTGCCGGTCAACACTCCAAAAGAAGCCAACGTAGTAGAACCACGGCGAGAAAAAGTAGTCGAAGCTTTCGCGGGCGCTCTGCGCCCACGCCTCGGGGTTTGGCCGTCCATTCAGCACGAGCTTGGCATCGGGGAACATCTCCATGAAGTCCTTGTAGAAGAGGATGCCCGGCACGTCGCAGACCGCAGCATAGCCGTCAACGAGCGTGTGAAGCATCTTGTGGCGGGTTTCCTTGTCCTTCTCATAGCTAGCGTCGATGATGAGCTGCAGCCGCTCTGGATGGGGTATGATTTGTGCCATATGGAGACACGGGCCGTAGCCGATCTCCTCGAATGCAGCCTGGAGGGATGAGGTGGCTGCACGGGGGAGGCCGAGCCCGATGGCACGGAGAGGTGCCTTGTCAGTGGGCGCCACCCGGGAGTCGGTGATGAATCGGGGCATTTTGATGGTGGATTCCGTCTCTCTTTGATCAATTGAAGCTAGGTAACGAAAGATTGAGAAGAAGACAAGAAGCTTGCCGTTGGCTCACTCCTATTTATTAGAGCCCAAACTCTCTCGGTGGGGCAGTAAGCTTCAGGGATCGCATGCCAGTGACGAAATTTGCTGACAGCAAAATAGTATTAATAGCAGTATAGGCCGAGTATCTTGCTGAACGGAACCAACAGTCGAGGTCAGTTCATCGCAAGATGTGATACAGAAGGGGCAACTGACACCCAACACCCGAAGTACCATCCAGCTCACCAGCATGTCCACCTGGTTGCGAGCAAATCCTACCCAAAAGGAGAGCTGAGAGCCGGGGTAAATGCCGAGCAGGGGCATACCGAAAAGAGACAAGTTTGGCAGGCATCATCCTGTCATCTCCTGTTCATCCCTCGGCAGTTTGCTGATGCCCATGTCTCAAAAAGAGTGGGAGAAATAACCTTAGTTGAGCCATTCGTATCCATGCAGACAATATCAATTGGCGCGCCTCAGATGTCAGCTTCATTCCGGTATGGCCACCGCTGACTAGTCCCATCTCAAGAATCCGGAGGCCCGTCAATCGCGTCAGTCGTGTTGTGATCCCCACGTTTTGCTCCATAATATAAGTGTCTCTCCGCAGCTTTGGTTGGAGCGCCTACCACCCTCGGGGTTGCAATGAACCACTACACCGAATGTTGCGCGTTTATCCTGGCCTACACCATGGGCCAACTAGGGAAACTTGGGTATAAAATGGTGCGGCAAGCCCATTGAGCTCGTCGGAAGAAGGCCAAGCATTCAAAAAAGACGAAGAAGGAAACGGAGACAGCAACGATGTGGCTCAAAGGACTTGTAGCCACAGCCACTGCGCTCTTGGGTTGCGCACAAGCCCTCGAGACGTATGAGAGGAATCTAATTTTCCAGCCACCCTCAAATTACACCGACCCTCGCACTCTCTATCCCCGCACGGTCCAGCTTGAGGATGGCCGTCTTCTGGCCACCTGGGAAAACTACTCCCCTGAACCGCCACTGGTTTGGTATCCCGTGGTAGAGTCCTGGGACGGCGGTCTCACATGGGAGGAGGTCGGACAGGTGCATGATCAGGTCAACAACTGGGGCATGAGATACCAGCCATTCTTGTACGAATTGAGACAGGACCTTGGGGACTTCAAGGCGGGAACCGTTCTGTGTGCTGGCAACAGCATTCCGACGGACCTGAGCGAAACCAAGATCGATGTGTATGCGTCTACCGACAAAGGGCGTACATGGAACTTTGTGTCGAGCGTTGTTCGCGGTGGACGCGCAATCCCAAACAACGAAGAGACACCAGTGTGGGAGCCTGAGATTATGTGAGTGTTTGCAGTGGGCTATTGCGAAGAAACAAAGTGAACTAACTTTACTGGATGGCTAGTGTCTATGAAGATACTCTCATCCTATACTTTGCCGACCAGAGAAGCGAGCTTCACGGTCAAGAGCTGAGCCACAAGGAAACTAAGGATCTGAAAAATTGGTCCGAGACTATTACGGATGTGAGCTTTGATACCTACACTATGCGTCCAGGCATGCCCGTTGTCGCCAAGCTCCCCAACGGCAAATACATCTATGTCTACGAATGGGGTGGTGCTCCCATCTTCGACAACTACCGCTTCCCCATCTACTATCGCTTCGCCGAGGACCCTCGCAAGTTTGCCGAGGCCGAGGACTTCTACATCAACGCCACCAACACCGACATCTTCCCCAACAACAGCCCTTACGTGGTCTGGACACCGGTTGGCGGCGAGAACGGCAGTATCATCGTGAGCAGCAATCTCAAATACGTCTACATTAACCGCGAGTTGGGTGATCCGGATGCTTGGGTTGCGTACGACGTCCCCGAGAATGGTGCTTACACTAGAAACCTGAGAATCTTGGAGGAGGATCCTAATTACCTGCTGATTATGGGTGCTGGTGTTCTGCCCCCGAGCACCACCAACAATGTGACGATCAGTCTTGTCAAGGTGTCTGAGCTGTTGAAGAATCCAGTTGGAGGATGTAAGAAACGGTCTAGGTGATGGCAATGAGCTAGCGAACATTTTGTTAACTGGTTTTCACGATATAAATTGATTTCAATTGATTGATTGATAATCGTCGTCTCAGCCAAGACTTCACGTGTGATTGGCCATTGATTAATCTATTTTGCTAGGCATGAGCTGCCCAACTAGTCAGCACAAATGAACCACTACGGTATTGCGGGATCCAAGGAAGAATGCTATCATTCCGTTGGCGGAATCAAATCATGAAGTCTACTAGGAATGAGGAGATCCCGGAGGTGTCCAGAATAAGCACGTGTTCATTGTAGCATCGTAGCGAATAGTGACCGAGTCTAGTCTTGAAAGAAACTAATTGCTGTAGCTTGCCAATTCAATTTGGTTTGACGAAGAATGAGATATGATAACCCAAAGCCAGGCGTAGCATCTCGATACCTTGACTCATACCAGCTCTTCAAGGAAATATTCAGCCAGGATACACTGCCGGGAACCATGCGAGCGTGCTCACTTTTGCGACAAGGCAAGAAAATAAGCAAGAAAAAGACGCGCTTTTTTGCTGTCTTCTTAAGAAAGTCGACTCATAGCTGCTCCCTCGTGAATCAATTGCTTTATTTTATGGCAGAACCTACCACCACATGAGGAAAATACTAGAAACCTAATTCGATACTTCCAATAACCTCCAGCATTTAATAGCATGGAACAAACCGAAACCAAATTCTCAATTCAGTTTTCATTATCATCAAGGCGATCCGGACTTCTAAGATTCCGCAAAGTACTCTTCTACCGCTAGATATACTGTCGCTGTCATACGTGCAACGTGGATAATACAATCTATCGAGGTATGGAGTTTGAAACCACACACTAAATCAAAATACATATTGGGACAGATTGGAAGCACCACAAGACTTGAAAACGGGACCTTCCAAATGTGTTGATGTCGCTGCTTGAAGAGACCAAAGGCGAGTAGTAGATAACTTTTGCTGGGCTATAGATGTTCATTGATTTCTCCTATCTACTCGATGGGATATCGACCCTTACTATCTCTTTTTATAATTAATCTAAGTTTCTTCACCATGGGTTAAACGGGAGGCCATCTACAATTTGATTAAACGTAAATTTCCTGGGTTTAATTCTTGCGTGCCGATATGTATACGTAGACAGTAGTTTAAGGTTCTATGCTGAACTGCAGGGTAGGCTCAGAAGAGTTGAACCGATGGATGAAGACACTCGCAGAAGATATGGGGTTCCGTTTTAACAGTTGTGTTCTGCCTAATTTGAGTCCACGATAGATTGACGGGTAGCCAGTATCTTTACTGAGCTCATTATGAGACTTTCCTCAATTCAGTTCTGTGACAGGTCTGTTGTTCGTTGAATAAATATGACGGACTAAGAGATGTCACGATTTTGGAGGCAGAAGATAGCGATTAATATTGATAGTGGCTCTCCCCGCAAGACCTGCCCAGAAATGGCGAGGTGGAGCATTTATAGGCACCCACCACAACCACTGGAAGCTCTGAGATTGCGCTAAAAGGTCCTATGACAGGCCTGGACCCCACAAGCTATAGGGGCTAGTCCCTTTTCGCAGGGGATGGGCCGGCGAAGTTAGCGCTGCCGCCCGTTTCTCGCTTGGCCAGATCCTCCCCGCGCAACTGCATCGCCTCTGCCCCATTGAACTTCGCTCCAGTTTTGTGATGATCAAGAGATTGAGTATCACCAACGGCCACCAGTCCCCAGGATCCATCTCGAAGCTGCATACAAGCGCATTCGTTACCATCCACCATCCCTTGTACACACACACCAAGGCAGCCCACCGTCCAGGATGCCAAGGTCGCAGCATTCCCGACGAGCCTCTAAACCGTCGCAGCCGGAAACCTCTCTGGGAGATGGTGCTAGCAGCACTGGTCGTGCCGCGGGCTCCTCCAGCCTGGGCAGAGTGACCAAGAGATCGACTAATGCATGCTCCAGATGCCGCAGGCAGAAGATCAGATGTTCCGGGCTGATCCCCTGCGACGCCTGTACCAAGCGCAAGCTACCTTGCGAGATCAACGACAGTGAGCAGAAGATTCTCGTCACTCGTGGTTTTATCGAAGAGCTGCAGGCCAGGATTGCCGCACTAGAGGGGAACAAGCCCGCTGCTGCTTCGGACATCCTTGACTTTGGATCTGATGTCGAGGCAGAGACGCAATCACGTACGTATCAGCCTAGGTTCACATCGAGCATCCATATCAGTTGAGAAGATTCTCTCATCCTCTACATGGTGCTGACTGCACTTTAGGCCCCCCAAGTAGAAAACATCGACGTCGCTCCAGTCCCTCATCGGCACAGCGCGCGGCTAGCGAAGGCATTGAATCTTCGTCCCAACAAGACTCCCTCGGCGGCAACCCTCTGAGGAATCCATTATCATCTGGACAATCCACCTTTTCCATATCTGCCGATGGGAAAGCATGTATGTATATCGACTGTCATTCCTTGATTCGAGCAGACGTAGGATGTATAACGTTAACCACTCTTCTTGATGTAGTTTACCTGGGCACCTCATCCAATTGGTCGTTTGCACGTCGCATACTTTCCATGATTCACGATTTCATTCTAAAGTCGCCTTTGCCTACTGCTGATTTATTATTTGATGGTCAAGCGTATGACTTGGGATGGGAGGGTTCAGCCAGAATGACACCATATGAGTCTCCAGCCATGCCTGCTCTGGATTACGCCATTTACTTGATCAATGCTGTCAAATTCCACTGTTCCCAGGTGTACCATCTATTCGATGAGAAATCATTTATGGCGTCTCTTTACGAATTCTACCGAAACCAGCAAGCCGAGCACGTGAGGAGAAGCCTGTGGTATGTTCACTTTCTCCTCATTTTGGCCTTCGGGAAGGCTTTCGTCACCAAAAGAAACGTCACAAAACGGCCTCCAGGTGCGGAATATTTTGTAAAGGCGTACGAATTACTTCCAGACGTGATCACCCTCTGGAAAGACCCGATAGTATCATGCGAGATTCTTTGTTGTGTTGCGTTGTATCTCCAATCTCTTGATCATCGCCTTGTGGCACACAATACTGTGAGTTCTTCGCCCACAGCTCCCAGAACGGCGCGTTCTGTCAGACAGTAAATTAACAACGGGGCGTATACAGATTGGCCAAGCAATGAGAATAGCCCTGGGTCAGGGAATGCACACCAATATGCCTGGCGATCTTCTTGGCGAAGACGTTGTTGAGCGATCTCGCCGAGTCTGGTGGACCATATATGTCCTAGACCGTGAGATGACATCCCTTTTGGGCCTACCTCAATCGATCAACGACCGAGATATCTACCCAGAGCTTCCGAAATTTGAAGAATCGCCCCACAGACGTGTCGCGCTTGAGATGGAAATAAGGCTTTCTCGAGTAATAGCCACCATCAACAAAGGTTTGTTGTTGATTCTAGGCCAGTAATCCTCCTGCTGACTTTCAATGTCCCTAGAAATCTACCAGCCTGATGGAAAGCTTAATAGCAGGTTTCTAACAAGTACGAAACATGTTCTTGAAGATGTAGCTGCCGTGTCCGAGCAGCTTCAGCAATCATTCCCACTTCAACTCGATAATAGCGTTGCAGGCGTCTCCAGGACGGCTGCTAATCTTCATCTACTGTATTATCAGGTTAGTAAGCTAAATAACCAGTAGAATCTGTTATGAAGACTGACAGTGCTCCTCCATAGTGTATTGTTCTCGCTACTAGGCCGTTGATCTTTTGCTTTTTGCAGTTCCGGTTGGAATCTGCAGAGCTCTGCGCCAGGAAGTTGAGTTCTTCTCAGACCGTGCGCAACTTGATTCAAATGTGCATCGATTCGTCTCTTCAGATGGTCGTGATTCTAGAGAGTTTGCAGTCTCAAGGTCTTCTAGGTGAGTTCTATTTGCTTCTGTCTCCCCTCACGCCTAAACTCGCAAATATTTTGAGGATCAGAAGTATTGATGTGTCCCAACAGAGTCTTTCCTTCCCTTTGATATCCAGTCTTTGTTCATTTCAACCGTGAATCTTTCTGTTGCACCTGCAATAGATCCTCACCTCGTCGAGAACTACCGGTTTTGGCTGCATAAGGCTTATTTCATCCTCGATGAGATGACCGACAGCGGCAGCCATATTGCTAGTAAGCACAAAGCAGAGCTGACACGCATCATCGAATTACTAGAGACTCTGCCTGGTGATCACAATTTACAGCAAGCCACGGTAGATTTCACAGGCGAAGCGATGGATCCGGGGAATGTTTCTGCTGCCTTCGCCCAATCTGAAGACACCCTACATGGCTGCATTAATGTAATGCAGGCTCTGCCGACACCTATCTCGGGAACTGGGATGATGGATGATGAGGGGATGGGACATCTATTAGCTACGTCGCAGATCATGGACATGGCTAATTCGGTTGATTGCGGCGATACAGATTGGATGTCTGAGGCTATCATGACGCATGGAATTTGGCAAGGATGAGACTTTTGTATGCCCAAAGGTAATCGGCTGCCCTTTAATGAAGAATATTATGAAAATTCCCTCTTCGAGGAATATGGCTCACTGAGCGACCTGGATGGGGAAATAATTGGAATTGCCTTGGCCAATATCCCGGATATGCCAGAGATGAAGTACAGGGATCACGTTGCAGACAATTATGCTATCATCAGGCAACTTTGTGACAGCAACTACGAAGTCAAGAAGTAGACGTAAAGCTTATTTTAAACTTTAAAGCGATGCTTGAGTGTGATTTTCCGTCTTTCTTCTTTTGCTCGACTGTTTCAAGGTACCTATGCCGCATGCTTCGTTAAGTTATTGAACTTGGCACATACCCATTTCTTTTCTTACTCCATAGAAGGAGAGGCTGATATGACAATGGGACCAACATACTGTAGAGATATAATTGGTTGAATCATCTTCGGGGTTCTTCATCATGCTCATTAGATACTTAAACCAAGAGTATTTCCTCCAAGAGGCCTACAGCCGGAACAAAATCCTGCATTTATATATCTATTACTTGGCCATTGCAGCAGAAATTTGGTTGCAGCAGAAATTTGGCTAGCAATATTAGTCTTATTTATCTTCAATTACACCTTGAACTAGTGAGGGGAAATGGATAGACTGTTTAAGCACGACCCTCCGGGAGTGTTTAGATTCGTACATTCTGCTAGGTGCGTGTTTTTATGTGGTACAAAGATGAATGATTCGATGACTGGATGATGTATCCTAGGGCTCTTGAGCGTCGCGAGAGCGAATAGAGCTAGGATTTGGCATCCTGAATTGCCTCCTTTAAATCCAACGACGTAAAATCATGAGGAACGGCCGAAGATAAAGACGAAAGCAAAGCATTTGGTAAGCAAATTAAGTAAAGCCACTCGGCCTCCTTTCTATCGTCTGAGCGGCTAGACGACTAAATCGTAAACAGAAGTGGCTGCAGGTCTTGTTTCAGCTTCCAATCTCACCGCCTGACCATGATGAGTTGATGTGTCACATGGCCATCTTGGGTTCCAGTCACTCTACCACTTACCTACCATTGCTCTATGACATATATCTTTAGACGAAATCACTGTAAGTAGCATATTATACCACGAGTCACTATATTTACGATTAATTATGCGTTATCTCAACGCTTCCTACTTGAATATGGACCAGTCCCAGGAGAATAGATGATCTGCATAGACGCCAGAGCCACCGCCACTCCTGTCATCAGCTGTGGTTCACTGCATATGCCAAGCCTACCCCTTCTCAGCTCCGTCATCTCTGCTTATTTGCTATAAAATGATGTTAATAAACTGCGGATTGGTTTCCTTTGCATGCATGTCTTCTGTTCCGCAGTCTTTTCCAGCCTCCGCTGCTAAACTCCAAAATGGCCTCCCACCACCAGTCATTCGAGTTAGTCGAACCTCTTGACCACTCCGAAATATCAGAAGATATTGCTACCAATCATCCAGGCAATGTGCCGCACTCAAATCCTCTACTAAGCGGCCCTGGCAAGCCTCCTTCTATACATGAACCAAAAAGGCTTCGACGAACCCAATGCTTATACTTTTCGTTGTTTGGACAAATATTGCTGACAATTTTCCCTCTACTTTTTCTCTGTACGTCGATTAATGTATGGAAGAAGCTCGAGTGTTTCTAACCCTTTGATAGCACTTACGGCGGTCGCAATTTCCCTAGATAACAAGTCCGCCTCTGGAACGGGCTCAACGATCCAACAAGTTATCGCGCTCTCACCAACCGTGTTCCCTATTATTTTTGCTGCGATCGTGGGCAGATTCTTCCGTTCGTTGGGACTATATTGGGCAGAGCGCGGTGTCAAATTAGGGGTAATAGCCAAATCTTCGCCATGCCGATGTGTGCCTAATTAACTCAGATAGACGCTTGAGCGCCTCATTGGCTCCCAGACCCTTTTCTCTGCAATCGAAAGGCAGGTGCTACTGAGAGGGCAATATCTTTTGGGCATCTCCATCATAATTATCTGGGCCCTTTCGCCTCTCGGAGGACAGTCAGCTCTTCGGCTGCTTGCAGTATCTCCTGAAATATTATCGACTAACACTACAATCCGATACTTGCCGATTGATCAAGCTTTGAATACAGTCATGTCCCCAGACTTTGGAGCGAGCAACCCTGTTCGAAGCTGGCCAAAATGGGCCCCAATATTTATGACTGCTGTCACAACTTCTTACCAATATCAGAATTCCTCACAGGACATGTTCGGCAACGTTAGAATACCCAGCTTGGACTCCCTACCTTCCACTACGAACGATTCATGGACCGTAATAAACCACAGTGAGAGTATTCCCTACTCATCTCTGCTAGGAATTCCGGTCGGGGGTCTTCCAGCTAATGGGACTACATCTTTCAATCTTACCAGCCGGTATTTCGGCATCCAATGCAAATCCTCTAAACACACAAGCTCTATTGCTATATACGATAATCTGTTTCGAAATTCATCTTCTGGTGAACCCACTGGGTCCTGGGCGTATAAGTCGGGGGCCTCTTTTGTCGTTCAGCTGGGGTTTCCAATCGCAGTTTTAACAAAGGGAGGTCGTTTTAACTTCAGTGAAATCTACAATGAGACTACCATTCCCTTCAATATGACATCTATGAATGGGCACGATTCGACACCTGACCTGAGCCTTATCGATTGCTCAATGGAACCTCAGGATGTTGAATCCTCAGTCCAGTGTGAAGATCGACTTTGCAAGGTCACGGCAATGAAGAGGCTTCCTTTGGGTTTTGATTCTTGGAGAATTGCAAGTATACTGGCTATCCAACGAAGCTTTACATATTTCCCATTATCTGTTTTGACGGCCCCAAGTTCCATGTATGGAGCGAGGGCGTCTAGCTCAATCCTGGAGATGTGGATCGAATATCCATATACAATCTTGGGTTCGCCGGGATTTGCCAACCTTTCCGTGGTTTCTCTTCCAATGCTGAGCCGTAGCATCGAGACTCTTTTCAATACCTACTGGCAGTCTACCTATGGGTATAAATACCTGCATGGAAATCTCCATGCAGATGTTACGGATAGTTTCTATGATAACATTACGGAAGGCAGATTAGATCAACCTGTCGATTTCAGCACAAGCCAAGCACTGGCCACCAGGGTAATCGGAGAGAAGTACCAATGTAATATGACATTCGCAACTATTCTGATTGTCATATCTGGGTTGTTGGTTTTTGCTAGCCTAGCGACAATTGCCTTGATGCATGCCACTCGTGCTCCTGACATCTTGGGTTACATGTCTTCATTCACGAGGGACAATCCATATGCTGCTTTCAAGCAGGCTTCACACATGGACGGATTAGAGACAGCTAGAGAATTGAGAGAGATGAGGATTACTGTTGGAGATGTGAACCCGAGAGAGGAAATTGGGCACATTGCTTTTGCAGCAACCGTTGAGGTGCAGCGATTGAAGGAGAATAGGCTTTATGATTGATTCTTGATAAGGGTGAAATGTCATGTAATAGTCCTTACAGGGGGTTCTAATTATGGCTGCATCCTTAACAGCTCGCTTGTTTGGCCTAGGAACAACTGAGGACATTGGCCTATCTTTTCTTCCTCATACTCTCTTCAAGGCGTTTATCCAGGAGGTAAAACATACCCAAGGATATTTCTACGAGCCTCGAGAAACTCGTACGTCAGCAAAAGTCACCATGTTCCTGAGGACACAAAACCTTTCACAGAGTGGTGAAAAGCTAAGAGCAAGTAGAAGCATGGAAAGAGTATGCTCACAATTGTTGAGATGAGAATTCTGTGAGGTAACCCTTCATCAATTTTGAATCATTTTGAATTGATAGATGGAGCGTAGATATCCGTTGCTATACAGTCCACCACTAGTCGAAAGGACGAACATGGTGCCACGACTCTCACCAACCAGGGCATCTGCCTCCTCCTCCGCCGCCCCCTCCTCCTCCTCCTCCTCCTCCACTACCTCCACCCCCTCCGCTTTGAGTAGAGAAGCCTAGAATCTCTTGGCCATTGCCGGGTCCACCTCGAACAATAAGGTCGGGAGCCATTGTTAGGCCAGATTTGTCTCCTGGCTAGACGTGGCACGGACTGTTAGAGTGAAGGCTAAGTGAAGGCATTGGCATTATCAATGGAGGAAAACCCGCAAACTTACTGTTCCTTTTCTGCGTGTGCAATACGTCGTTGAGAGAGATATAGAGTGTGCGCAATTTGACATGCAAAGTCATAAATTTAGAGTTCGTGGGCACGGGAAGCTGAAAACCCTAGGTAATTTAAACCTACATATCAGATGTGCCCGCTTCTGTACGACATCGGTGCCAGTCCATATCAGGAAGAAATCCCCTTGCATAACCCTCACACACAATCTAGACCAATTCTTGTCACCCGCTGTACTTGGAAAAGAATCAGTCCCATGACCATGCTTGTGGTTGTTGGCTGTGCAAGCTGTGAACACACCAGGAGCCAATCAATCAACAAAATCTGCATGTTTTGCTGCATGGTGTGAGTCTTATTGGCTTATTAGAGTAACCATTGTGTGGGCTCAACAAAATTTGGGGTATTCGTTGTGTTTTTTCCCCTAGAAATGTCTTCAAGACCCAGAATGTGTTGAGGAGCACTAGTGCTTGTGTTGTCTTTGAGATGTGACACGTAATAATGTCGGTGAGGGGCTTCCTCCGTTGCGGCATTGCTTCAAGTCGGCCGAGAAACTTTGAAGCCTACCTAAAATTGAAGAATGGCCCATACTCTACACCGACTGTAGCCTTATGGAGAGGTAAAATTTGCCAAGTTGAACATGCGTTCGGGGCTGGGGCCAGGGTTTGGTTGTGGCGGCATCTCCCCGAGTATGTCTTAGATGGATCGGGGGCCACGGCATGTATCGTAATTAGTTAAAACCTAACTAATTTTCTCGAGTCGGTGTGGCTATTGACATGCGAGGGGGAAGAAACTCGGTCTGTCACCACAGGGTTCCCCCCTGACCAAGACTCCTCCGAGAACAGGGGCTACAATCTTGTCTGTTCATCGATGGCAGTACAGCACAAACTTGTCAAAATAGTCTTCACTCCAAACATTTCTATCGACAGTATCCATGAAGCCTTGCAAGATCATTGAGATCTCACCACCGAGACGATCTGCTTCGTGGGAATCTTTGTCTTTTAGGATGGTGAGAAGGGAGTATTTGGAGCGAGCGGTAGCTCCCTCGCATGACTCGCACTTCTCCAGAACCTTGGCAGCTGTGCGGAAGAACAGTCTGCTCAAGAAAAGGCGAGAAACAGCGGTCAGCATTCATTATGGCTTTCGGGAGGATATGATACGAGATCGACGAAGACTTACTCTGCGCGTTCGAAATCTTCTCGAGACTTCATTACTTCTCCAATCTTGTGTTGGGTGAAGCCTAGGTAGCGATGCATTGGTGACTTTTCTTGACGAATTCTTAAAGAGTTTTCCAATGCTGCCATGGCCTCGTCACCACGGTTCATCAAGAGAAGAGTACATGCTGTATTGAAATGTACGCTGAGTGATGGGATCCGGTTAGTTCGTGATTGGGTTCTTTGCATGCATGAACGAGGTTTGAGACTCACATGGCCATCTCCAGGCTGCGTTCACCATGTCTCTCCGTGACCCACTCAGACGACTTTCTACACCATGAAAGCGATTCATCCAAGTTCCCTTTGGCTCGTAATGCAATTGACAGATTGGCAGCCCATATGCAGCGGTGATGTTGGCTATCGAACGTATCAAGCAACATGTTGTAAGTTCCAACACTGGGATCTGGCAAGCCATCTGCCAGATATGTGAGGGAGATGTCGCCATCAACAAGCGCCATAGACTGGATGTCAAAGAATTTTGGAGCCTCAGCCTCTATAAGCTTCATCCTGTGTTGTTCTGCTTTTTGAAACCAAGCACGTCCATACCCTGGGAGATTCTCTTCGTACTCGAGACTGCCATATGTGCTGTATAACTCGGCAGTTATACGTGACATGTATTGAGGAAAATATCCGGGGTGGTTGCGACGCTCCACCGCTTGCTCCAGGATGTCAAATCCGTCCATTAATATCTCTTTGGCGGCTTGGAAGTAGCCGGTCTCCCGCAAGTACCTGTAAAATGATGAGCAGATGTCAGTTTTGGGCTTTGGGCAGTTGGGGTAAGAAGAAAGATTATATAGAAAAAGAGGTAGATGACCTACCATGCACATCTTCGGACGATCTCACATAAGAGAATGGGGGGCCGGAGCGTGTTGGAAAAACGTTTATACATCTTCAACAGCATAGAGATCTGTGAGTGAAACATGGCACACTTGTCCCAGGTTTCCAACATTTCTTTGCAATCGGTGTGAGGGAAGCAAGCGTTGAGTGAGAAAACAATCCAATCGAAATGAAGCTCCAAATCATCTTGTTTTAATGACTGAAGAACTGCCTCCTTGATCATCCTATGGCAGCTGAGGCGCTCGGAGCCAGAGCTTTTGCTAATTAATCCTTTACCCGATAATGCAGAAACAGCGTTATCGAAACTACTATGGTATTAGGGACTTCATTTAGTGTTCTTCAATAATTATAGGGAACTCACGTTAGGCGGTTAGGGAACCTATCAGACAAGCAATCAGAAAGTCTCGGGAAGGTCCTGGCAGGACCATTATGCTCAAATCTATTACGGTCAGAGAGAGTGATCATTTCTTAGCACATCACTTACTTGGCATTCAAATCATGGCATTCGAATAATTCAGTCGGAATTCCATCTGGGTCAAGAAGGGCAACGGTTTCCATAAGCATTTGTGCTAGGGGGTCAATTAAGTTGAGCGTCATAGTCCAAGTGTTCCGGATAGATCTCTCATATGTTGAATCCCTACCCTTATCATCTTGAAAGAGCATATTAGTGTCAAAGTCACGATAATGTTGTATAAAGGTTCTGTATGACGAAGACGTAGTCCTGGCGTAGGCGCTGATTGAGTTGAGTGCAAGAGGCAGGTGTCCAGTCCGATCCGCAATTTCTCTGGCCACATCTAATTCTTCTTTATCTAATGCGTCAGAGTTGGTGTTCATTTTCAACATAAACGCCAAACTTTCATCAACAGTGAACAAGGGGATGGGGATGACACGGCCTCCAGAGGCATGAGCAATTTCCGGACTCCTTGTCGTTAGAATCAGAGACCCATGTGGCCCCTCGAGCCAGAACTTTTCGAAAAGCCGTACGTCCTCCACATTGTCGTAAATAGCTAGCCACCGAAAAGGGCTCCCTAGTAAATCAGGTGGTCGCTGTCAATGGAGTACTCCTCACAGCTGGGAAAAAGGGGTTATGACAGAGTTCCCATACCTTTTGAGGGAGGATTGTTCAAAAATCTACGGAAATTTTTGATTGCAGCAAGTTTCTGTTCGGCAACAACGGGCGATTCATTCTCTACCATGCGTGCATAGGAGTATAGCGACTCCGTCAATTTTGCTTCGGTTTCCGCGTTGATCCAAAAGATGGCGTCGTACTCGTTCGAATACCTGTGAGCGAATTCAAGTGCAACTTGGGTTTTACCTACACCTCCGATACCATGCAAACCAGCTGCGCGATGTTCGTTACGTGGACGTCCGGACATGAGATGGGTGTGAAGCTCTTCAAATACCTCCTCTCGAAAATGAAAATGAGGGTTCTTCCTATGCTGAATGCCCGTGCAAGAAAATTCGAAGGCCATTGTCGGGTCCTTGTATCCTTCAAGGCACTCTTTTAGTTCTCGGTGATGTTCCTGGTAGATCTGGAATTTGAACAGGTTGATCTCGTCGTCAATGGACTTCTTTAAATTCAGGAGATTCAAAGACCGTTGCTTTGCGATTCGACTAAACCTTTGGGGCCGTGGGAACAAGAATAGCAGACGCTCTGTAGAAAGAGGGCGATGATTAGACACATTCCAAACTCAACTATTATGATGAGAATCTCTGCATAAAGGGAAAAGTTGTGCAGGCCCTCCTTTAGGCTAGATTCAGTGGAAAAAGCAAGTACATACTTTTCCCCTCGAGGAATTTGATCGCGTCTTGGTAATGGCCAATGAACTCGGCATAAAACACAATGAGGCTGTTCTGAAGCCCCTGTGGCAAGACTCGGCTACCAAACTCTTTCAGGTAGCCTTCGAATTGTGGTAAGGCTTGTTCAAATTGGCTGAACGTGTGCCCAATGAACTCGAGCATAAGCTGCTCTCGCGACGCCAACTTGGAGGGGAAGACGATCGTCAGCGCAACATTACTGGGCGGGGTCGTAACCTTGCATAACACGATGGCAGATCATTGACACGTACCTCAATGATGATGGCCAGTGGAGTCCAAAGCAGGGCGGAGATACCCGGGTTCCCCTGAGTAAAGAGACTAATGATCGACGAGAAGGATTCGAGCTGTGTGATAAGTTTAAAAGCCCAGCCAAAGGCTTGACTATGAGATCGATTTGACTCTAGCTGGCGGATATGGGCGGCAAGGCTCTGTGGAGAGTTTACCCTGCTTACCCGTTCTGCCCATAGATCGCCATTGCTCAGGTGGGCCAGGTGACGGGCCTGTGCCTTATTCCAAATCAGGGTCAGCTGGTCATGCATGCCTGAACATTAATAAGAGATCCAATCGCAAGCATTAGCAAACTTGGACTATCGACTCGAGTGCCTAAGTAGTTCGTTGGGGGAAAAGGGGTAGTTGGGCTTGGGACAGCTTTCCTTGCTTTTCATAGTCACAATAACGGTAGACATACATGCTTATTTGACTTATTCCTAGAAGCGCACGAGCTTTCTAACTAATATTTGAAAGGTGCCCGACGAAAACGAGGCGAACGTTTTCAGTGTTGGTGCTGGTGATCTTACCGGTTGCCTTCTGCAATGTGGCCCAAGGGGGATACAGGTCAACTTTTCGGTATGAAAGAAGATTACATGCAGCAAGGCATCCAACTTTCCTTGGCTGTAGGCGCATGTATGTGGAGGTACTTGCGTACTTATGCAAATCAGATAACACTTAAGCACTTTGGCCAAGAGCCCAACGAGACATGGCCCCCATTAGCTTCCTCGCCTCACTAAATGTCATTGGGAATGCTGGCTTGACTGGCCCTTTGTCCTTGGTGGTTCAATAGTGCAACTTCTCCGGCCTCGGTAAGTCATAGCCCTTGGGGGCTTTGCTGATGGGCTTAAATCGAACACTGGACTAGTAAGAAAGCCGACTAAATGCTGACGCGGAAGGGATTCCCATGAATCTGGAATTGGCGGAGGCCTGAACGGAAGCTATTGCTGCAACTAAATCAGATATGACTGGGATTAGATTGATGGGTTGATACAACCCGCCAATGGTTTCATTCCACTTTTTTATACCAAAACATTGGGGGATAATCTGGTAATTGTAAGCCGGGGGTATCCATCGGAATACCGGAATGGATTGGTGTGGTCAGGGTCCTCCCAAGATACGACCGTGTTAAGCACGCATGTATTGGTTGTATGATACGCCATACGTATAGAGCTGGCCACCATAACAAAAAAGAAAATCTGCCGATCATAAGCTGATAATATGCACCAACTTCGCCACAGCTGACTCGTCCGCTCAGTAATTTCGGAGCATAATTGATACGGGATGCCGCTGCCGTAATACAGACGTGTCTCGGCTAGAAGCTTGGGAGAAACATTGTGACCGAATTTGGGCAGATTTCGGCGCTTGGACGAGATACAACTCGATCAAAGCGAGACTGATGTCATTAAACATGAAGCAGTGATAAGTAGCAATGATACATCGCATACATCACAATGTAACCAGGGCCCATGTGATTTAGGGGATGGTGGATCCATGCGGCATCTGGATTCACAATCATACTACATAGTATGTAAGAAAAAGGAACTTTCAGACTACGAGTACAGCTGTGACAAGGGAAGAATAGGGGTTGGGGGGCGATGGAATGTGGCAGGCCTCGGGGATCCTCCCGTTCTCGACCAACAAGTAGTGACCTTGAGGGAATTGTTTCATACGCCTCAACTGGAAGCACCCTGCAGGCTGTAGCCAGGTAGAACATCGGACTTTAGCAGATCAAAGACTCAAGATCGCCGGTCCAAAACTTTGAGCTCAAATGTAGATACATTGCCAGTTCTTCCCATTGTTTGAACCTTGCCTCAGCCAGCAGCTCAACTAATACTCCGGGTTCAAATTGAAAGCCGTTCTTAGGACGATGAATTGGACTCGCTCTTATCATCTCCGCCTCCTCCGCCACCGCCCCCAGCGCCACCCCCCTGTGTAGAGGAGCGCGTTGATGATTCGGGTTTATCCTCCATCAGCGACTAGGTATTTGTTCGGCCGAGATGGCTGAGAAAACGAGAAAGAAAATAGTCAGAACTCAAAGTTTGCGACAAGGGTATGGAATGCTCATGTAGGAGACAAATAGAATGATTTGTTGACATACCTGCGTTGTATCTGCTTCGTATCACTTCAAGGGATGAAGTGTGTGTGGCATGCAAAGACTATCAACAAAAAGCAAGGAGCACGAAGGCAAATTATATACTACGAGGCAAATCAGATGCTACAAACCCAACTCTGATCAACGGCGACGCCGCTATTCGAGCAGAGCCTCAAGCATGAGCCACATGCGCTGTTTGATATTCCTTCCGTATGGAACGATTGGCGTGGGATCGCCCACGTTACTGAGGAATTCTTGCCTCCTGATAGCCGTACTTGCGTCACACATCTTTGGCCCGAAAGGAGGGGGCGGACCATTGGTCTCGGCTGTATGGACACTCCCTGCGACATTGCTTCATAGTGGTGGCACAGGCCTTCTCAGCTTCCCCCTTCATTATTCGTGTGGCTGTCGGCCAGACTCTCAGCTCGCGTCATATGTAATGCTGAGGGGTGGTCAGGGATACGCGTCCGGGAAGCCAGGGTCGGATGTACATAATGGTGTACGAGAGATCCTTTCGCGGCTCTTCCGAAAGAGTCCTTACAAAGACCGAGTGTCTCGCTCCTATGAAAATTGCTCAGCGCCTGTGTTGGTTTGAGTCTTTGTCCCGGAGCAAAGTGCCCACACGACCTACGTTGCTGTCGTATTCGACCACCCTTCCCCCAGTACTCATGTGGCAGGACTCGGCTTTTCAGCTGCAGTCATGAATGGTTCCAACCAGTCAAGACCTCAAGAGTAAGTAGCCACGGCCACTGTCCAGTCCAATCAGTCACCCGACCATCCCCCTCCATCCACTCCCACACCCACACGTGTCAGACGGACCCCAAGCGCTAAACCCGGCAATTGCTGCACACCTAGTCCAATTCGAAAGCGACTCGAGGCTGCCATCCCTAAAATCGAGGAAGTGAGAGATGTTTGCGAGGCCCCGTCGGTGTCCTTTGGTGTCTCATATGGGCCCAAAACCGCCTTCACCCACAGCATTGGTTTGCGCGACGTGGAAACCGGACAACTTGCTAATGAACATACATCCTATCACATCGGCTCGTGTGCAAAGATCTTTACTTCGGCTGCGATAGGGATACTGGTTGATGAAGGCAAGATATCATGGCAGGACCCAGTCAAGAAACACCTCGATGACTTCGACCCTGTGGAAGATCGCGAAATCGGAAAGAAAGCCACCATCAGAGATGTCTGCAGACATTCCACCGGACTTGCCAATCCCAACGCGGTCTTTATGGCTCCCCATGGCGCTCCAGGTATCAAGTCAGAGGATTATATGAAGATGATCAACGCCCTTCCGACAGCGAACGAGCACGGGCAACGATTCAATAGCTGGTGGTACTACAGTAACGCGGCATACGGTCTGCTCGGTTTGGTTGTGAAAGCTGCTGCTAAGGTGGGCTTTGCTACGTTCCTTCGAACCCGTATATGCAATCCCCTCGGCCTGAAAGATACCCTTCTCTCCGAGCATGACGTGACAAATAACAGTAATCTCGCTCATCCATATGTCAAGAGAGATGGTGAATGGCACAAAATAAATAATGGTCTCACCTCTGAAGGGCACAACCATACTCTTCCATTTCTTGGCATACGCTCTTCCGTGAGTGACATGTTGCTGTTTGGAGGTGCCGTGATGCATCGCTACGAAAAGGAGCAGGAGAGCCAATCTGAGAAGAACGAAGCGCCTCAATCAGCTGTCTCTTGGTCCGAAAGGCTCTGGGGTTTTGGTCAGGCTTTGGGATTGATTGCCGGATCTAAAGAGAATCCTCTGAGACAGATTTCCTACATCTGGAAGTCCCATTGGACTCGGCCTTGTGACGATGGCTTCGATAATAAGACAGCCTACATGCTCGGTTGGCTTCGCACCACCATGCCAACAGCTGCTCTACCGCTTCTCTCGTATAACTCCTATCCGACAAAAAAGGAGTACATCATCGGAAGAGAATCCCCGCCTCAAGTGTTATACGGCCACTCTGGGTGCACCAATGGCTCTGTCGCCACCATGTACGTGATACCGCACTCTGGATTTACGGTGGTCGCCTTGAGCAATGCAGCAGATGCTGGTGACGCATCAAACAGCACCGTTCAGATCCTACTGCAAGCTATTTACGACCTGGGACCTAAGGTCGATCTCATCCTCTCGCTCAAAGACTCCAGAAGAGTGAAACTGCAGCAACACGAAGACATGATCCGTGATTGGAAGAGGCACAGAGATGTCGGAAAATACAATTGCCATGCTGAGGAACTTGTTGGAACTTACTATGGCCTGGGGGCGTCTATCATCGATATCAAGGAGAGCAACAAATCCGACTCAGGCCTAGCTGTTGTCTTTGGCCGCCAAGACGCGTCCACATGCCAACTGGATAAATTCAATCGAGACTCGCTTAGTTTTCTTCCTATGGATCACAAGGAGATTCTAGAAAGGGCTATGATTGATTGGGATTACTGGACTGTTGGCGTTTTTCGATTTGTGAGGGAGGACGAAACTCAACCGAACAGCCCGATCGTGGGGCTAAGATGGAAATGGGACCAGTATGAGGATTCAACCCTCTGGGTTAAGCAGAATGACAAAACTGAGATGACTGACGACCAGTATGACGCCGTCGCTAAGAAGCATGGGAAGTTTTTGAAAGACCCTTGGTCCGAACTCGTCCCTACCGCAAATGGCAACGGTCATTGCACTGGTAACGGCATCTGCAAGGACATGGAGAAAATTAGAGATCATGTTGCCTATCAGACGGCCGATGCAACTACAACTGCTGCTTGAAGCTTCCGGGATGTAATGAGGTGAAAAAAATGTAGAGCATGAGTATTGGTATGGCCCGGTCGTTTGGTCGTGGAGTTGGGATAGATAAAAGTATGCTTCTCTTTATTTATTGCTAGATTAAAATTCAGGTGAGGGTGGATTAAAATCGCCTTGATAGGGATCAATAATATTTGATAGACGATACTATAGATGAAATCTCAAAGCCATCTTGGCCCAACGGTCGGACTGTTCGGTTGAGTTTCGCCCTCACAAATCGAAAAACGCCAAATTACTCCAGCCAAACAAATACATCGTTGTCAAGGACGCAGGACGGTCCGAATAATACTAGTAAGACACTACTATAAAGGTTACAAAACATCGATGAGATGTAGCATTCTCAAGTCTGCTCACGGTTTGCAGAGGCCCGTCCATCCAGGTCAGTTTTATCTCAAAGATCTCATGAAGCTCGTCGTTTTCTTCCAGAGTGTGACAAAATAGTGAGAAAGAAAGCCTTAACTTTGTTTGGTTGCATCAGACACATGAGGGTAATTCAAATGGTCATTCGACAAGCGACTCATCCTAACGGCAAGTGGATCATTAGTATGAAGGTTTATAGACTTTTTCTTCCGCATGACTGCAGCCTTGGGCTAGCGAAGCTCATTATTGCCTTTGTCTTCATTGTGTTGAGATGTCGGGTCTGGCATCTTTTATGAATATTCTTATCTTTACATTCGCTCTCCCCCTTTGCATCAAACACCGTTTCGTCAACCATCGAACATGGCCATTCTATCTATGGTTTTTCTCTAAGAGGGTGAGCAAACTTTGAAAATACTTTGTAGAATGGCGATTGTGCCTGAAATCTATTGGGAGTTTAATTATTAAGGGGTCTCGAAATTAATACAAAAAAAGTATATATCACAAGTCCCTAGCATCATCTAGCGGACATGAATATCTCTCTGCACTCGAATCTGCTTCGCTGGCAATGGATCAAGAGGAACGTGATCCGAATCCCCGCTGGTATCGTTCTCATGTGTCGCCCAACCCGCTGCAGAGCTATGATACCGTTCCTCTGTCGTATTGTCAACCCACGGGCGTCCTTGGTTTGCGCTCTGGTGATCTGACATTTTGTAACCGTTGGAGGCATTGTTCCTATTTTTCATGGATCCGTACCACGACCTGCTTCCGGAGCTGAGGTTGGCACTTCCTGAAAATAGTGGCCCAAGTGTTGGCAGGCATGCACAAATGATAGCTGTTCCGAGTTGGATAGTAGACCATAAGAGAGTCTTGGCGGCGTTGACTATGTTCAAAGCATCCAAGTTAGGCCTGGTCTGCCAGGATGGTAAGGAGAGAACTCACAGTTTATTAGAACATCGGGTGGTTGCCAAATGACGGTCAATCTCACAATGCTAAACACACAGACGCTTCAACCAATGTCAGCGAGAAATGCCCATTGGTCGGTATCAAGAACTCACTCACCCAGCGCCGAGCAAAAACATTCCCAAAACAGACCACTTCTTGACCTTATTCAGTCTAAGGGAACCGACGACAAATGCCGGAATGCAGAGGATAATGACGTCGATGACCAGGTTGGTGATTTCGACGGCGAGAAGAACGACAGGCGAGGAAATGCAAAGCTCTGTTTCCATCGGGCGTGTCCAGAGCGCATCGATCGGCTTGCATTGGAAGACGATGAGCAAGATGAAGGCGATGAACCAGGCGACGCTCAAAGCCGTCGTACCAATAATCAGTTTCTTCTGAAGGTCGTTGACAGCAAACAAGGTCCAGTAGAACGCAAGGATGCTGAGCTTTACCAAGCTGATGCTAGTCGTGAAAAGCACCTCGGCAATCCAAGCCATCTAGAAATTAATCTCTTAGCACAGCATGCTCACTCTCTTATGTATGATGTCCCTACTTTCAGAAAGTCGAGAGATTCTTCCAGCGGAATCTCAGGCGACCCAAGGAACATTGTCCCAAATGCCTTCAACTTCGATACACGGAAGATATCTGCCCCCAAGTCAGTCCCTTTCCTCGTTCGAGCTCGTCCACCCTCGGAATATCTCACGGTTAATCAACAGCGCGCAGTATCCCACAAAAACCACGTAACATGCGATGCAGAGCCAATCTGATTGGAATAGCTTCTGGCCCAGACTCATTCGTAACAAGAGCCTCAAAAGAATTGTGATCGCGCAGAGGATGATGAAGGTCACGCAGACCGCGAAATTCTCACGGGCATCTTGAGTCAGGCTTGTCATCGTGACCTACGAAGGCCCCCCGCGACCAGCGCGTATCACGGATGGATCGTCCCGTTCGTGTCGAGCAAAGTCCAAATCACGATCTCCAGTCGAAGTAATAAAACCTAACGTAACCTCTCAAATTCCCCCTCCTCCCGGATATGTTATCGTTGGCACGTCGGTCGGTTCGTGTTGTTGCCTTCGAGGTCGGATTACCCACTTGCGAATAGGATTTCGCCAATGTGAGAAAAGATGAAAAAGCAGAAAAAAGGAAGGGAACCCCAGACTCATGGATCAGTTCCCTCTTCAGTTTTCCAGAAGGCAAATGGTGGCCCACACCAGGTGTTAAAATATGGCCCTTGGAAAGTGATGGTGCGGAAGCCTGGACTTTCATAATCCCCAAAAGACCTACAGGATTCCGGATGTAACCATTGCTGAACCCGGCAGTCAGGGTCTGGGATTCATCATGCCATTCGATGTGGATGAAGACGTAATGCTGGCATCGCGCTTCAGCCGCGATTGGGCCAAGTGGGTTTTCTTGTCCTCTCTCTGCCCTTCGCTGAGAAATTTCAGGTGGGTTTCGTGGGAGTTTCCATGATGGGTCTTCGCCGAAATTTCCCTCTTATTCGTTCTCCTGCGAGGCCACCGTCCGAGGTGTTTTATCTCCTCTGGTTCGTTCTATATGAGACTGGTCAGCCAAGGGTCAGTGCACAAGGGTTGGAATATCACAATACACATTAGCTCGTGGCGTAGAATCTGGCTTTGGCTTGGCTGATCTGACTCTCGCCGTTGACTGGAAGGCTTCCGAAGGATGGGGGAGGTTCCACGGATATTGTGCCGGAGATGTCTTGATATGGACGAGACCCCCTTTTTCTCAGCACTAGCCACGGTGAAGCTGACCAAAGATGGCCAGACCCTGAACAACACGCAAATCCTAAGGCATAATAAGCCCAGTCCCGTACGCTTGCTGACAAAATCGTGCACGAGCCTGGGATCGCATATATGCCTGCATAAGGAAGTCTCGATTGCATCCATGTATCAACCGGGATGGGGAGGGCGGTTCCCTCCTTCAACACGTGAGACGGGATGAACCATAAGCCTTGAAGCACAGAATCCCTACCTCGATACAGAACAACGACGCGGCCACTAATTTAGCCCGCACTTGTGTCTGCTGGTCGCACTAGTCCGCCCTTGAAGCTGAGTTCGCTCGGGAATGATTCATGATGAGCAAGGGTTGGCGGTACACCTTATTACTAGTGGTTCTGTATAAATGGGGATCGAAACTTATCAGGAGTTGGATATATCCACCCTCGATTCATCACAACATCAAATTTCACACTGCCCCCACGGTGCTCGTATCGCTTAAAGAAAACACGGATAGAAAGTCTACAATCCTAACCCAATGCAAGGTTGTCTAAATGCTCCGCCGCGAGACCCAACTACGTAACCAGACATTCATTATAGAGCAGGTTCGCTGTACTCAATTCCTGTTTCAATCAAATCCAATCCTCCTCCACTCTGCATGATGGTGTTCCCAATTTTCTATTCCGCTCTTCTGATCAGACTCCACCAAGCCCCGTTTCATCCATTTCTCGACGGATTCCTCCTGACCGAAATGAAGATATAACTGCTGAACTAATACTGGAACGTGTGGAGTTTTCTTCCTAGGCAACTAGACCCGAGATGACTGGTTTCTAATACGACAATCGTCTCTACTATGGCAATCCTTCTGTGCGGAAGAGAGGATACCATTGAATGAGAACCTCCGCGTAGGGCAGGCTCGGGGAAAGCATGAAATGAGATAAACTGTGCAGCGTCTGGGATCGCCTTTCACGTTCATTCTTGAGTTTCAGTGCCTGTATTTTGATACAATTCAAGCGATAGGAAGAATCTGTCGAACTCCTTGCAGCATAAGCTTTCGATTAGAGACCAAATGAAAAGAGCAGGCCTCGGATCAGCAGAAAGCATGCTGATTCCTACCGGAGGCTACAAGGTGGTGCCGTAAACCTTATTCAATCTAGGAGTAGGTAATGAACAGATCTCCGGGTATTTCGAGGTTGAGAAGTGCCCTAGTAAAAAGTCCAGAACCATGTTTATCAAAGATCACATGCCCCTGCCATCCCCACGACCGTGCCTTTGTGGCGTCATTTCAGCACTCTATCTATACTTGCATATAAAGTGAGGGACAGTGTATGATCGCCATTTGGAGTTATTCTACTACATTGAATGTGGTTTTTACTTGAATTTTGGTAGATTACATCGGAAACCCCGTGCTTTTCTTTACGAAAATATTAATTCATGGCTGGACTTCCCTCGTTTCTATACAGGGCTGCCATTTAGGGGTCGATGATTCAACCTTGAAGGGTACATAATATTCCCAACATGCTAGAATCAGGGCAAGTAAGCTTCTAGGTGTTCATTTCAAGTCAGAGAGATGTCGAGAAAAACCATTTCCGGGGTATATCCTTTATTTGCTAGCTACAGTGTTCAATGAGTCACGCGTCCAAATTTGGTCAATCGCAAGCCCTAACTTAAGGTAGTTATGAAAGGATGCCGAGAAATCATTGGTAAATCAATCTTTCAATTTGCTTTCATATATCATTTAACGCGAAGCTTGAACAGAAGGGTTCTGTGGGCTTACCACTCTAGCTAGTTGATAAGGCTCTTTGTCTTGCAATGTCTACGCATCGATCCTATTGAGTATTCTACTAGCAAACCGAGAAAACCTATCCCTAAAATAGACCTACCTTCAGGCTAAATTACTAAACCAGTATTTGACGAATATAAATCATGATGATCGGAAAAAGTCCTTTTGTGCAATAAAATATACAAATGAGATTCGTTTGAGACTTCTAGTCCTACTAGCCCTGGAGGTTGTTGTGCTGTGACTAGACCTTTGAAAGCCCTCATTGAGCGTGAAAGACCCCTAGAATAGGGACTACTAGTAGACAATAAAAGCTTACCTACGTGACTAGAAACAAAGATACTCCTTTGGATTGCCAAAGGACACCCTTAGATTCATTTTGTAAAGAACATGTAGTGGGCAAGGGGACCACCTGAGTAGCTATATACCCTATAGTGTATTACCGTAGAACATGGAGAACAGCAAAGAAGACCAACCGCTTATTTACCTTATACTGCGTAATGCCCATGGAGCTTCAGGTCGTATATCCTTAAGAGGGCCTAGTTGTCTTACCACGCCAAGTATATTGTTTTTTCTTATATGCAAGTACTTCGGCCCAATCTTCCATTCACTCAATGAACATTCTGTTATCAAAAGTTGTTTCACAGATCAAATCAGTTTTCGCAAAACATGACCCTGAAAATCCCGGTTTCAAATCTCCATGGGCATTTCTTGGCGCAAGACGTCCACATAGAGGCAAACGGCTTTTAGGTCGGGCGCATTCGCTCATGGTTGCCGCGCCGAAACTTTATTGTTGCCACGACCAAAAGCTTGGCTCGAGGGAATCTTCAAATACTCCTTCCACCTAATCTCATCGAGAGATATTTTGTCGTTGCTTTGGAGGTTCAATCAGCTGTTCTCCTTTATGCTTTATTTTGGCATGTTCTGGTACTATAGTATTGTAATTTCTTTTGCAGAAAGTCAAGGTTATTCATGGCTTCTATGTCCATGAGAATAAATTGCAATGCATGAGCCGCTCATGCTGCGCAAGAATCCCAAACCCATGTATTGTGGTTGCCGAGTTGATAAACATCCTCTCTGCTGACTGTTGGGTTTTGTTGAGAGTTGCGAAGGGCCTGTTCATAGATTGCTTGGGAAGAAATCTCACGTTGATCTTGGTAAGATCTTTCAGCTGGCCTTCTTGTAGATATGGCTAAGGCTACGAAAGGGTTTTGCGATCTAATTAAAGTTTATCCAGTTTGAAAATTGGCGGTGAGATGAATGTCAAGACCACTCATGTGGCAACGCTAGTTCAACAGCTACTAGACGAAGTTAATAGAACCGCCAAGATGGAAGATTTTGTGGAATTTTGAGATGGCTTACATGCCGAGTTCTGTGTTTTGCCACTTGACTGGCGGTAGATGCATGGAATTCCTCAAGACGGATCATGAATGATCACATACTAGCAAGATAGTAGCTCATAAACAAAATCTTACTTTTTCTATAATTATCTAAGCGTCAAGGGCAGGGTCAAAACCTGGTACACCACTTCCAGCAGCGGCTCTGAGCGAATCGGTGAACTCATCGTCCAACTTGGGGCCAACTCCACCATTCCACGTCGACAGCATCTTGTTGCGGAGGTCAGTGCTAGGCCAGTTATTCCAGCCAACCAGAGGGCTGGTATAGAAATAGCCAAAGGGGTTCTCAGGGTGGGCAATGTCATCGCTGTTGGCGAAGCGAAAGCAGTGAGTTGCGGCGCCATCCTTGTGATACACAGCCTGTACCCGGCTTCCAGAGAGGGGAACGTCGTTCCTGGCGTTCTCGTACTTTCCATGGCATGAGGGTGCGACACGAACGACCTGGTCGCCCTTGGAAAAGACAACCTATGTCAGAGTTAGTGCTGGTGACTTCAAAAGAATGGCGTCTGAGGAGAGAGAGAGGCTTACAATGTTCTCCCAGTCAAATCTGTGTCCACCTAGGAAACTCCCTCCAATGGCCTGGTCCTTCTCAAAGAAATACTCATACATGATGGCGCAATATCCATTGTTGCAGCGCTTTCGAGAATAGGCATTGCTGTTCTGGAGCTGAGGAGGGTCCCGGCACCCGCCCTGGGGAGTACCCGTTGCATCCTTTCCAGGGTTGGTTGTGCCATCAGGGGAAATAGCAGCCGTGTTGTAGCAACCGTCAGAGTCAAAGTCTAGCAGCGGCTGGAATTTTGTCTCTGTGGCATCGGCACTTCCAGGGAGAGCTGCGATGATGTCACGTTTGACGTTGTAGGTGGGCTGGGCTTGGACGATGGCCAAAGCACCAAGAATAGCGACAACAGAGGAATGCATTTTGAGTTGGCTGAGTTTCTTCGCGCTTTCTAGAAGAGATGAACTTGGCTCTAGATTGACAGCCCGGCAGTCGGGAGAAATGCGAGGGTCACGGACTGGTCTTATAGCTGCTGAGTTTGAGTTACTGACGAAGTGGCCATCCCAAAGAAGTGACATTTATTGTTGGAGGCACAGCCTTGGCTGAAAGCATGATATTCAATCCAAAATCCCTCGTTAAGGAGCTTGGTCTCAAAGTAGAAAGTCGTGACAGGGACCAGTCCGTTCCAGGAAGGACAATGTTGCCGGCAACTCTGTGGAAACCACAGCGGCTGAAAACAGCATGTCATTTTCCCCAGACCCATCAAAGGATTCACTCAAAAGAATTACTAAAGAGATCGGCATGGTAGCCAGTGCCGTTTACTGCCCATTGACCCTGTACACGTGGGTATGGTAGTGGGGGCCTAAGAAAGACGGTGCCGGCAGATAAGGCTTAGAAGTGGTCTCCTAACCCCTAAAAGGGCCTTGTAAGGCGTTTGCTTCCGTGATCGTCAGAAAAAGACCAGTAGGCAGACGAATTGGGGGCATGCTGCATTTTCCCAATCATCAATCGTGCCGTAGTTGTTCCACCTGGCGCGGCTCTAGACTAGGATGAAACAAGTGGCTGGGCCAATGCAACGTGGACCTGACCACATGCTCTGACACTCCTCATCCATTGAGGGACACAATTCTCGAGTAATCCGATCTGATAAATAGTGTGAAATTGAGAGCATCCATGTAATGACTAGTTGAACAGAGGCGGAGACCTGCTAAGAATATGGGCCTAATTCAGTGTTAGAAGCAACATTGGAACATTAAAGACTTGGCCGACGCATCATTTTTATACCTACATTGGAACTAGGGCATTCAATCAGTCACTGGATGTCTCCTGCTCCCATTTCAAGACGCCTCGCCTCATGTGCCGCTGCTCAGCCCTGTGGCCTATGCACCACCACGTCCGTTTTCAGAGGTATTTCTGTCCCGGTCCTTTTGCAAGAAGCCCAAACTCGCTTTGCGTAAATGCAGTTTCAAAATACCAAAATACTTGGCGCCTGGTTGGTCAGAGAAATGATCAAGTCCATTCCCTTTGATCCATTCCCTTCGAATTGTTAAGGCACAGTACCTCGGAATCAATGACGAATTTGACTGTAAGCATTGCAAAACCTCTTCCCCGACTAGCGCGTGATAATTGTGAGACCGCACTGGTATTTTTTTGTGTGGTGTTCAAAATAGACGGCCTGTAGTGTCCAGTTTGATCGGGATCTTACTTTGCAAGCCCCATTTCATATATCGCCACGCCAGAGCCTTCATCGCTTCATATCTGTGGATGATCTCTAGATTCCCGTGTTCACCCCGCAGGATCTCGCACTCCTTTTCCAGAACGACGGTCGTCATCTGGAAAGCGGTAGTGATGAAGAAGGGGGCAAGTCGTCGGTTAGCGACGTTCTCTGCGAAGGCAATGGCCCGAAGAACATTCTCCGCATACATGACGAGTTGGGCGCGGTGGCGCTGGATATCCTTTGCGGGATCGGTTGGTATAAATTGCGAGCTGATGGCCATCATCATCGAGGCCATATCCCTAAGCTGCAAGTGTAACGACATGACAACCGTCCAGTACAGCGTGAAGGCCTGATACTCGTGCATTGAGTGGAAGTGAAGGAGGGTACCAAATAATGAGTGCAAGTCCTGTTCAAATACACGCCAAAACTTTGAATGATCCTTTGCCTCCTCTTGGTCGCTGTTTGGATTCGATTGGGACTCCGTAATCGAAAACTCATAAACATTTGTTTGCCACACCGCAGCTGATAATTCTGTTTGGCTCAACAGGGTTTCCGCTTCATGATAAAGCTTTAGTAAAGCTTGACTAAGCTCACTGTCGCCCGCCCTGCCAGTCTGAAGAAGTTGAACGGTCAGCTGGTCATATCGACTTATTAGACTCGCCAACGTTGGGAGAGAATCCATCAAAGAATCCAGAAAAGTATAGATCTCGGTTCCCCAGGACGGAATCAGATCCTCACTGGTGTATATGGTCGTTTTTGCCTCAGTAAGCCAGGCAGAACGTATGGTAGACCACTTTCGCGATTTGTAGGGTGTGAGGCTACCCAGTTGTTTAGAAGAGAGTATTTGCAATGACTAGAGCGATAAATGGTCAGTCTTTTGCTATCTACAAGAAAAATAGAATAACACAAAAACAGGATAAAATAACTCACAATCATTAGGCGCGAAGCGGCTATGAGCTGCTTATTTGTTTTCGAGTAGAGGTGGTCCTCCCCCCTTAGAGCAATAGCGTCAGCTAAAGCGCGGATATGGCTTTGCCAATTTATAGAGAGAGGGCACATTTTGAGCTGGAAAAGAATGAATGATAAGGAATTTCTCATTTGGACACAAACGGGTAGAATGCATACTTCCCAGAAAGCCATGACAACGCAGAAGAATGCGAAATGCTGCCAACTCTCCTCGCATACGCCATCAAGGGTGAGATCGCCGACCCCTAAAGCTGAGATGGATGATGACATTGATTTCAAGGCGAGCCCGTATTTGTGAAAACTTTGCTGTACAGAGACTGCGTCGCCCATGGCTCGGCCGAAATGCCCTTGAGCAAGAGCATTGACAGCCAATACCGCTGGCGTACTAAGGGATGCACTCGCACTAGCATTGGTAATTCCATCAGAATCGGCAGAGAAGTACGTGCGGAATAAGCTGGCCATGAAATGCGGAGTTGTGAGAAACCTGGTTGCAAACTCGGTCATGAAAAAGGCTGTGCTGAGCTGGGTTCTGTCAATTGACGGGCTCCGGTACAGAGGAGGGGATGCCACCATGGTACATGGGTCGGGCTCAATAAAAGCCCGATTTCCCGAGTCATTTATGTGCCCTCGGTTGGCATAGGCAGGCGATTTGTTCTTAGGCTTTGAGGGCTTGTTATATCCCGCCTTGGATACGCCCGGAGCTCGCCATCCGTCATTCAGGAACACAAAGTTGTCCCTGCGGTATCCTCTGCAAACTTGTTTCCGGCCTTCGCAAGCTCGACAAGTAGGCCTTCTACCATCTTCACACTAGGAGTCAGCCGACAAAGGTACGGAATGGTAAAGAGACGAAAACCTACCACAACGTGACCTTCGGGCAACGCAGGTGAGGCAGCCTTTGGAACGAGGCACGGAAGGAAGTGACGTGTCCTTCCCACATACTGGCATATTTTCTGAGACAGTAATGTTATCCTAGGAGCCCCAGGAAGCGAATCCCCGATTATTCTAGCAGACGATTGAGATGCGGAAGGGTAGTCATTGGAGATGGACGGAACTGGGAACTGGGAACTGGCTCAGAGAAATCACAAATGAGCCTTAACTCAATCAGGAAGGGAATGCTATCCCTGTCAATGGCCCACCTCAAACATTTACACAAGTTGCCGATTGGATAGATTCAGGAATTAGCTCCACAGAGTACTCTGGCTGGCGATTTGAAATGCTTCCAGAACACGAAGGGAGTTGGGTGAGATTGGCCTGGTTAATGTAATGATGTACGATCGTTCCGAAAAGTCCGTTGCTTGTCGGTTTTGGGTAAGAAACGCGATCCACGTCATAGTCTGCCCCTGGGAATTGTGGAAAACACATCGGAAATTATCACTTACCTACATATAAGGGACATCTCAACTCGTCCTGTCCTGTTGTTTCAGTCGAAGTGTCCTAAATATCGCCAAAACAACAAAAACACCATTAAAATCATGTCAAAGAATCAAATTCACGACGAGGACGTGTTAGGTTCGGCTATGTCGTCTGAGAAACCTCCCCCGCCAGGAGAAATATCTTCCTCTAAAGCCCCAGAGAAAGTCTCAGAAGCCTCTACTTCTGAGAATCAAGAACCAGTCCCGCAAGAGAAGGCTCTTCCAATCCTCAGTCTGATATTAATCGGTGCCGCCTTATGGTTTTCTATCTTTTTGATCACTCTGGTAAGACCACGATCCTGGAACGGCTACGATCAATGCCGCTTGCGAAGAATACTCACTAACAGCTTCGTGTAGGACGGGACTATCGTGGCCAATGCTATCCCAACAATTACCGATGAGTTTCATAAGATTTCAGATGTAGGATGGTACGGGAGTGGTATGTGGACAAAGACTGAAGCAGCGTCGCCGTGCCGTCTTAACATTTTCTAGCGTACCTCCTCACTCAGGCCGCATTCCAACTTCTATACGGCAAGATCTATGCCAAGTTTTCGATCAAATACACCTTCATCGCTGCTATTTTCCTCTTCGAATTAGGCTCCCTAGTATGCGCCCTTGCACCCAACAGTACTGCCCTGATTATCGGGCGTGCCGTCTCTGGCCTCGGAGGCGCAGGTGTCACCTCGGGAAGCATGACCATCATCGCATACTCTGTCCCCTTACGTCTTCGCCCTCTATTCATCGCATCTTTCGGTATTGTCTTCGCCGTGTCGTCTGTCTGTGGCCCTCTGCTAGGCGGAGTGTTCACTAGCAAACTAACCTGGCGATGGTGCTTCTACATAAACCTCCCTTTTGGAGGTTTCACCATTCTAGCCATCTTTCTCGTCCTCAAGGAACCTAATCGACCAGAGTTGGATACAATCTCTCTTAAAAAAAAACTTCAAAGCATTGATTTCCTAGGTACATTGCTGTTCGTTCCCGCCATCGTTTGCCTCCTTTTAGCCCTGCAGTGGGGTGGATCAAAATACTCGTGGAGCAACGGTCGTATCATCGCCTTACTGGTTCTTTTCGGTCTTTTGTCTATCGCTTTCATTGCATTCCAGCACTGGAAGGGGGAAGAGGCCACCCTGGTTCTTCGTCTCTTGGCTGGTAGGAGCGTGCTGGCAGCTGCCTGGTACGGTTTCTGCAACGGAGGTGCCATGACACTGCTTGTATACTATATTCCCTTTTGGCATCAGGTTATTCATGGCGTGAGCGCTGTGGATTCGGGAATTCGACTCCTCCCTTTTATGATTGGAGTCGTCATCACGGTGATGCTTGCCGGTGCTATCGTGTCTAAATTTGGCTATTGTAAGTTTGAAGAACCTGCAATTACGGATGATAACTAATCACTCCTAGATACCATCTTCTTAATTCTTTCGTCTATCATCACGCCTATTGGGGAGGGGCTATTGACAACATGGAAAGTGGACACGGGATTCTCGCAATGGGTCGGCTACCAAGCATTGATCGGGTTAGGAATCGGCTTGGGCCAGCAACAGCCACTCGTTGCGATCCAGAATGTCGTACCAAAGGCAGAGATTGCATCGGGAACGGCGATCGTCATGCTGGTCCAACTCTTGAGCGGCTCCATCTTTGTCTCTGTTGGGCAAGCAGTCTTGCAGAACAAGTTGGTGGAGAATTTGGCGAAGGCGTTCAGTGGCCGTAGCGACTTCGATCCATCTCAAATCGCCAATGCTGGAGCGACAGACGTGTTGTCGATCGTCCCGGTTGACGACTTGCCAGCAGTCTTGGAGGCGTATAACAACGCTCTGGTGCAGGTGTACACGGTCGCCCTCGTGCTGTCGGCGCTGACCATTTTTGGCAGCGTGGCTATGGAGTGGAAGAGTGTCAAGAAGGAGGCAGAGAAGCCCTCAGAGCTGGAGGGCTCGTCGGATAAGTAAGCATACTCATACCCCGTAACGCTGTGGTGGCCTGGAAAGCTCGCTCATGGACGCCTGTTTCAACCTCTCGCTTGGCCCGCAATGGATTATTCAACCCCCTAAAGATTCCTCCCTGGATAATAGATGTTAGATTTGATTTTTTTAATAGAAATATTAATGCTAGCCATCATACTCTGCTACAAGCTTCGGAGGATTGTAGTTCCGTTTGCTTGGGGATCGGAATTAGGCCATCAGTCACTAATAACGCCGCGTGTTAGGGGAGATTTCGGGGAACGTTTAGCAAGCCCGGAGCGTTGTGCGCCCGTCCAGCTGCACTATTTGACAGAACCTAATCCATAATAGCCGCGGCAGTAATAGCAATGTATTATCAAATTCAGTGACAGGTATTTGGTTCATAGGAATACCACTCATTGAATCCCTTCAGCTAAGTACAAATAAATCATTTTACTTACAAGAACGCGCGCTCTAGATTGGGGAACTGAGCTGAGCTGGGTCCATCTCTAGAGGGCGGAGGAACTCTGCTCCGCCGCCAGCTATTCCCTAATTCCAGAAGCATCGGGCGATCAATCCCGCGGGATTGGGCGTAACCTCCAGCCCAAATTAACACCGTCTCCGGAGATAGCAGCCCTGCCTGCATCACCCAACAGATACTGAATACGTATTAAAGAACAGGTTATCCGTTGAAGTCTGAAATTTTAATCCAACTTGTATCAATCAATTAATCAATTATTCCTAGAGCTCTTCGAACAAATACATTTACCACAACCAAAAACTGAAAATGGCAACTAAAGCGATCGTGGTCGGAGGAACCAGCGGCATCGGCTACGCAATGGCCTGTCGAGTGGCTGCTCAGGCTGGTTCAGCAAAAGTCATCATAAGCGGTCGTACACAACCTAAGCACATCCCGCATCCTAACATGGAATTCCGACCGCTGGATGCGACGTCCATGTACCAGATCAAGAAATACACAGACGCCTTCAAGTCTTCTCCAAACCAGAAATTGGACCTACTCATCATGACCCAAGGCATCATGACAACCGCTGGGAGAACTGAGACACCAGAGGGCATTGACCGAAAAATGGCACTGCACTACTACGGCAAACAGCTCCTCATTCGGGAACTTCTTCCCATAATGAAAGAAGATGGAAAGGTCATCATCGTATTTGATGGCAAGTTTGGAAACCCAAACAAGTTGAATTGGGACGACCTAGACCTGAAATCGAACTTTGGCCTCAGCACTTCTGCCAACCATTGCATGGTGATGAACGATGTCATGATCCAACATTTCGCCGCCCAGCAGCAAGAGGAAGGGGTTGGAAAACGGCATTTCATACATGCCTGGCCTGGGGCTGTCAACACAAGTCTGTTGAGGGAACTCCCGCAATTCATTCAGCCGCTGGCGAAGGCCGCGAACCACCTGTTTACGGTGCCTCCTGAGACTTGCGCAGAATATCTTCTCAATGGGGTTTCCGACCGCGTTTCCGACGGCGAGAAACAAGGCAGGTTTTGGGACAATATCGATAATAAAGGGCGCTTGATTGATAACAAGACGGTCTGGACCAAGGAGCAAATGAACACGGTAGCGGCTCACACATGGGGACTTATTGACAGCGGTATTAAGTCTTCTCAAAATTAAATCAATTTAATCATTCGCTCAATTGAAGACTGTGTAGGAATAGAATACGGGACGATAATTCGTTTACTTGTGCCTGAAGCATCCCAAGGTAGTTGGAATTATGTAGAGTAGAGTGTCATTTTTGCATTCCCGAGTCGAAGGTATTAGGCATTTATGCAATTTTCTATTATATCATTCTAATTTATTTGTTCCCCCTTTTACCTCAATTGACTGAAATGATAAAAGTACAATGCGGCTGATATCTCTTAGAGCAGTTGGGCTGAATTCCACAGCGCACGAGTGGGTGGACCTGGCTGGATGTTGTCGCTCCAGCCTTCCCATCAGTATCCTTTGGCCTGGGCGATATTTGCGACGTATTCAAGGTAGTTGAAAATCATCGCATTGGCCGGAGATTAATTCTATAGCTACTGGACCCCTTCATTTGACACATGATTCCGAAATGCCACGACAAGACCACCAATCACATGGACAAGTTGGCTTACGATCGCGAACAATACTAGCTGACGGTCCTATTCCATTTGTGGCTGCATCATCCGAATCTCCGCTGGTCAGCTTCTAATTTAGCTTTCCTAAAATGGTATACGAGCCCTGCTGATGTAGGGAGGCATTGATACAAATACCGCATTCAAGGTGTCACCTATTGTTCGTCGTAAGCCCTTTTTAGACGACTTTTCATTCATCCCGTAGTCAGGCTGTATTTACAACATGGCAAGCTCAGGAAAATTCGGAGTATTCTCACTATTGTGTCCAAGTACGCCGGCTAGCCCAGGTGTAGACGACCGGGGCAGGGCGATTCGGCAACGACGCTTCCACGCTAAGTCTCGACAGGGGTGCATGACCTGCAAGGCTCGCAAAGTCAAGGTAGGTCAGTTGAAAACTCGATTCTTTCGTATAGCTTTTACGCTATGCCCGTCTCTTTGGATCGGAACAGACGTTGGCTGACGCACTGAGTTACAGTGTGATGAACGTCGACCAGCGTGTCTGAAGTGCTCCAAAAGAGGCTTGACATGTGAGTTCGACAGCTATACTACGGAGAAGGAAAGACCTGCTAGCCTAGGTCACCATTATCCAGACACTCTAGAAACCGAGAATGATCGATGCAGAAACGATGAACGTCAGAACCTGCCCTTGTCCAGTACGATCAGTCGACGTTTGCTTTCCCGAACAGGCGAGCTTGGCACTCCAGGCTTTGACTTCGAGAGTCTACAGCTGCTGTATCATTTTGAACATTTCACATCCGAGACTCTGCTGCTTGATAAGCCTTTTTGGGAAAATCACATCCTACCCCTTGCTTTACAGGTTTGTCGACTTTCTTATACGTTCCAAGCTTCGATGCTGACCCCGGGATAGCATGAGTATCTCATGCACGCTATCATGACAATCAGCGCATCCCACCTGCTTTATCTGCAGCCCAGAGTCCGTGAACACAACAAGTTAGCAGCCCTACACCTGGATCGCGCATTATCGGGCTTCAGAGCAAGTTTGAGTGGCCTGTATCTACCACAGGCCCAATACGATGTTGTGATCGCGTGTGACTTCATCTTACTCTACTATGCCTGGTCAGTGCCATTCTTCAATGCGTCTGATGAAGACTCGACAAGGATCGAATCGGATGGGCTATTGTGGTTTGCAGCTGGTATCAAGACTGTCATTGTAACTATATACAAAATGAAACCCAGGGACAGTATGCTCCAAGCATACCTCGAAGTAGAACCCGTCAAGTCCTTTTACAGGTGGTCCGAACAGACGAACTTTTCGTACGACTTCGGACACCACTTTATCGACCAGTCACAAGCTCCGGTTCGACACCCGGACCTTGCCTGCGTTGCGGGCTGCGGAAGTGTCAACGCCGCGGAGCGGCTCGGGCCCGTCTTCCACGCACTTGATGCCACTAGACAGGGCGAAGACATCTCTGTGATAATGCCGGCTGTCGTGACATACATGCTCATGTGGCCCTCGAAAGCCATGCAGGACTTTCAAGACGAGATCAAAAGGGGGGATCGCAGGGCGTTGATTACCATGCTCAGTTTCTACGCGAGCAGTTGGAAACTCCTGTCGGGGAGGGCTTGGTGGGCACATCATCGCTCAAAAGTCATGTGCACTGAGATTTTAGATTGTCTTGACAGCAAAGGGCCGAGCATCTGGGATCAAAATGTTCTGAATATAACGGAATATTTTGGATTCAACAAAAACGCGGAGGGGATCTGGGAAACTGGGTCCTCAAATCTAAGCATGTGGCCAGCTTAGTTGTTCAAAATATTATGTTGTGGAAACCTCGCCAACGAGGTATTAAACTCGAAATTACTAGCTTGATCATACACTGCGCACGCTTCTCACTATGCAATCGAAAATCTCGAATTGTGGGCTTCTGAGCGAGAACCGTACTAGAAATAAGCTCGTATACCGAAAACGGTTTCGAACAAAACCTCGCTTCGTATATCCAAAAGGGCTAACTGCTACGTCGCCTCCACAACAATCGAACTATATAAGGGGCAGAATCCCCAGCAATAAGTCATCTTTCGAATTCAGAACATCCAATCTGACAAATAACCGAAATCAATTTCCTCATTCTTATCACTCTCAACTTACAGCCGACAATTATCGCTGCAAAATGGCAAACGTGATGATGGTGGCACCAAAGCCCAAAAGCTTTCTGGGTTATCATCGGCAGCTCGCCCCGAATGCTGCCGTCAAAGTCAGCCCGCTCTGCCTTGGAACTATGGGCTTCGGTACAGAGTTCAAAGACATGATGGGGGCATGTGACAAGGAAGCCTCCTTAAGCTCCTCGATTTCTTCTACGATAATGGAGGAAACTTCATTGACACGTATGATTGGAGCCCCGACACCGCACTCATTTGCTACGTCACTGACAATTTGGGCTTCCAGCGCAAATGTTTACCAGAATGGAGAATCGGAGAAGATTGTTGGGGACTGGATGAGAGAACGTGGCAACCGTGATGAAATCGTGCTTGCTACGAAGTACACTTCCTCCTACCAGCTGCTCAACCCAAAGGTCGGCATTCAGTCCAACTTTGGAGGCAACAACAAGAAGAGCATGCGTTCGGCCTTTGAATCAAGCTTGGCTAAGCTCCAGACTTCCTACATTGACTATGTAAGTCTGCTACCTATATATGGTGTGCAAGGTCCGCAGGCTCACTGTTGCATTCTGCATAGTTTTATGTCCATACGTGGGACTTCACTACTAGTATCCCCGAGCTTATGCATGCTCTTCACGATCTCGTTTCATCCGGCAAGGTGCTCTATCTTGGCATCTCAAATACGCCCGCATGGGTAGTGTCGATGGCCAATGAGTATGCGCGACAGAAGGGACTCACCCCGTTCTCTGTCTATCAGGGGCAGTGGTCCCTAGCCGAACGAGACATTGAACGTGAGATTCTTCCCATGTGCAATAACCAGGGCATGGCGCTTATCCCGTATGGCGTCTTGGGGTCCGGATCGTTCCGGACTACTGCTCAACGACAGGCAGAGCGAGAGAATCCCGAAGCAAAGAGAGAAGGCCGCAACATTGCAATGACCGACAAGCAAGAGAAAGCCATCGTTGCAGATGCTCTGGAGAAAGTTGCCTCGGAGAGAGGCACCAACATCACCAGCGTTGCTCTGGCGTGGGCTAGAACCAAGGGCCCTTACATTTTTCCTGTAGTGGGTGGACGCAAGTTTGAGCACTTGAAGGGTAGCATCGAGGCCTTGGGGCTTGAACTCACGAAGGAGGAGATTGCCGATATTGAAAAGGCGGTCCCGTTTGACTTTGGGTATCCGCAGACGATCCTCGGCGGTCCTGGAGGGGCGACAAAGCCAGGCGATGTCTGGATGACTCGTAGGTTCGGCACGTTTGACTGGGTAGCTCCTCCCGAGCCACCGAAGCAGCACGTCAATTGAATAGGCTTCTTAGTATATAGACGGTTTCTCCTTTCTTTGGCTGGAAGAAATGCATCGTTTATCTGTTAGGATTAGCTGCTAGGAAGAACAGCAACAACCACTGTATAGTACACCGGATGAGTAGTGGTGATAGAGTAGAGTTTCAAGTTAAGAACGAAGAGACTACCTACAACTGAGCAGAACTGGGGTTGGCTGAGCTGATAGCGGACAAGAAAATGATCGGGCCAGCTAAACTCACTCGTAAGCATGGGAATACGACATAAGTCTGTTCTCAAGATGTTACATGCATAAAATCTCCCACCACAAATGTAGACATACCATTTTAGGGTGTTGTTACTCTTCGATCCCCTCAAGTAGTAGCCATTGTAAAGCTGCACGTTTACTGCTTATTTAGCAGATTTCGAATTAATTTTGTTCTATTATTTCTTTATTACATCACCCCTTCGACCAAACAGGTGATGGAGGCGACGGAGTGTGTTCCAGAGGCGGTAGACCCGCACTGCTCACTGATGATACCGTTCTTGTGCTCGGTCTAGACAGCGTAGATAGTCTAGATACTCGCTTTGACCCCTCGTCGTCCCTCAACCGGCTCCCAAGGCTCCCAACTGGAATCGAGAATCTAGCTTGTCTTGTTGAAGCACGTTCCGACATGCCAGATCTTCTTGTGTAACTGCCGCCAGACATGCTTCCCCATCCTTGCCCACCACCGCTCATCTCAGGCCCGCCTGATACGGACGACGGCATGGGAGTGTTGCCCATTCTTTCAGCTTCTTCCTCAGAGCCGTCCTCTCTCGCAGCCGCTGCCCCAGCTGCCCCTCCACAACACGCCGCGAACCACCCAGCTCTCAAGGCGAAGAACGCCAGGCCGGCGAGGATCAAGGCGCCAACAATCGAACCGATGACTGCTCCCACAATTGCACCTGTCGAAAGAGAGCTGCCGTGACCACTTCCGCCCAAAGCCGCATCGGCAGTACAGTACCCGTCAGACGCGGATGCGGCATGCACAGAGGAAAAGTAGCTCTGTGCCTGACTGGGAAGGCCGTTGTACCAGTCAGGTGTGGTATATACAGAGTCGTGATCGATCGATAGGAAACACGCAGAGGCAGGGTCGGTCTGTGCCGCGGCTGGGACAGCGGTTTGGATGATACTTAGAATGTCGCCGGTGGCCAAGGTCGAATTTTCTGTCGTACCGGAGCCGGTCGCTGTGCGTGTGCCGGAAGATGCGCTCGTCGCCGACGTTCTCGAGGCGGTTATTGATCCTGACGAAGAGGAACTCGTTGCTGTCGTCGATCCGCTGCTCGACTTTCCACCACATATGCGATTGTCGCAGCACAGTTCACCCGGAGCCATGCACTGGTTTCCGCAGACGTATTGTTTACGACAACAAGTGTCCCTAAAAGGATCATCAGTACCATTATGTAGGTATGCAGGAGTAGCCGTCTGCGACTCACCCTTCCATGCAGACTTCTGAAGCCGAGCAGCTGCTGCGCCCACAACATTGGCGGTCACTGCCTATACAGTTATATTTGCCTTCTCCCGAATCATCCGCATAGGAACAGAGAATCTGACCAGAGGAGCTACAGCATCTACAAAGACTTAGCAATGCTCGAATTGAAATGAAAACGAGGACTTACCCCCATTGGCTGCCTGCCAACACAGAGCTGGGACAGTATCGCCCATTGCACTCATAAGAACTCCAGCGATCGGAACCAGAATCATAGCAAGTCGAACCTCCCCTCCCTCTGCATTTCAGGCCGCCGTTAATACTACCGCAGTCTACCGCTTGCAAGTAGCTTATGGACTCCATCTCGGTGTTCGATGCCCTCTACCTCTAGTGTGTGCTCGACCCGCCGACTTTGGGATAGCAGCACACGCAGCGGCCACTCGGGCGAGAGTGAAATGTCGAAAATGGATTGTGAGGATTTTAGGAAGACCAGGTCGCAGGCCTTTGTCTGGGGTATGGGTTGGGCAGCGGCCACTACATATTCAAGACATGCAACTCTGGGATGGATGCTAGCAAGGGGGTCGATCGAGCTAAAGCAGCATGATGGGTTGGGGTCATGCAACAACTCTACTGATGGAGGACACGAGCGAATAGGGCCTTTGGAAGCACTGAAAAGGCCATAATGCTATCATTTCGAGGTGCCATAATCATGCATGGGCTCCGTTTCAGCTCAGCCGCTATGTGAGCGCATCCAGCCAGGAGGGGGAAACAGCCGAATATGAAACGCCCTACACAAGCGTATCGAGCTCTAGCCAATGCCTGGCGCGCTCTACTCAAGTCGCGCCTCAGATCCTGATTTACGAGCGCAACGGGCGCCTGGGCTCAGGATTTTGCGGAGGTCTTCCCTGCCTCTGGCCGCCCACCTTTGAACTGTTCGGGTCCTGTCCGGAAGGATTGAGTGGCTCGCTCGTCGGGAGCGATGTGACGAAGATGACTCTTTTGGTTCGTCACAGAACGAGTTCCATGTGAGACACCTCTAATCTCCTGCCGCTTTACTCTGTTCGCTTTGCTGTCACCGTAGCCTAAGGCGTGGTGCCCTCTGACGTGTCTATGCCAGATAGTTCTAGTGTGCTAATGCAAGCCATCATTTCGTCTGGGAGAATTATGATGGGGGCCATGCCAAAATGGCAATTGATTGCTGCTTTTTAAATTCATCATGAATATCACCCATCCCACAGAGTGGGGGCGCTGAACACGAACAAGCTCGTAAAATATCCCTGTTGATGTGATTTGTGCGACATGACTGACGTCTGACGTCTTTTACTTGAAACCAATTTATCTCCATTGGCTGGCATCGCATTGTTTCGGTAGAAATATCCCAGCCCAAGACGTCGACCACTGTTTATTTGCGCCGGGGAGTGATATGTGGAAGAAGCGGTCCATGAAGATATGTATGTAAGAGCAAGAACTAAAAGTCAGGTCGCTCACCAATCTTTTTTCAGTGGCAATTATGAAATATTACAAGCATCGATCCAATATTACGGGGCGTAGTTGAACCAAGATGGTGATGAACATACGCCAAGAGAAATTAGAGCTCCTCGCAGCGATACGCCGCGTGTGTTTTACTCAAAAAATCTGCCCCCAGGACGGCGGGCGCGCCAATCCTTATAATCATCTTAGTGAGGATTCCTTCGAACCACCTTTACGGGTCTTCCATGGCTAACCCTTGTTGCGCTGGCCCATCACTAAGCTATATTGGCAAGGGTCCAAAACGGAGAACTTCAGCACTCGCTCACAAGCCTGGAGCTTTGCATCAAGAGCACCGTGCTCTCCAATCTAGGTACCCTAGCTACATTAACAGCTTTGTACCCACCAGCTCTGTCACGCTTGTAGTCTCATATCTACAGAAGATGAGAGATGGAGGCAAACCTTTGAGGAAAGTCGATATGGATTTGCACAGTTCCAATCCCAGGCGAACAGAGACTTTTTATTCTACCTGATGATGCACAAATCCACATAGATCCTAGCTACAATTTGTTCTCGGCTGGTAAGCAAGGTCTGGGGCCATGAACAGCAGAAAAGTAACTCACAGCATAGGCTGCACGACTGATCTCCTCCACGGCAGAAGAGGTCAATGATAGGATAGCCTCATCGTCCAAAAGTAGGCTACATCCCGCTATCATCGTGAAATCCGAGCCGATGAAGTTGGCCAAATATGGCCTGGGTTTTATGGCACAAACACTTGATGGGGTTCATCGAGACTACCAAAATATCTTCATAGTTGTATGTAGAAGTTAAGGGTGTCATCTAGATTCACGGATGGAACTGGATCTAACATTGACAAGCGGGAGCGAAAGATTAGGAGCACTTTGGTGATACTCAAGCGTCCAAACCTCAGGCAACTACTATCGGTGTTATTATTCCAAATTGCGAGCAGGTGCAGGAGGAGATAGCGGTTGCTCAGTTCCAGTACTTGGATATACCATCAATTCCGTAACTTTTTATTTGCAGTCTCACGGGTTAGATGATTGCTACTTGTACTTTACTCCCTACAGCGAACTGTCAGTTCTATACTCTAATGACGAGCCAGATTATAAACCCTCGTATAATTGTTACGCATACATATGCCGCAGATGAGAGTTCCAATGTTATAAATAAGGTCTAGCCACTCTAAAAACCAAAGTAGAAAGTTCTAAGTAAAACGATCCTCCGTCCTTGCAAATAGTAGGTTATTTCTTGGGTTGCATCATTTAGAATAGCAAACCTGACGCGAGTTGACTTAGCATAACACTAAATCGAACGAAAGACTGTTGTACGTTGGCAAAATAAAGCACTTAACCCCTGAGAAAGCTATGCGATAATATGCAAGGAGATTCTAAATTCGGGACTAGGCCGCGCCAAGTGCTTCCCTAAAACGTCTCGGATTCTACATAGCTCTTCTTAGTTGCTTAGTTCATGATTCCTATCTTGGTGCTCACGTACATTCTGGTTATATCCTGCGTCCCCTTCATCCGTCTGCGTCGCGGCATCCGACATAGTCCGCGTCCGAGTTTCTCCATGGTCCCATCCTGTGCGAGGTGGCGTTCCTCGTGTTGGAGAAGGGGACTCCATACTCTTTCGATGATATGTGTTGAAGATAGGACTCGTGGGGCTGGGATTGAATTCAAACTGCTGGCTCGCCGGTCTTGAGCCGGTGCCGGCTTCCAATATCTCGAGCCCTTCTTTCTCAAGCGCAATGACACCATACGGATCAGCGTCATCCGGCTCCGGGATGCCAAAGATCTTGCCATTCTCCGAGGCCTCAAGAGGCACGTCGCTCGGGACGGGCTCCTGGTCTACTCCTCCGAGAATCTCGCTGTCCACATCTGTGCGGCCTTCTGCAGCCTTTAAAGTCTCCATCAACCGCTTGATGCTGGCTGGTGGATGACGGACTTTTCCCGCCAAGATGTCCGAAACCCCTATAGCCTCTCCGTAAAAGCGCTTGTTCTCGTCGCTGCGCTCAATGACAACTGTCCCGTCGACCTGAACACCAGCGTAGAAGCCTCGAGATTTGAGATAAGTGAATACAGGCCTGTTTGCTTCCTTCCACTTGCCGTCATTCTCCAGAACACCACCCATTCCGACCGGGCCAGCGACAGCGCTGATCTCGCCTCCAAGGGTTGCGCGGATCTTGGTGAAAGCTTGCAGAGCCTTTGGGTTGTTGATGACGAGCACGCAGTCGTAGATGTCTACGCCTAAAAGAAAGCCCAGTCCGGCCGTATGCAGCATGATACCTGATGGCGCTGACCAAGACCCATCTTCGGTCCTGGCAACCAGGACGCCGGAGCCGCCGGCACCGGAGATCCAGAGTCCTGTGCGCATTGTGGTAAAGATGGCGAGGCCGACCGCATTCTCGATGACTCTTTGAGGAATCTTCTTCAGGACTTTCTGTGCCTTCTTTGGGCCCGCCTCCTCGGCTGACGGTGCTGGTTCCTCGGTATAGAACCCATCCTCTGAGATAGAGCTTGCGTCAGCAGTTTTCCAATTATCAAATATCCCAGGGGTATTCTAGAGCGCAATCAAGATTCTTCACAAGAGGTTGAGCTCACTGCAAAACGACCTTAGAATTCTAGCAGCCTTGTCGCTTTCTTTGTCGAGAGTCGTGGGCCAGAACGTTTCGCTGCCAACACGATTCGACAGCCTATTTACCGGGGCCCCGAGCTTATCTGCCCAAGACCACACTTTATCGAAGCCCTTCTTGCTCTGGGTCTTGGTCGTATCCCAAGATGGCAGGGCCGCCGTTACTTTCTTCATGCTGTGCTTATGCCGAGCTGCGATAACTTCAAGAATGGAAGAGAAAATTACAGGAAACTCTACAACCACGAGAAGCCAAGGCAAACCGATACATAATCAACCAAAATCACAGCATCGCCACCGCTCAGTTCGTGCCTCCGTCTCTCCCGAGAGGCTTCCGGGACGTCCGGCGGTTGAAGCTTGACGTCACACCGGAGCCTTGGAACAATCACCAGACCTCTAGAAGACATGTGCTGTGTTACCACCGGCTTAGGCCCTTTGGAATCGAACGATAATCGAAACTAGTCGATGGTGGTTACCCAAGACGTGCTTCTGCCAACGTAACCCTATTCCGCATCAACGAGCCTCGTTGCATGGGTACGTATTTCTGGCATATCCCGAGGTAGCTCCACCACCAGATTAATGTTCCGAGCAACACTAACGCATCCATTGATGAGATTGGCGATCCTGGCATTATTTATTGTTTGTTGGTGATGGCTTGAGCGTTTCTATTTGCTGACGCGTGTGCCTCGGCAATTCCGCTAGCCATCAATAGTAGGATCCAAGCCGGATGTGCCTTGTGAACCATGCCCGTGCATAAGGACCGAGGAATGGGGTGAGCTTCCCCGCACAGCCATAATCAGTGAGACACGGGGCTGGATAACCATTATTTAAGTGAACTCTGCCCATTCGTAGCTCCCTTCAAAGTCAAAAAGGCACCCGCAGCGTAGTGAGATTTAACTCAAAGAGGACAGCAAAGGGCCCGTCGTCTAGCAAACTCACAAGATGTCAGCCAACGTCCCGTTCGCCGAGCCGCCGTGGCTCAATGGCATCCCATCGCCGTACTTCGACGAGTCCCACAAGAGGGTCCAGGCTGCATGCCGCGACTTCATCGGCCGCAACCTGAGCCAGCACGCGTTCGAGTGGGAGACGGCCGAGGACGTGCCTCCCCACGTCTTCGGCGAGTTCGCAAAGGCCAACTTCCTCGTCCCGGCACTGCCTGCTCCCCTGCCAGCCGAATGGCTGCGTCGCGTGGGAATCACCCATATGCCTGGCGGCATCCCCGTGGAGGACTGGAACTACCTCCACGCGCTCATCTACGCGGATGAGGTACGTCACGACACCAATCCCATTTAACATAGCCCTCCGCTGACATGAAACGCGTCCCAGATGAGCCAGTCCGGCCTCGCTGGCCCCGCGGGCTCCCTCACCACGGGCATGGCCTTCGGCGTGCCCCCCATCTTCCGCTACGGCAGCAAGGAGCTCCAGGAGCGCTTCCTCCCCGACCTCCTCACGGGCCGCAAGCGCTCCTGCATCGCCATCACCGAGCCCGAGGCCGGCTCCGACGTGGCCAACATCGTCACCACCGCCGAGGCGACCCCCGACGGCAAGCACTACGTCGTCAACGGCTCCAAGAAGTGGATCACCAACGGCGTCTTCGCCGACTACGCGACCATGGCCGTGCGCACGGGGGGTGCCGGCTCGGGACCCAAGGGCATCTCGCTGCTCGTCGTGCCGCTGAAGGGGTACCCGGGCGTGTCGCTGCGCAGGATCAAGGTGTCGGGCCAGATCAGCGCGGGGACGTCGTTCATCGAGCTCGACGACGTCAAGGTGCCGAGGGAGAACCTGATCGGGCGGGAGGGGCTGGGGATGCACTACATCATGAACAACTTCAACCACGAGCGGCTGTTCATCGCCGTGGGCGTCACCAGGCAGTCGAGGGTGGCGCTCAGCGCCGCGTTCGAGTACTGCCTCAAGCGCGAGGCGTTTGGCAAGGTATGTTAATCACTCCCCAGATGATTTCCAAGGACGCGGCTGACCGAGCATGTCCCTTTAGAAACTGATGGACCAGCCCGTGGTCCGCCACCGGCTGGCCAAGTGCCTCGCCCGGCTCGAGTCGCAGCAGGCGTGGGTCGAGTCCTTTGCGTACCAGCTCACCAAGATGCCCAAGGAGCAGGGCGACAAGGAGCTCGGCGGGCTGACGGCGCTGTGCAAGGCCAACGCGGGCAAGGTCCTCGACGAGTGCGCCCGGTGCGCCGTCCTGCTCTTTGGCGGGAACGGGTACACTCGCTCCGGGCAGGGCGAGATTGCAGAGAGTAAGCCTCGCGTCCCTTTCTTCTTCTTCACTTTACCGATTGCTAATGATTCTTTACCGCGAATAGAGATTTATCGGGAGGTCCCAGGTGCCCGGATCCCGGGTGGTAGCGAGGACGTGTTGTTCGATCTGGCCATTCGCCAGACCGTCAAGCTGTACAAGGAGAAGACGGCCCAGCTCAAGGCCCAGTCACGTCTCTGAAGAGTTAGAACGGGTATGTATAGATAATCGCATGGTAGTTTGAATTCAGTTCCATTGATTGAGATGCTATTTACTTCCAGTTGAAGTGAACTGGATGCATAATATATAAGTACTAGAAATAGGTGGTATCGATGATGTATGCAGCTCGCTCATATCCCCGTCGTTCCCCATGTATGCAATGCCCCTCGCTCCCAAAACAAACCATAAATAGGTAGGGAAAATGGTGTATATTACGATGAAAAGAAAACCAGGCGACCCTTGCCAATGCTGATGCTGTGTAAATGCTAGATATGCTTCATGAGAATGACAAAAGAAAAGATGCAGATGTCGCAGTCAAGCTTCCTCCCACCCTGCCCGGCGTTTCCAGAACCAGCCGGAAGACAGGATGGGAAGGGCCATGCTCGACACCGGGGCATTAGAAGATTCGTCTATTATGCGCGGTCCGTGAGTTGCGTGATACATGTTATGCGTGATTTTAGAAGAAATTATACGGCCGGCGGTTCTCGTGGGATGTGCTGGTCCGCGTCCGCGTGCTCTGGGCGATGGACGGGCGACGGACGTATCGTGAGACTTCTCTCAGGTACTTGGTGGTGCCGAGGGCCTCCATGCGCTTGCCGTGGTGTTGGTGGGCGACCATGCGGTCGCATTTGGTGCAGAAGTGCGTGATGTTGTACTTCTTGTCTTTCTTGGCGCTGGAGCTCATGCCGAATGTCGCGATGAAGAGCCCGGTGGTGGCGATGCTAGTACGCAGTTAGCAAATCCATCAATCAATCAATCATGTCCGAGGGGAAGACTCCTTACTGTGTCACCTTGGAGGGCTCCTTTTTCACACGTGTCTCAACGCGACGTTGGCAGAATGGACAGTCAACCCAGTCCGGCTCGTCAGAGAGGAGGTTCAGAGGCGTCACCGACTCATCGTCGTCATCTGACTCGGTATCAAGAGAAAAGCGACTCAAAGGCGGTATCACGAGACTATCTCTTCGGAAGAGCTCGAGCGATACAGTCGACTGGTTGAGGGAGGAGACAACCACCTCCGGGAAGCCGCCATCGTCAACGGGGGACATGAAATTCTTCCTTGGGTCCCTCGAGTCCCGTCTCCTGTACCCCGTCGTTCTGGAAGTGCTGGTATTACTCGCGCGCTTGATACTTTTGGCGATGGCGGATTGTCTGATGTTCGTCTCTAAAGCAACTGCCTCGATGGACGGCTGCGGGCGGCGACTTGCACACAGCGACGGCGATGTCGAGTACATGGGCTTCTCCTCCTTGCTCCCAGTGGGAGGCGACATGAGCGGGTCGATGGCGCATCCCTTGATATCATCGGGGGAGTTGAAGAGGGGCGATGCGGCATCGGGGTCGACTGGTGGCGGGGAGACGCAGTGTTCCGTGGGTTCTAAATGCTTGATCTGACCGGCAGCGATGTGAGTGTACGAGGTCATGCGCCTCAGACTGGCGAACGAGGCTTTGCGCGGGAGATGGATATCGAAGCTCCGGTACCTCTGTTGGCGTGTCCCCAGCATGATGGTTGTGTGTGAGTTTGGTGGTGTAAGCCAGATCTTGTGCTTGGCAGTCGTGCTCTCAAAACACCGGCCGCCTTACACTTGACTTTGATTATCTGTTAGAAGCTGGGCGATGTTCAACATGGAAATTCCAAATGAGGCTTCAATTCTCTTTCCCGGGCAGATCCAGAAGGGACTTGGGGGCGGTTATATCGATCCAAGGCCGAGAGAGACCCCCGCCTGCAAGGGAGTGTGATCCCGTCGACACGCGCGACTTGGTCCCCGGCCCTTCCATCGCCCATGGCAGACATTTCACGCACAGGGCAGCTGCCCGACTGCTACAAGGGATGTCCCATGTTGCAGTGGCGCTTCAGACCGCCAGATTGCATTGGGAACGCGCTGGCAAAGAGGCAGCTCCAGAGCCAGAGTCGAGTCCAGGCCTTGGGTAGTCTCCAAGTTCCACTGAACCACGGCGGTCGTGAGGTGCTGACGGTCCTCCCAGGCCACTGTAATTGCACTTCACCACAACGCTTGCTGTTGATCAACGCCATCAACCAGCAAGATTGAATTAATTAATCAATCACGGCAGGCAGTTATTTTTGGTCTTCGTCATTGTGTATTTTATGCTCTGCTGCTAATGAACGGGCAGCAGATAAGTGCCATCTTGAGGATACGCGCCTCTGCACCCTCTTGTGATCGAAACCGTGCTCACACAGGTCTGTTTCATGACTGGTTGCAGAGACGAGGCCATCACCGAATTCGCCATTTCCTGCCTTCGAACGAGACTTCACGCCTTTGGCCAGCGGGAAACCGTAAAATTTGCCGGAAAGGGAGAATGCTGGGGCAGGTTTTCGCCTCATCTGTTTCACGCCAGCCTTGGATCTCAGCTGTCAAGCAGGCAAGGATCGCTTCATTGCTCATCGAGTCATCTGTGTGCGCTAAGAATAACCAAAGTCCCTTTCCCATGTTGATTTCCACCTTCCCCTTCCCAGGCCTCAGCCCTAATTACATCACGGATCCCGTCCAGAACACACGATGCGCGTATACGCTTATTCGACTGCACAACTGCACAATTACGTCGAGTTTCCGGGGCAGATGTGGCGTTACTGCTAAAACGTCTAGCTGCCGTGCAGGAACAGAAACCCAAACGCCCCTTGCATAACATCCTGGTTGTGCGTTGAAGCTGCCCAACCAGAGCCGCTGGCCAATATCTCCGCTCCGCTCGCACTCGGCACCGGGCCTTTCCCCAAGCTGCAGCATCACGACGCCGTGGATTTGTTTGTTATGTTATGCCAGAGGTGCCTTTGCTGCACGCATTTGCATGCTACAGTATCAGCCTATCAACAACGCGGTAATTGATTTCCACGCGTGTTTCATTCCACCATCATTTCCAAGGCCACCTTTGCCACACGAGGGGTCGCCCATGGACAGCCATTTGATGCCATGGCATCGTGGTGTTGGCTCATTCTTTTCTCTTCGAATGGAATATTTACTTCTGCTCCCTGGTCCACCTCACATGCATCGATGACCGACATGATGGTCTCGGCAAATTCTCTACAGCCACAGTTCATGGCCCCCAATCCTCGGCAACGTACAAAAGTACAGCCCCATCTCATTCCAGCAGCCGATCCAAACGTGAGAACTCAAACGTACTCATAATAATAATAATCATGCTCCATAGCCGAATTCATTGATATGATCGAATGAGAGAAAATGCCAGGACAAAAGAACGGTAAAAATTATTGTTTTACTTGGGTTACCATCATGCAGATCCAGATTTGAAGTATCCGTAAATAGCTGGATCAACAGCAGTATCCCTACGAGGCTGATGGACAAGGTTCGCACTATTTTCTGCTTATGATCTTTTCTCGCACTGAACATCACTAATCAATGTCATCTTTAAAATTTAAGAAAATCGTGTCGCTTCAAGATGATTTCCCCGCTAGGTTATCAAGCTTTCGCTAATTTTAGCATTGGGGAAGCGACTATGGATCGCATCTCATTTCGCTCGGGAGACCAATTTCCTTCGACCCTCTTGGGTGGAAAGATGGCCATACTGGAGTGTGTAGGATCGTCTGTTGCGACAGGGATGCGTTTCACATCTCGACTAGAAATAAGTCATTTCCGTGGCTTCTTTAGCACAACAGGAAGGCATGGAGATTTTCCGTGCTTTTTCCGCCCATTCTTTATGCTTCGGCCCATTCTGCATCCTGCTCACATTGTGGAATGTTATGAACCTAAAAAAATCTGCAATCTTATGCTTGTGAAGGGATGTTGTAGCACGTGTCGTGTTGTCAACATCGACACGCGACCACTTAGCCTACCCTAAACTCCTTGACCCAAACTTGACTCCAAGATAAATGCAATGAGCTGTCACAAGATAGCTCAATTATAATCTCTTTATAAATTAGGCATATTCTATTCTTTGTGACTATATTTGAGATACCGTTTGTTTTTTTGCCACTTCTTAGTTGCAAATGTCAGGGCATTCCAATTCCTTCCAAATTTACCTCGTCCATCTCAAGCTGCTTGATGCCTCTTACACTCCAGACTTAATTCACCGCTCTGAATGATCTACGATTTCTATTTAATTTCTAGCTGACTAACTTAAAACCTATCGACTCAGTCCCATTGAATCCGCGGCTTCTTGAATTCCGGGCTTGGTAGATGATTGTTGACCCGGGCAAATGTTCCTCAATTAGGTTGCCTTGGATAAAGGCATCTACCAGGTGCCACTGGCTGGAGCCGTGATCAACAACTCTCACTGACCCAGAGGGATTGGGAAATTTCTAAAAAATGACAAAAATAAACAGAGTGAAACGCGCAAGACTTGCTCCCTATTGAATTACCGCAGGCGGTGAATGGCGAAGCTTTTGGCAAGTCGAGGTAAATTCGACGAAATCTCACGGGCTAGACCCATTTCATTTCGTTTATTTTTGCCTTGTTCTAGGTGGAACGAATCCCCAGCTCAAAATACTAATCACGCGAGCCTAGGGAGGAGCATGGGTTTGTTTTGTTCATCACCGTAAGCAAGGGGTTATCCCAACGCGTGACTGCACTACACACTTTTTATAAACACATGTTATGGTCTATACTGAATTCTTTTACACCAAGAAAACTCAAACAATCATACATATAGCTTAGGTGTTGGCACTGTCATCTTAAAAAACCTCTATCAAGGGCTGGCCAACTTGGGATGTTAGTACTCATCATCACCAACCACAGCCACTTCTCTCAATTCAATCCAAGCCAAACGACGATGTCAATATCTAATATCATTATCCCTACCTAAAACATGACAAATTTAAGCATAAATGAATTTCTAGTAATAGCTTTAAAGATTACTTTCTTGATAATGATGAGGCGATGATGTTCTAAATGAGCTCGGAGGTAGGCAAGGGAGATTCGCACAATATTTTGCCAGTTTTTGTTGAGCATTGCAGAGTTTATGCCAAAGCGGACCTCACAGATCAAGTATGATTTTCCATTATACCCGAATGCAGCTATGTCAATTTTCCGAGTTTCCTTGAATTCTGACTTTGGTCTTGACCCATCGTCGGTATGAAAGTTATTTGATTACATTTTGCCGTCTCCCTGCACTTGAATATCGTAACAAGGAGCATCATAATACCTTCACAATCTGGAGGGACGACTATATTCACTGCTAGATGTTATCAATATATGACGCGATACCACAGATAATTGTCTGAGACTTCTTTACTTGATTTGTTCGAGGGCAGCTATGCAGTCGATTTCAACCTAGATAGATGTCAGCATCCTACCCCTCTCAATCTATAGCTGAGAGGTTCATCGCCATGAAAACTTACCTTGGCACCGCGCCCTAGCACTACATTGCTAACACAGACTCGAGCCGGTTTAGGGTCGGGGACAGTGGCAATGTCTGACATGGTAAGATAATGCCCAGACGCCTCAGGGTTCAAGATTCTCACATGCGGCATTCATAGCGGCGAAGTCGGAAACATCAGAGAGAAAAATATTGCACTTCTTCTGTTAAACCTAGTTTGGGTGACGGAAATAGTCAATATTACCTTGAGGATACTCGCAAGGCTGCTGCCGGCGGTATGAAGAACGGATTCAAGTAAATTGAACGCCGCTTTCTGTCATATTATGAAGATTGTTAGCATCCTTTTCGTGACGTCAGGGGGGGAATTTTGCGTTGTGCCAACACGCTTACTGTCTGTTCAGCCACATCATCTCCTACTAGCTGTCCAGTTGCTGGGTCGAGCCCAATCTTCCCACTGCAATAGACTACATCGTGGTGTATGGTGGCTTCTGAGTACAGAGGCGACGAGAAGTTTGCTCTGTTGACTGGCCGTTTCCTAGTCATTTGCTGTGATTGAGTCATGATTGCTGCCAAGTTGACCGGTCGGTTACCCTTGCTGCATAAAGAAGCTGGCGAGTGTCCATCATCTCTTTATCAACTCCATGTCTTCTCTTAGATGGACCGTCCCGGTATCAACGGCTCTACGATGACCTCGGATATTGCTGGACCCTGGAGAGATCCGAATGGACTAGACGGTTATTGATTTGAGTCTCCAGGGTTCTCGACCAAAACGGTGGAGTCATGAGGTTCATGGTTGAGATCTTTAGTGCGGGGAGCTGAAGGCTGGCGGGGGAACTGTTGATAAAGCTAGATAGCATTGGGAGTTGAGCCAATCGGAAGAGCCCTTCGTATTCTCCCGAGTCAAACGGCCGTCACTCAGGAAGATTTGCAACCTTGACTCGTGATCAGATTTGCAGTTTGAACCTCAAATGGTCTTATGGTTGATCGCGACTCTATATTAAACAAGACAATGCACCGGTCTCGATTGAGAAGTCGTGAATTTCAACCAGCACTTTCACCGAAACGCACTCATTGAGACCTCAAATTCGTAGTGCGTCTGAAAGTCATCATAAGCCGCAAACGACCTCAACTTCAACAGCATGGCTTTCAAGAAGCTCTTTGAGCCATTTGCCAAGCATCGAAGGGCACTCAAGGCTGCCCCTCGGGAGATCTATAATCGACGGCTGATTCTGTCATCGTTGCTCTATGCTATGGCAGCTCTTCCATTGGGTAAGACATTGAGATTGTTCGAAGCACTTGTCCAAGTTGACCAATAAATGTGAAGCTTGGGACCAGGCGACAACTGCAGCGATTCCATCCCTCCCAGGTTTCCAGAAGCATTTCCAGCTCAGCTCCGGGAGCAGCGCCCTCGAGATTCGAAATTTCGTCTCCATCGTCTTCGCTGGGGCGGGTATCGGTGCTGGTTTGTCATTCTTCCTCAACGATAGACTGGGCCGCCGATGGAGCTTCCGTCTCTATGCCTGCATCTGGATCCTTGGGCAGCTGGTCGCTACCGCATCTCCGACCCTGGCAGGCCTGTATGCTGCACGCATTATATCTGGTCTGGGCATGGGTGCACTCACCGTTACTGGGCCCATGTCCATCGTGGAGATCGCCCCGGCTGAGATCCGAGGCACGCTCACAGCCTGGTTCAATGTTGCCATGAACATGACCGCAACATCTGGCGCGTTCTGCGTCTACGGGATTCAGAAGAACATGTCATCCAGCGCTCTTCAGTACCAAGTTGCGTGGTTCTCGCCCTGTGTCTTCCTCTTCCTCTGTATAATTGCTAGCTTCTTTGTTGTGGAATCTCCTCGTTGGCTTTTCTTAGTCGATCGACACGAGGACGCGACCAAGGCGCTCATCATCCTTCGAGGTCTGCCTGCCGAGCATTCCCGGGTGCAACAGGAGCTCATGGACATACAAAACGCCATTCACGACGAAAAGGCTATGAATGACGAGGGCATCCTTGGCATCTTCAAGGAAACCTTTCTCAAAGTTTCCAATCTTCGTCGCGTGCAGCAGAGCCTCGTGACGTACGCTCTTGCGCAACTCTCTGGCGCCAACTCCGTCACCTCCTACTTTGTCCCCATACTCACTCTCATTGGAATTGGCGGAGACGCGTCGAGGAATATCTTCCTCAGCGGCATGTACACATTCTCTAAGTTTTGCTTCGCCATCATTGCGTCCTTCTTCTTTGTTGACGCACTGGGTCGACGCAAGTCTCTGTTTGTAGGAGCTTTTCTCCAGATGGTCTCCGACTTTTATATCGGTATTTATGTCAAGTATAAGCAGCAAGGAGATGTTCCCAGGTCAGCATCCACTGGAGCTGTTGCTTTTATATTTATTCATGGATTTGGCTACGTTGTGGGTAAGTATTGCGAAACTCCTTCTAAAGTTCCCTTATGCTGAACCAACTTTTAGGTCTGTACATCCTACCGTACGTTTTTGGTGGAGAGTTGTGGCCAAACAGGATCAGATCATTTGGCTCGGCTCTCTCCCAATGCTTTCACTGGCTGTTCCTCTTCGCCATGGTGTACGGCGCGCCATCCCTTCTGGAACAGACTAACAACTGGGGCGCATTCATCTTCTTTGGTTCTTGGTGCTTTATATCCCTAGTCTACGTCTATTTGATGGTGCCCGAGTCGTCTGGCCTTAGCGTTGAGGAACTCGATCGTATCTTTAGTGGCTCCTGGTTTAATGCCGCCCGATCGACTGGGGCCAACGTTGCTGTCCTTGAGGGCCAGGAACACGAAAAGAATGTCAGCACGTGAGTTGAATTGTCTTCCATCATTATACGTGTTTAGTAACTGTTTCTAGTGTTGAGAAAGCTACAAAGTCTGATGTTTAGTATAAATATGGAGAAAGGAAAGGGGAACAAACTAGGTAGAGCTTTTGTAAAGGATCGCCGGTATTGTCCATGAAAGAGTCAATTTGGATCGTTGAATAGATCCACGACTGAGGTAGTCTAACACCTATTAATCTTGTTGAGATTCGAGTATTTAAATCTCCGCTATCGTTCTTTGTGGATTGAACCTTTTGTCACGAGCTCACGGAAAGTCCTCCATGGGCAGCATGGACAAGGAAAGAAAGTACTAGTTAATCATCAAGAAGAAATGTTGTCTTCTCTAGATTGTTCAATTTAGTGGGCAAGAAACTAATCTATGCATTGTTGTCACATTTGATACATTGTGCTGATATCAGCCCTATCCCACGATCCATCATCCCCTTCACCAGTTCCGCTGAATGAGAAGTCATCCCCCAGCCCGCTCAATAACAAGTCCACCCCTAGAGAAATACCAGAATCCGCGATTCCCGCCATCCACTCTGGTAGATCTGCGGAGTATTGATCCTGTTCTGTGGCAAACCAAGTAGGAGCGGCCTCTTTCCCTTGCTGCTTATCAGCTATCATCGTCATTGTACGACTGGCTAGAGCTTCAAAGACATCGCGATACGGAGCAGCGTCCTTCCATCGTTCAGCCATTATGACAAGAACCATGGTGCAATCCGTGCAGGTACTGCTGATTTGGTCATGACGAAGCGAGTCGCGAACAGTGGGTGCTTTCCATAAGCAGTAGAGATATGTCAGCCCGGCCATGAACAGCTCGTGCAAGGCACCCCAAGTAGGCGTTGTGGGGGTTCCCAAGAATTGACGGCGGTAGCTGTGGCAAGCGCTCTTGGCAGCACGCATACATTTGGTGATGACTTCGGGTGGGATTGGTCGCTGAGTGTCTGTTATATGAAATCTGTAAAGCTGCAGAATGGCAGAGTCGTAGACGGCTTGGTACCAGTCGGGAGTTGTGAAGAATGAAAGAGCACCACCATCAGGAGGCGACCTCGGAAGGGGCCTCGAAGCCATAAGCTTGTCCAATTCCTCGAGCAAGTCTTTTATATGGGCATCTCGGCGATCAAAGTCCGTGGCAGTGTTATCGGAATACAGCGTTGAGTGAATACGGCCAAGCAAGTTTCGAAAACGGAAACCATGGATCGCATGTGTCATCATTGTGGGTGGTTCGGATGAGGTCCGCGGTGATTCGTATAGTCCGGTCTTGGTAAAACAGGAATCCTCAAGATCGAGAGGAAGCTAAGAAACAGAAAAAGTCAGAGCCTGATATCAATCGGTGGATGCGCTGCATAATGATTCAACTTGCATCTACGTCAATTTCCTGTATGCGGAGGCTCAAGGGACGTCCCAACAGTAGTGAGGCTGAGCATTCCATCGAGTATGCGCTCCAAAACGCTCTTTTTTGTAATTCCGATTGAACTTGGCTTCTTGCTAGCCGCAATCGATTTTGATCACGATGGTAGCCAAGGTTGATACATTGCCGGAGCGCCTGACCGGCAAGCTTCCTACTTTTAATTAGTGCCAAGTTCATACATCTAGTATGATCTTTCTTACCAATGAGAAGTCCCTTTAGAAGAGCGAAGAGAATAAGTGGCTGAACAGAGAATTGCCTGTATGCATTCCAAATTGTCGTGATACAGTATTTCGTCAATATAGAGGAGGGCCGAAGCATATAGCCGCTCTGGGGAGCACCCAGGAGTTGGTAATAGTAAAGCTCCAACGGCGTACACCTTGAAGTATGGTTGGCAATGCATTCTCTTTATTTTATCAATAGACTATACATACCATATAGAGGAAGTATATGGGCACGTATTTGTATTCGAGGACCTCGAAAGGGTCAAGTGAACTCTTGAGTGCCGATTCCCATGTCTTGAATGTTGGCTCATGTAGGAATGGGTATTGGGGGTGGATGTTCTGGAAATATGCGTTGCTTAGTCTGGCAGCTGTCTGATAGTCTGGCAGCGGGCACGGATTAAGCAGCGAAGGTTGACTAGAACCCTCGTCCGTTCTACTAGGAGGAATAGAGGAGACAACCTGTCGCAGAGACGGCTCGACGAATCGTGCAAAGGCAAAGACCGAAGATGAGCCTAGATAATGTGGCTCCGCCCCTGCAGCACTTAAACTTAGGGTACCAATCATGGAAGATAGATCACCTAACTCGTGCTGCTCGCTACTTGTCCTACGGAAGGAAGCTGATGCATCGTTGCTTGGTGAAGCAGTCGATCCCTCCAAGTCAGACTCACGAAGCTTCTCCTCCAAGAAGCGGACACGCTCTTCTAGTGTCTCTAGGTAGTTGCGCGGTTGTTGGCGCTTGGTTGCAGGGTCTTCGACGAGGCATACTACAATTCTTGCCCGGTTATTAAGGCCTTCTTTAGGACAGAGAGCGTCCATATGCTCACCTGAACCAATTCTGCGACAATTGGAGCATGCCGGGACTTGATCGTCACACTGCACCGATATATTAGCCTCGTTGTTGCTCACATTGGCCATGATATTTATACCCTCAGTTTCCGCTCTTTGCAGCCTATGCAAGCTACCAGCATTCTGTTTCCTGTCCGGACACGGTGCGCGGCTCCTTTTGCAGGTCGACTTCTTGGTAGCTCAGGCATACTTGTAACGAGCGCGAAGGGAATTAGACGTGAAGACCTAGTTCTGAATCGTGAGATGATGGGAGTGGTAATGCGATTTGGACTCCAGTTGATGACAGGACGAAGATAAGAGATTCGTCGATTGCGCTAAGTCCTTGCATTACATCACGCCAGTGAGGGGGTCCGAAGTCGCAGATATAAAATCTACAAGACAACATCGCATCGCCATATCTCGTCTTATTAACAGGGAGAAACTTTGTTCTCATTAGGTTCCTGTTCCTCCTGGGAGAGTTTTAAGAATGTGTAGTTACGGATAAAATTGAATAGACAAGACATATGTAGATGGAGACATTGAAATTAGGAGATTTTCTAATCGACTTTTCATGATATGAGACGGCACCAAAAACCAGGTGAATGATAAGTCTAGTCAACATATTCATGAAGACTCTAGCATCATATTTGGATCAATGTGAAAGACAATCCAGATATGAGCTCAACTGGGTGATATCAATGGAGAGAGAGTATATGCCATCAGAGGTGGCCTTGATGTGCATCGGGTATACTGCATGCTATGTAGTGGTGAGATTTCTTTAAACAGATGAAAGGAATAGACATAGATGATGATCAGCTTATTGTCACTGTGAGGCGTCGAAGCAATAAGTTAACCAGCGAGACGTTGTCATCAGTTGGATCCGATCCCGGTCCGTCGGTTCGGAAGAATACGAAGAGCCAATAAGATGCGCCCAATGTCCGTGTGCCATAACCGACACCGTGCCGTTGACTCTGCACTCAGGGATCCTCATTATTGAGCTGTAATATCATGTCGGAGGAATACGAGATGATTACCGCCAAAGTCCCGAGTTGCCGGACTCTTGGGCTGCTGCAAACTCATGCTGAGAATGCTAATAAACTAGCAATCTGTGCCTTCGGTAAGCTAGAACGAGCGAACAATACTCCTGTCTGGCTCTATCAAAGCCTACCATTTATAAAACAAACTCATGTCAACCAGTAGCAGCAGTGGAAACAATGTCTCATCTCACAAGTAAAGCCTCTCCCATCGTCATTGTTGGCGCAGGCGTCTTTGGGATTAGCACTGCCATGCATCTCGCCGAGAATGGCTATAGCAACGTGAAGATCCTAGATAAGCAGGCGTACAATGACAGTCAATACAGCTACGACAAAGGCTGTGATGCTGCCTCAGCAGGTACATGGAGATCCCATCTTCTTCAAGAATTAGCGACTGACTTTCCATTGACAGATATCAACAAGATCATTAGGGCTGCATATGGTTCGCAAACCCATCATCAAGAGCTTGCTCTAGATGCAATCACGCATTGGAAGAGATGGAATCAAGAAATCCAAACGGGCGAAAATTTGCCTCCGGGTTTTACGACCAGTGATACCTTATTTGTGAATAACGGAAACCTCAGCATGACCTCGAGCCCTGAACTATCACAGTTCGAGAAGGATACCATTCAAAACATGACCAAAGTAGGAAGGGCAAACACGCAGATTGTGCTTACTGACCTTGATGATGTGGACCGTGCAAAGGCGAGCGGTTTCGACTTTGCCGTCAACCCATTTCACCGACAAGAAAACTTTGGCATACTTGACATACAAGCTGGTTTCGTGTATGCTGATAAGGCCTGTCGTTTTGCCCTTCATAAAGCTCAGAGTTTGGGGGTCCAGGCAATCTTGGGAGGCGCCAAAGGCACATTCGCAGGTCTCGTTCATGACACAAATTCGAAAATTAATGGAATCCGAACCGCAGATGGTATAGTCCACGGTGCTGAAGTGGCCATTATGGCATGTGGTGGATGGACGCCCACGTTAGTTCCGCAGCTTGACAACCTCTGCGAGACAACGGCTGGGAGTGTATGCATTTTTCAACTGCCGAAAGGTTCACCTCTGTGGGATGGTTTGGCCCCTGAGAACTTCCCTACATGGACGTAAGTATACTCTTCTACTATGGAACAAGACAAGAGAAAGTGATTTTTGACTAATTTACTCAGTTACAACATCTTCTCCGGTGAGAAAGGAGGCCTCTATGGATTCGCTCGAGATGCAAATGGGGCAGTCAAGATTGGTTATCGCGGGACCAAGTTTACCAATCCGCAGACACAAGCCGACGGCGCTGCGAGGAGTATCCCTACCACGCGCTGGACGCGGCAGCCGACCCGGAAAATCCCAGCGACGGCGGCTAATGTGATTAAAGACTTTGTTCAGAAGTTCCTGCCGGAGCTCATGCAGTATGAGACCAAGACCCGGCTATGCTGGTACTCTGATACGTTTGACAACCACTTTGTTATCGATTTTGTACCTGGATACCAGGGGCTGATGGTGGCAACGGGCGGAAGCGGTCATGGCTTCAAGTTCCTGCCTACCCTTGGAAAACATGTTGTGGACCTCTTGGAGGGCAGAAAGAATGATTATCTTCATCACTGGAAGTGGAGGAGCCCCGAGCCTGGCAAGAAGCCGTATAACAGCATCATGGAAGGCATCACTAGTGATAGATCCCTTCATGTCCAGTTACTTACTGCTGAAGACAGTCTTACAATTAGGCAGAGTCACTTGTAAAACTGACATTTGATGGTATTTCGAGGACGTCTGGTGGATAGAGTTACACTGCTGGCGCTGGGAATCTGGCAACGCGACAATCCTTATTTCAGATCGGTTGCATAGAACGACATATTACTTTTTGCAAATGATACAATATTAGGAAAATTATTTATATCTAGAAGAAGAAAGCTACGTTCACTATTAGCACAGATAAGGGAGACGATATAGACAAGGCTTGAGCTAATATATCGCTTTCGTTCATTCAATCTATTCAAACACTTATTCTAGAGGGAAACAGAAAGTAAGAGAACATGTTGTCTATCTACACATGTCCATTCGTTTGCCCAGCGGCAGGAACGGCAACGGAGAGCAAAGGTGCATGCTGAGCAGTGCCTAGAGTATCACGCTCGCCGACACTCCCTTGAGCCCAGGGTCTCCGAATGGTACACTTCCAAGCCAGAGCAGGCTGGAAGTACATATTCACCACAATATCCTCATCCTTGATTTGATATAGAGACTTGATCGTCTCATTGGTCAACACGTTGGCCTCCTTAACACGGTCGAAGTGAGTCTCGTCGTCAAACATTATGTCAAATGTCAGCTCAAAGGGGCCGCTGTTTTTGGATCTCACCACGCTGGCGATGTCGCGTATAGTGATGGCCGAGGTGGGCACTTGCTTCTTTGGGATCTCTTGCGGTGATACGCCGAGGAAGTTTTTGAGTTCATAAAACTGCTGTCCGTGAGACGGATTCTTGGTGTATGTCCCCGGACCGACATTGAGATAGTTGATGGGGAACAGCGTTGGGTCAGCCGCATCCTCAATATCCATGAGGTGGTAGACGCTAAACTTGAAAACGGCACCTGCATCTTGCTCGTGAGGGCTGAGAGGACTGGCGAAGTTTCCGGTTGTGGCGAGGATGCCTGGATAGTAGAGATGCAAACACGAGACACGGGCACTATTTGCGATGGCCATGGCCTTTGCGGCAGTGGGTGCCACAACCTCGCCGAGAACACCGACTTCGTGGGCGGGGACTGGGTTAGGTTCTAGGGGTCCCATGATGGCGTTACGACCATAGACATGGAAGATCAGTCGGCAGTCGTCAGACTTATCGAGCTCGGGAAATAGACCTCGGGTGTAATTTCGGACGCGGTTATCGAGGAAGTCATCTAGCCCTGCTATGAGGATGGGATCACGGAATCCACCAATAAAGATGGCGCGGTGTCCGACTGGAGAGACACCCTCTAGTTTGACTTGATAGGTTGGAGTCGGGACAAAACGAGAACCCCAGCATCGAACGGTACGTCCATCTTCTAAAACCTTGTAGCTGGCAGTGTCGAGGTGAAGCACACCCCCTGGCCCAGGAAGCTGATCTGGGCGGGTCTTCTCATACAGTGAATGGGCTGCGACAGAGAGGGGTGTGCATCTTTCAATGGGGTTTAGAGGAGTGAGATCGAAGGAGTCCTTGCGGATGGTAGCAATCATTGATCGACCCTTGGGCACAGCGCACTGTCCACCACATTCAAGGATCTTACCCAGGTGGAAAGCAGGGGCCGTCTCTACCCCAAGGTTGATGCAAAATGCTGCAAATGGTGAAGGATCGTAGGCACGGCCGGAAACAACGATATCCGGGTTGCCCTCTTTGAGAGCCTTGACAAAGCTGGGAAGTATGTTAACGCCTATGTGCACCAGATGTTGACAAACGTCAGGGGAACCTACGGCTCTGGCCCCATCTGAGCAACAATATCGACAGCGGTATTGACATCCTCTTCTGTCAAGGCTGGGACAGGTCCGCAGGGACTGATTTTGCCTTCCTTCATCTTGGATAGGATAATCCCCTTGCTTATGGAAGCACCAATGGTGGCAACCTTGAATTTGAAGCCGTTGTCTTCAATAATTTTGTTGATGATAGCAACAATCTCAGCGAGATGTTTGTCGCTACCATCTCCGCCGGCACTACTTACTAGAAGCTTGATTCCATAATGGGCACAAGCAGTGACGTATGGAGTCAGATCACGAATGTAGGACTCATCTGCTACAGTCTTGCGACCCATGCCCAGCTTGAAAGGGCCACCATCTGTGCTGCCTGAGTCGATGACGATGGCATCGGGGTGATATTCGTGGATACCATACCAGAAATGGTCCGACTTGTATCCATAACTGATATTCAGATGAGAATGTAAGCTTCATTAAGCGATAGGGGGTGTCCTTTTACTCACCCAAGCATGGCATTAGCCGTGAGGATACGGATCTCCCCGGGCTCTTTTGGGTATCTTGGCTGGGTAGCCATTTCGGAGCGTGTCTGCCGCGAGATCGCTTGATGGATTGTATTAGATACGGAATAGCAACGCTGTTCAAGCTGCCGAATTAAGAGAGAATAGAAATTGATACAAGTATCCTCTTTGAAGATGAAAAAACTCAAATATCCGTTTCTTGGCTCCTGTTGTTCAGAATCCAACTCTCGCCGCCGCTGCATTTCCACAATCGTATATCAATTCGGTGTCTGCCCGCATGCCAGCTCGGCATTCTCCCGCAAAGTCGCCCTCGGGTTGAACCCGCACTTCCATCCGCATATGGAGTCAAGGTTTAGATGCTGCATTAGGAATGATGCGGTTTGAACTTTTACAACTAGCCTGGAGAATCGAGAAATTGTGGACAACTTCCCCCTCATTCTGTCTCATGACCGAGAGTCTCCACCTCGTTCATCACTACTGGGGTCATAAATCAGCCTTCATTCATTCATGCTGTTCGTTGCGAGCGGGCACAGGCACCATCACAATGTCGGACCAGACCTCTCCACAGCCGCTCCAGATATTGCCTGTGGCCTGTGAACAATGTAGAAGAAGCAAGAGAAAGGTTCGAAACTGCTGGCTCTGATTCAAAGTATATTCGTAGACTAAAGAACGACAATAGTGCGATCGTGTGGCACCGCGATGCGGATCTTGCTCCAAATCCAATCGGAGATGTACTATGCCTGATGTCTTGGAACAGCCTTCTGATCGAACCAAACGCCAACGAATGCCGAAAGGGTGATTATTCGGTATCGTTCAACAATTAGCACAAGTCGCTAATTTGAGTTGTAGATTCGTTGAGATTCTTGAAGCAAGGGTTCAGCAGTTGGAAGATTCGATACAGAATCACCTCTTGGAACTCGAAACTCTGAAACAAAGAAATGATCAATCATTCAAAGGTCAACCTCTTACCGAATTCGCATCACCTAATGGGTACGATAACGATGTCTCAGCATCTGCTTTGACGCTTGAAAATGAAAGGCCCTCCTCCCCTCTAGATTTACCCTCATCAACACCTGGACAGCACGATGCCGTGGCTGCTCCTGAACATTCGTCTTCATCTTCGAGGGAGAAAGAACCTGTCTACCCTCTTAGTGCGGAGGCTATCGTTTCACTGAGCAAGATGAGCGAGAGCAATGAATATGGATTGTTTAACTCTACATCTGTTGCCTATGCCATGTTAGCCGCAGATGGTGGGAGCCCTTTTGGTTCATCTGTCTTGAGATTCAACATCTTCCAAGACGATTCGCACATCTCCCAAGAGCTTGAATCATCAAAGATGTTGGAAAGCTTTTTGATTAGCCAAGGCGAAACCCTCCTTGCTCGCTACGAAAGGAATTGCCACAGCCGGTACCCTTTTATGCAGATGGAGAAGCTAAGTGGAACAATGGAGTCGTGCAAAGCACAGGGGAGCCTGCAACCAATTCAAAGAGCCACCTCTGCCGAACGGTTTCATTTCTTCACCGTAATGGCAATTGGTCTTGCTATGGAAGGGCGAAAAATATCATTTGCAGGACAGATTGAAGGAAACTTGTTCATGGTGGCCGTGAATCACCTTGGCGGCATGTTCAGATTCTCCGACCCGATCGATCAGATAAGAGGTTTGTTACTTCTTACAATCTACAGCATGTTCAGATCCTCGACAGGAAGCACTTGGCATCTTACAGGATTCGCTGTGCGCATTTGCATTGCGCAATCGTACCATACCGGCGAACATTCGGAAGATGTACATAAAACATTCTGGTCTGCATTTATGCTTGAGCAAATGATATGTGATGCTCTCGAAAGACTTCCCAGTTTAGGCCACGTGGACCTTCTATCGCAGGTAGGCTTACTTGTAGAGAGATGTAATAGGAAACGGCTAATAATTCTTATTCAGCCCTGTTGTTCCCATGGAAATGGAAATTCAGGTTCTATAGGTAATGATTCTTGGTCTTATTGGGTGACACGCAGTCAACTACTTGCAAAGCTGAGCAACAACACCGGGGTCTATTCTTCGTCCACACAACCCCTTTTCTCCATATACCAACTCAAAGCACGCCAACCGGGGCTACCGCCAGAGAATGCTTTATTGGAAACTTCAGTCTTTACGAAAGACGTAAACCAACAGTACCTCTCTGATCTAGTTTCCTTTATTTCTAGAATCGACAGCACCCCATCTAGAAGACTCGACCAGTTCTGCTTATTTGTATCCGCCTTGACAATCCGCAGACTCAGCTCCCTCAAGGACACTCTCCCTTCATGGCCCATAGGCATCCTCTTATTTAGAGCCGGCTTGATCTGTCTACGAAGCATGGGCGCCGTTGCTATAATGGAGGGTAGGAACAAGCTCGAATTTATCCTCTCTGATACGTTACGCAAATGCTCTGAGTATTTATCGCGTCTTTGTAGCGAATTCCAGGAGCTAGCCCACTATCGAGTGGTCTTTGACACTGCAGTTAGCCTGCATGACTGCATAACCAGCAAAGCTACTCAATGGACTATCAATCGTGAGGTGCCCCCAAATGTAGCGTCTCTCTCAACGATCCTTGACCAAAAGCTCTCCAGACAGGCATTTGAATCTATGCCGGCGCGGGGTTTGCCAAATGATGCGTTTGGGTCGGATATACATGCCGGGCTAACTCGGCTGGTTTCTTGTATCTGCTATGAATCCGACGAGGAGCGTCAGCTATATGATGAGATATTTTTCTCGCGGCAATTAAACCACCTCGCCCCTTAATAAAAGGAGGAGCTTTCTGTTGCCCATAGCTGTCCATTGCCAAACAGTGCTTCCCAAATCTCTGTAGCTTCACCCCATTCAGAACCAAACATGGCAGCAGGATCGTACGTCTCTGGGACTCCATCCATCCCTACTCCAGATGCTAAGAAGTCCGGCCATGACGCGGCCCCTAAAGTGTCATCTAAGTGGTTCCCAACAACAGCACAATAGCATGGCTGCCTATGCTCTACAGGCAAGTGGCAAGTCAGCGGTGCAGTGACCAAGCTGGAGCCAAAATAGTCTGGAGATACATCCTGCAGTGGCGCAAACTCGGTTGATATAGCTGGAGCAGAGGCAGCACTGGCATGCGTTTGAGGAACATTATGTTGGATAGCTTGCTGGCCGGACGAATCTGACGTTGTGGGCTCTTGTACCGTCGACTTCGGAAGTATCCGTAAAGTTTCCCTGCATAGAAGTTCAAAGTAGCCCACGTATCTAGGCGTAAGATGTTGATTCGTCATCTGTTTGGCCATACGGTCAAGTGTATCTGTGCATTTCCTCAGCAGTGACTTTTTCCCTGATATACTTTGCCGTGATGGCGGCGGTCTGGAAGGGCCATTGTGTTGCTTGTTCTTGGTCTGCCCCATGTTAGACTCGATTACGATCGTATACAATATGGAGAGGCCGGCCGTCAGGACTCGGTAGAGTCTCCCAGCCGTGGGCTCAATTTTGGCATCGTCCGCAATATCCGAGTATAGTATAATCACATTACTTGCGGCGTCATATAGCTCTTCGAGTAGATCTCCTGGATTAATAAAGTGGGAGTCGGTCGCGGAGCTAGGTTCGATGGAAAGGCGAATGAGGAAAAGCTTTTCTTGGTGAAAGTGAAGGTCGATCCATCTGCTATCATGCAGAAAGAGCTGCCCATTTGAATCAGGCGCAATATCCTTGTGTGTATGCATTCCGCTGTATAACCTCCAGTCGTGCAACTCTTGCGAGTATTGGTAGTAAATGTTCCAAACCTTGCCGCTCAAAGTGAACATGTTCAGATCATCAGCCAAGTTTCGTGGTAATCCCGGCGAGTCTCGTGGGGTGAGCAATTGATTCCTCAGAATCCTGTAATCTCTGGACATGCGGGATGTGATCTGCCGAAGCTGTATATGCGAGATGGCCACCGATGTGTCAGTCAGGCCTTTGGGAGGTGCTTGTGCCTCGGTTAACTCGTCCAGCGATGTGTTTGGCAGTAGAGTGGCCGCCTCCTGTAACACACTATCATCTATATTGGCAGGAAGTTTGACAGTGATGGCCTCATCTGGAATAGTGAATGGCCGGCCGAGGGTTGTGCTGGCATATCGTTCAAGCCCATAGCATTGCCAGAACACGCGCCGGCGCATTTGTTCCTCGATAGCGGGAAGAGGAACGGTTGGTTGGCGATGAAAGCCACACTCAATACAGGTGCGCATATTGAGCGAAGCAAGATCCCATAGACTCATACCTACATCTTGAAAGAAGCAAAAGCGGGCGACGAGGAGAAGATTCTGGACTCCCTGAATACCGTATAGCAAGTTGACCTGTCTCGCGCTGCGCATGGCGACAGAGAATAAATCCACTGGGCTGACCATGTTGTCGATGTCTTCCGTCGTTCCACGAACAAATAGCTCTTGATTTCGATACACAGCACCAGTCGCCATGATAGAGTAGGCCCTGAATGACTCTTCGGTGGTGAGGTGAATGAGCCCGGCCGAGCGAGCGGCTGTTAGCGTTTTCTCTCGAAGTGAAATGATTGTCGCCAGTTCCATGAACGGATAACGAGGATGAGCTCTTCTGACGTATGTCTCAAACAAGAATTGGATGGTCTCCGGAGGTACGAGAGGTGTAGACGCCGCGCTGTTACTGGGGGAGGGTTGGTCGGGATGCTTCTGCCAATTTGATAATGCTCTAGAGTTTAACACTTCGCTCTTGATCTTAGCGAATATTAGGCCAATAAACCTTTTGGAATAGTTAGTTGGACAACTGAAGGCACCTAAAGAGCAAAGGGAGATGTTAATTTACCCCATTCCATGCATTCCGTGTTCGCTGATGGAAACATTTGAAGTAGCTGTCGATGGGCTGTCCTTGGCTTTCCTGGTAACGGCAAAGGCTTCTCGTTCTGTGACGATGTCTGAGGAGGTTCTCCTCAAGCGCAATTTCTCTCTTCTCACCAGAGCTTTAAGCTCGTTCTCGCGCTTTTCCAAGGCACAGACCTTGGCTTGGAGCGATGCAACATATCTAGCAACGTCAATGACTGGCTAATATGCGAGGACCGTCGCAGCACACTGACTGTCTATTGTAGTTTCCCGAGCCAGAAGGGCCAGTCACGACACAGTCAACGTCTGCTAGCTCGCAGGGGCTGCACCGTGGCATCTGCCCGTCGCACTAGACCGCTGAGCAATTAGGATTTCAATGGAAAATGAAGTATGGGCGGTGCTTGCTTACTTTGACCTTGCGAGCGCGGCATCTTGAACAGGTGGGACGCAGTAACCCGCGGGCTTGAGATGCCATCGATGGGCGTATAGCCGTCAATGACGAGCTGCTTGTTTTAGTTGCGTTTTGTATGCAGAAGATGGAGGGAAAGACAAAACGCGGAGAGGCGGAGACGGGGTTGGAGACTGGAGAATGTGGAGAGAAGCACAAACCGGGAATAGTGACTGAACACTGAACCATGTTAGTGGGCACCAGGAAGCAGACACCCAGGCCGAAAATCCTGGCTCGAGCATCTGACTTAGGTACTTTATCTTGCACTGGTTTATGATATTGTGTGATAAGGTTGTGAGTATACATATCCAGATCCAGTGTCTATAGTTGTACTAGTTCCTGTATGTCTCGTTAAGTCAACAAAGATGGCTATCTACAGAGAAGCAAACATATCTATCGTCAAGACAAGCTTATAATAAGTTTCATTCCCTCTAAAATATAGCCATGACGTTGGCTGGACTAGCAATTCCGGCAGGCAGATTGAGCGGTTGGCTAGTGACAAAAAATGTCCAACGCCCAAGCTCCTTGCATTTCACGGACAGCTGCTCTAGATCAAACTGCTCGCCAATTGGCATCCCCCAGCCGTTCAGAAATACTTCATGCAGCCGAATCCTGTCCCCTTCTATCACTGCTGGCCACGACTCGTACGTATTTGAATCACCTGCCACGGCAGCGAACCCTGCCTGCCAGTGCCATCGAGCCGACTCAACGCTGCCCGCAACTCCCATGTATTTGCGGTCACTTCCTTCACGAAGACCTAGTTTGTCCTTGGCTGGCTCGTTCAATGCGTTATACTGTAGCCCGTAGCCGCTGCGCACAAATAGAATATCTCCTTGCTGGAATTTGATGCCCCGCATGTCGGCAATCTCTTGCAGCTCCGTGTACGGAATTTCATATGAGTCGAAGGCATCATACGTCTTGTTTTTGGATGCTGCGTAGTCTGCCCAGTCTAAGAGCACGGCCCTTGACGCGAGGGGACGTTCAGCCAGGTCTATAACACTTAAGTCATTCATTCATACAAGCTTGTTTAATTAGGGAGTCAACCAACTTTGTATCCCAAGACGATTGTTCTTATGAGGACCAGAAATATCACTTTGTATACAGCCGTTGTAGAATCGTCTTCCTTCTCGGTAAGGATAGTGACGAGGGCCATCCCAGTGGGTAGATGATTGTGTATTGATTGTGATCTGCATTTCTTCAATATTTAGAGCCTTATCGCTCTCCATGTGACTCTACACAACTTTGATACTGACCTCATCATCGTTGGAAACTTCTTTGACGATAATACGGTGTGACAACTTGGCTCTTGCGGGGTTCATGGGACGAATAGGCACATTAAGAGGTAAGCTGAGGCCATATTAGCATTTTCTATCCTTCAACTCTTGCAAGTCCCTCCTTTGTTGTGGTCTTATTCCATACTTGAGTTGGACAACCTCACCAGTCCTTATCTCAGTTTGAGCAGCTTTGCGTGTGATGTCCGGGGTAATGAGGTTAATTCTGCCAAGCTCGTCGTCTTTACCCCAAAGTCCCCAAGCCGAGTATGGGGGATCGGATACCCCCAACGGGAGCTCGTCAAAAGAGACACTGGCAGGGGTTCTTTCCTGAATGTCGGCCATTGGGAAAGACTTAGAAGATGTAATGTCGAGGCTGGTCTTCTCTTGCTGCGAGCCTGAAATCGTTCTTTTTGATTGTGTTCCCTTCACTACGGATTGGAACCAGGCTGATATTATTGAACGCTATGTTAGGCATCTTTCACTGAAGAAAATCTAGAACCTTGTTATATCGGCCAGTGCGGAGTAACTGAGTCATGAATGAGTTCTCGGAGCTTCGCCGTTCACTGTCACTGAGAGGAAATAACGCGGGGAGAAACTGTCCGCGTGGACTCGATGGATCCATTGCCCACAACCCCAGACGCGCATGACACGATCAAGGCCTCGCCCCGCAGTGCCCCAGGTTCGGTCTGGTGCCGCACCTCGCGCGAGCCAAGGTGCCGGGTTTCGCTGTGCGGGTGATTACCGAGGGCAACGCAAAATCCAACAAGCGTTGGGGAAGCAACGAAATGAAAGACGGAGAACCGGGTTCGGACTAGGGATATTGCTTGGGGTTGTTTTTGGACAAGAGGTTGACGACTTCTCCACAGAAGCATTCCCTGTATAAATCCTACACCGTTCGACATTTCCAGGACTGACCATCGTTGGAAAGTTTCTGAGTATCAATTCGGCGATCAAGGGACTCAAGATGGCAACTAAAGATCAGAAACAAGAGGTTGAGATGCTCGAGGAAAGCACATTCCAGAAGCCAGCCGAAATGGCTACTTCGAATGTTGATCCCGTTGCTCAGAAGAGCCTCCTTCGCAAACTCGACTTTCGCATGATGCCGGTCTTTTTCGTCATGTACTTCTTGAATCATTGTATGCCGACCTTTCTTCCCGCTGATTTGATTAATAACTACTCTCTCAGATTTCGGCAGCTAACTATTGGATCTCTAGGGGACCGAAACGGCCTGCCGCAAGCCAAGCTGAACGGCATCACGACACATCTCGATCTGAAGGGCACCCAATACAACACGTGTATCTCGATCCTTTACGTCGGATACCTCATCGCAGGCATCCCGTCAAACATGATCTTGACCCGGGTCAGGCCATCCGTATACCTCGGCGTCTGCATGTGTGGATGGGCGATTGTCTCTGGATGCACAGCGCTGTCGAAGAATTACATCCACCTTCTGATGCTTAGATTCCTGCTTGGGTGGTTCGAGGCGCCCTTCTATCCAGGCGCGATATATATGCTCAGTCGATTTTATACGAAGAGAGAAGTACGTGAGATGGAGGCTTTGCTGTACCTTGAGATTCGGTAACTGATATTGAATAGGTGGCTACACGCTTGGCGATTTTGTATTGCGGTCAACTGAGTTCAAGTGCTTTCTCTGGCCTTATTACTGCAGGAATCTTTGCTTCTATCGATGGTAGATATGGAATCCATGGATGGCAATGGTGCGTTGCTTTTGATCACCAAAATGCGAAGGAGAAGCTAACAGAATGTGCAGGCTATTCATCATCGAGGGTGCAGCAACATTCGGGTTCGCCCTCATTGCTATCTTTTTACTTCCCGATACCCCCGGGAAAACATCTTGGATGACCCCAGAAGAGAACGCCTGCAGTGTCATTCGAATGCAAGAAGACAGCGTGAACCAGCTACAGCGCGAAACTCCGATGCAAGGTTTCATGAGTGCTATCAAGGATTACAAGGTGTGGCTGTTTATGCTCATGCAAAACATGCATTTCTCTGCCATGTCCTTCAATCAGTTCTTTCCAACCTTGGTGAAAACACTGTAAGATCTCCATTGCGCCTCACACTCTCTCAGAAGAATAGCTGGCTGACCAAACAAAACAGCGGATACAACAACACCATCACCCTGGTTCTAACATCTCCACCTTACATCTTTTCTGCTCTGTTCTCTCTCGCATTAGCAAGATCCTCTGGGTACTTCAACGACCGAACATGGCACATTGTTGGTGGTAATCTCTTCGCTATCGTGGGTTTCGTACTGGCCTGTACCACCACCGGACTAGCACCGCGCTACGCGGCGTGTTTCCTGTTCGCGGCTGGATCCTACTCGACTGGCAGTATCATTCTGGGCTGGGCTTCAGCCAATGTTGCTGATTCTCATGAGAAGAAGGCGGTCACGTTAGCCATGGTCAACTTTTCTGCCGTCGCAGCCAACGTGTACACTGCCTACCTCTGGCCAGACTCTGACAGCCCTCGTTTCATAATCGGTCTGGGAAGCAGTGTTGGGTTCTCGTTCGTTTGCCTGCTTGTAGCTATTGTGGCATGGTTCCTCTTCCGGCGGTCAAACAGCAAGCGTCTGCGTGAGGCTAGCGATGACAATGTCAAGCTGTACGCGATTTGAGAGTCAACTTTGTATCTTATTTCATCCCTGCGTGGAGATTTGGGTTCATAATCGTTTCGAAACACTCGTGTTTGCAACTTTCAAGCTATCAATGTAGAGTATTGTGGTTTACTCGTCACGCCAACTGGCAACACTCTCTGTACGAGAGCACCTAAACAAGAACGTCTTCTAATCCCCCCATGGATCGGTGTAAACACGGAACTGAAAGCTCACGCCCAGTAACACGACGCGAATTAGGCACGGTCAGTGACGTGACCTTCCCTGAGTTTGGAGTTTCAGCACCCAGCACGTTTGCCTGAGTTATCAGGCAACGATGCTCCGAGGCAACAACAACACACGCACGAGAAGTTCTTCTCACTCTGCCTTTTCTCTTTCTTTCATCACAATCACTTAGAGGATTCCCACCAGAATCCTCAAGTTTTGACCCGGCACATCATTCCTCCACCTTTCGCACCCTCAGAAACAGCATCAACCTCATACCGACAAAGTATTGATCCCAGCCATGCCTGTTATCATTCGGCCACAGCCTGAAAAGGTGGGTGTCAATATGGACCGCGTCGTAAGATCCTCTCGCAAACTTCTTGCCACCACGTCGAAGGAATGGACTGCAGAGAGACCTGGGTGGGGGCAGACCAACAAACGACAGACTCCCGAGGATCGGCTAGTTCTGCGCTCTTCTTTCGAAAATCTCGAGCCCGCCAGCGCCAACATTATTCCCTACAGAAACGGCCTCGTTCATGGAATCATTCGAGCCTTTCAACAGGAACTTCACCTTGTGCTCCGGCCTGACGATGTTTGGCAGGCTGTTCTGGTCCAATTCAACTTCTACGTCAACGCACATGCCGAAGAACTACGACACTTCTTTGTCACTCACAAGGAGAAAGAAGACCTTGTACTCGACATGCGTCCCATCCCACTTCTCGATATTGATTTCCAAGAGGCTTCCGAGAAGTTCATCGACCTTATGAAGCCCTTTCTCGTGGACAAGAGCCTCTCCGAATGGCTCCTGCCTGCCTTCACTACCACAACCGCGAACGACAAGACAGTCGCCGCCCTGACTGTGATGTCTACAATGAAGAAATATTTCGACTATACACTCCTATGTGGCGGATGTGGTTTCCCTTCTGTGACCTTGGAAGGTGAGAAGAAGGACTGGGAGCTTCTAGCAGCAAAGATCCGAAAGCTTGCTGATTATGGAGATGAACCGGCCGATTGGTCTGTATACCTCGTCAAGGTCGTCGAGAAGATGATCGAAAGCTTTGATAAGCCTGATGATGACAACGTCAAGGCTTTCTGGATGCGAGCTTGCCACGCTGCGGGACAAGACGGTTCAGGGTCGGTCGAGACCTTATCAGGATGGCTTACAGCATTTTGCTACTGGGGGGATGATGGTAAGCGGGTAAGCCACTGGTCCGATGAAGGTCTGGGAAAATTGATGCCGGAAGTTGATCGTCTACGACTTACCCTTCATGGCACTCCGTTCCCGGTCATCTCCCGCAGTCAGGTGCCTAAGGCTGTGACAGAAGTGCCCATCATCGTGAAAGACTACGAGACGTATATGGTGCATGAAACAACCGTTATCGCGGGTCAGATGGCAATGAAGGGTGCTCAGATGGAGGACAAGTCTCGGATCACCCATGTCCAGCCGATGTCTGGCTGGTGGATGTTGGAGGACAAGACATACCCATTCACGCCATGAGCGATGCCGCTACTGATACACGCTCACTTCAAGGTGTAATAAAAGGGGCTGGGGCAAGAGGCCGAGGGTTGTAAGCCTAGTCGTTGATGAGGAGAAGCGGGTTGTGGACAGAACTACCTGGCAAGACACTAAAGAATGTACTCTAAAGAGTACGGTTCAGCTAATTCAAGAAATAAACACACTACTGTCAAGCTCTGCCGCAGTTGAATGATCGACAATTGGTGATAGAGTTGATATTCATGAGCAAGTGAATCCCTAGGAGGTTGACCCCATCCCACGCGACCTCCATATGCTAAAACATGCCGTGAACTAGGGAATAAAATATTGAAGAGAGCTTACTTTTTAGGATCGTAGACATCAATTTTCTTGAACCACGTCTAGGCTTGGGGTAGTATGCACCACTATGATTAACTGGGAACTTTGCTTGGATCTACACATTAAGACATGGGATTGTTAATTGTAAGATCTGAACAATACGTGATGGGATAACCCTCTATTCTTAACTCTCCATATATTACATGTAACATGGAAGACGTATCACAATCGGCTTGAAGGGTAACCAAGCGGTGTTCCATAGCGTTCTAAAACTCAGCTGCTGAAATATATTCTCCCGTCAGCTGTGTCCTGGACTCCAGCACTCCAGGAAATTGCCTTCAATTCTCCAACTTGCTGAGCAATGAGTCTAGGATCTCATCCAAGTGCTTCATGGACAAAGTCAGATGAGCCTCCTCTTCAAATCTGTGGTACCCAACCCCGGGCATCAACTCGACTGCGTGATCAGCCATGTTAATGGGAACATTGCGATCCTTGGCGCCATGCCACACTTCCAGCCTACCATCGATTGGTAGATCTTCAAGCTGAAAATCCCAAGGCCTGCCAAAGACTTGCGCCTCGGTACCAAATCCGCCAGTGCCGTGCTTGATGGCCTCTCGCGAACTTCGCGTCAAAATCTTGAAAAGCTTACCGTCCTCCTCAAAGATGACCTCCTGGTCCTCGGCCGGCCATCGCTGAAAGCCTTTGGCCATCAGCTCCTCAAACTTCTCCGGGTGCTCGGCGTCCTGGGCCGCGGCGTTGAGCTCCATGCCGACCATCCAGTTGACAAGTCCAGGCACCCAGTTCGCGAGGGTATACATGACGCGCATCTGCGGCATCATGCCCGCCGTGCCTAGAGCCGTGGGCCACATGCCGGACACGACGGCCACGGAGCGTAGCCGCTCGGTGGGCAAGTGGCGCAGAGAGGCCAGCGCGTATGGTCCGCCGCCGGAGATGCCCAGGACGGCGAACTTCTGTACGCCCAGGTGATCGGCGAGATGCAGGACATCGGGGGGGAATGCAGACAGTGCGCGGCCGGGCAGTGCCGTCGAGTCACCAAAGCCGGGCCTGGTGACACCAACTACGACGACACCGCGCTTTGAAGCCGCTTCATGGACAGATAGACCCTCGCTGTGTGTGCCGGGAAACCCGTGGAAGTAGAATATGACTGACTGGTTTGGGGAGATGGGCGCCCCAAAGGTGGTGTAGCTGAGATTGCGGCCATCTGGAAGCTCGAAAGACAGGTCTTCCGACATCATCCAGCGTTTTCGGCAGGTTCGACGATGGTGATGGGAGATTATGACGGCGAACACTTGGGGGCTATGCACAACAATGGACTTTTGACAGAGGCAATCTCCCGACGGTTTAGGAGAAGTAGTTTGGACTTCAAAAATGTCCAAATCCGACCATTTTCGACCAGGGTACACGATCTGACTACGTGGTTCTTCAAAAGGTCGTTTCAACATGCCATGGGTTCGGGGAATGGTGCCTAATATGGACTTGAATGTTACGCTACGAGAGATGCGATGACACCAGCCCTGGATTTTTCTTTTCCCTGATCCTCAATTCCTCTCCTATCCTCCGTGAACTGGTTCCTCGAAAGCAATCCTAGTTATCAGTCGTTTTCCCCAGCCACCTACCCCAGATCTCGATTTGTCGCTTTCACTTTGTATCTTTGAACCGTCATGCTTGCGCATGACATTGGCCAATACGGGGCTACTTCCCCCTTACCAATGATATCAGTGAACCAGTTCGTCCTAGACATACTTAGGGAGTAATATTGTGTTCGGTCTTGATAGCTGTAGGAATTAGTTTCATGATTGACAATGTCAAGCTTGCCGATTAGTATTTCGCTTTGACATTTGTCATTATGTGCGATTAGAGCGTATTTTCCATGGAAAGCAAGTGCCCAGGGATGATCTCGAGTCTTTCTTAGGAAAGGATTTCATGGTATTGAGACATTATCAGGTTTAGCTGGTGCGAAACGACATGATTATCTCATTGTTCGGCCAGTTGACGAGGATCCGCAGCATTCCCCAAACTCAACTAGGGGGGCCACTTCCCTCAAACCTAACGAAACTGATTGGCAGCTTGTCGGTGATGCTCTCCCGTGTCCGCCCAAGACAATAATCTACCCGGAAAGTTAGACTTACAGTTATCAAGTAAGCTGAATAAGTAGGTTTAAATGACCGCCTGATTGAACCAAAGGACTCTAAACGTCTAGGGTAAGACCAGAACTGAAGTCGTAACCGCAGATTCTTTTCGGTGTCTGCTGAGGTGCCTTCATAGGATAGCGTTGAGGATTTGGATTCACTCCTAGGAAGCAAAGGCTTTCAGAAAAGGAAGAGATACTTAGGGAAGAAATTCAAGGTTGGTGTTTTTATAGGAGGGAGGAGAGGACATACAAATGTGAATGCGAAGAAGATGGATCATGTTCTTCGGTTGAATATTTGGTCACGGTGGGAGGGACTTTGGCAACTAGGTGACAGAAGAAATGAACCATCAGTTTGAAGGTTGGCTGTGGATAGAAGGACGCATCGGTAGTATAAAAGGGCATAAGCTGAAAATCCTTTATCAAGTTGCCTCCTTGATAATTCCTATTGGCACTTAATATTCTAAAATTACAGGCCCTTGGTTCGACAGTATATGTAAATGGTACATTGCTTGAGGGTCTGAAGTTTTTTGTCACCCACTGAGTGGATATGCTGTACTTGACGACGTAGAGTGAGATCTAATAATATCGATGTCACTAGCATAAGCAATACACGCGGCCAGGTGGGTACTTCCCTCGATGCGTCTTATCGCGATCTAAGTTCTTCGTAGTTTCTACCTGCCCACCCAGGGAACCTCGCCCAAGTCCACCCGGCTGTTCATTGCTTCTAGGCTTTTGTAACCATTACCCTTGCTTTACGCCTTGCCGTAGCCCCAGCCGTCGCTGTACATAGCCCTCCCGAGGCAGTCGGAAGCGCAAAAGTCGCTCACCAAACTTTACCCCGCAGAAAGACCACGCTGTCACAGCCATGGGTTGTAAGTGAACAGCGGAATCATATATGCCTAATGGAAATCCAAGATTGTCTCCATTCTATGGTGATAAAACAAGGCATCATGGCCATACCAGGCAGCTCGGATATCTTCTTTATGTTGATTGAGCACCGCTAACATCCGCTACTTCTAAAAAGTCTCCGATATCTTAGAGCGCTTGCAGGCCCAGCCTGAGAGCTATAGTAAAAAGTACAGATGACCTTAATGCTCCAAAGTATTAAGCTAACATCGTATGTACCAACAGAGCCCAGTACAAATTCGGACAAACCCTCGGTGCTGGTACATATGGCGTCGTGCGCGAGGCCGTGGGCCCAACCGGAAAAGTAGCCATCAAGATAATCTTAAAGAAGACAATAAAGGGCCATGAGAACATGGTATACGAAGAGCTTAAAATATTGCAAAAGCTTCATCACCCTCATATCATCAAATTTGTTGATTGGTTCGAGGCCAGAGTTTGTTCATCAATCCCCTCCTGCTTCCTGTCGAGTGCTATAAAGGCTAATTCAATCTTCTCTAGGATAAATTCTTTATCGTCACTCAGCTCGCCACCGGCGGGGAAGTTTTCGAGAGAATTTACAAGCAGGGCAAGTTCACTGAGAAAGATGCTTCTCAGTTAATCAGGCAGGTCCTAGATGCTGTGAACTATCTCCATCAGAATAAGATTGTCCACCGAGGTGTGTGACACCCTCTGCGACCTTAACTTGCGTTTAAGGTAGCGAGAATGTTGAGCTAATGTTGAGTAATCTCCAAGATCTCAAGCCTGAAAACCTGCTCTTTGTCACAAAGGACCCCGACTCACCTGTCGTTGTGGCTGACTTCGGTATCGCCAAAACGCTGGATTGGCAAGACGGGCCTCTCCATACACTCGTTGGATCATTTGGCTACACAGCTCCCGAAATTCTAAACCGTTCCGGCCATGGCAAGCCTGCGGATATGTGGTCTATCGGGGTCATCACGTATACCCTTCTCTCTGGGTACTCCCCTTTTCAGAGCGACAATCTCCCAGACCTGCTTGAAGAATGCCTTTCCGGCTCCGTTATCTTTCATGAGCGGTATTGGAAAGATGTCAGCGACGATGCCAAGGACTTCATCATGAACCTCATCGTCCCTGAGCCACATAAGCGTTTAACAAGCGAGGTACGAAAGTCGCACTGTAAACGCTGAATTATCGTCTAATAATCTGACTTTCGTTGAACAGCAAGCCTTGGAGCATACCTGGGTCAGCGGTCTCACCGCTAGCGAGCACGATCTGCTGCCCGACATCAGCCGTGCTATGGAGGCACGCGCTAAGCTTAAGCATGCTATCCTGGCCGTTACCCTGAAGAAGAGAATTGCGGCTCTCAAGGAAGCTGAGTCCGACTCGGATGACATGGGCGACGCTGAGGACGGAGTGCCTTCCTCTGGCGTTGAGAGGAGGGATGGTGCTGTGTTCCGCGAGGTTGTCCTGGGCGCAGTTCGAGACAAACGAGCAAAGGACGATTTGGCGGCAGCCGGAGAGCAAGAGCTGGAAGAAGCAAGAAGCCGTAGCCGGAGCCGAGGCCGAACCTAAGAAGAAGTCCTGCGTAGTGATGGTGGAGAATTATGGTATAACTTCGAAGGATGGGGCTGGTCTCGTATTACCTAGTTTGATTTACCACTGGGTTGGGTATAATATTCTGACTGTGATAGGTTGGCCAGAATACCCAATGGTCGTTTGTGTAAATTGTCTGGGGGATGCCTCTCCGCACGTACAGGTCAGTCAATATGATCTTAGAGTGATGATCCCTCAGTAGGCTAGGCTACTAGACGCGGAGCCCTGATGGCTTACAGGTAGATCTTCCCAAGCTAGCTCTCGTTTAAGTCGTATTCGGCTCTATCTCGGGCTTCGCCTGAGGCTTTTCATGGAATTCAGGATGTGCTAGCTATGCTTCTGATGTTTCCTTCTGCACCTACCAGGCTGCCTCACCTATCTTCGAATTACGCGTCGTGTACTAACAATTCACATAATTGACCTTACGACTAATTTGCTACTTCTGTTAAAATCCATTTCCATTAAGAACAGCCAACTATTTACCAGACAGGGAGGCTATGCTCTATATCTGTTTCTAAAATCGTATATCCATGCTTGCGGAGCAGCATGAATATGGAGTCACATACGTTAGGTTTGGATCTACCATCACGATGCAGGGACACAGATACAGATACTATCAACGCTTTTGACCCCACCCCTATGTCGGCAAGGTTCAATAATATATTACGCCACCGAGAACCAGGAACGAACTCGGGGCAGTTGAAAGACGAACAAATCACCGCCTGGATCAAAGGAAGCATAAAACAGCATTGGGAGGTTCCTGAAAAGGAACAGCCAGTGTCGCAGATCAAGAAACTGTTTCTATATGGTTTCTCTGGCTGCGGGAGGACAACCTTGACTGCATCCGTCATACAACACCTAATCAGTACAGAGTGCACAGAGAAACAGGGCGTTTGCTACTATTTTTGTAGTAGATTTCATCAAGGAACCGAGGATCCGCATAACGTACTCAAAACACTCATTTCTCAGCTCGCCCTGCAGAATGAGTCTGCATTCGACGTTCTCAATGGCTACCTTGACACCCGAAAAGTTCTCCCAAAAAGTATAGATCATCGTTCATACAATTTAGAGGACCTTGAGACGCTTCTAGGGTCAGTAATTCGGCGCTTCGAACGCGTCTTTATCATTATCAACTCAATTGAAGTTCTGTTCCCGGACAATGCGACTGGCCTCCTCTCGCTACTAGCAAGACTTTCTGACAGCTCAGAAACGAATGTTTCATTACTGAGCACAGGTGCTGAGCAGCCAGGTCAACGGGAATTATCCCAAGCACTGAGCTTTTGCCCTGTTTACGTTCAGGGCAGACCCGATGATATCCGGCTATATGTACGAGCTGAGCTCAACAGGCGTGTTGAACGGGGTGACAGTGAGCTTGAACAGAATCATTTTCAAACAACTATCGAGAACTATATCGTCGACAGGAGCAATGGGGCGTAGGTTTCAATTATCCTCACTCTTGAAGGTTAAGCTCGAGCTGCAGCTCAACTAACTAACAATTTTCCAGTTGGATATGGGCCATATGTGAACTCGACAACCAGTGTCACCTAGCCCTTCAAGGCCGCTGGGAACAACCTCCTATCTTCGCTCCGCCTGACTCTTCCGCACATCCTTACCATACCTATGGACCCGATCAGAATAACATATCATCTGCGATCTTCCCTTATAGACACTATTTGAATGAAGTGTGGAAGAACGGCGGGCCACGAGTAAATTTCATTCTGGTACGGTTGTTAAGATGGATCCATGTCGGGGCCACAATGCCTAGCCTCCAGCTTTCTATCCCGGAGATGTGTGACTCTCTAGCGATTTTGCTTTTGTACCACAATATCGAATACAACGCTCTAGATGCAACCGTGGATGAAGAAGAGGTAATTAGGCTCGGCGGACAACTTATCCGCAAGGCTCCGGATAACTCTACCTTGGAGTTCAGTCATGTCACCGTGGAGGGGTATCTCATATGCCACCTGGATGATAAGATGAAAGAGTTCAGCCTTGATGGGCAAATTGACAGCGAGATGATTGACGAGCTTGATGTTGTCAGTTCTCAGCTGGAGCGTACTGGCAGACTCAAGGACGCAGAGGCTATGATGCTAAGGCTCCTCCCATGCCGTGAGCAACTATGGGGTCCCGCTGGAAATCCAATCCTTGCCGCGTTTAACAACCTGGGTCGCTTTTATGAGGAGCACGGCCGCATAGAAGAAGCACAGGACTTATATACTCGTGCTCTCGATGGATATGAAGCTGCCAAGAATCCGAATAAGGAGTCCATGTTCAACACAGTAAACAACTTGGGTATACTCTATAAGAGACGGGGGATGTTCCAGGAGGCTGAAGCGTTATATAAACGGGCACTTGACGGTAGAGAGGAGTTATTTGGCCCTCTTCATGACGATACGCTTAGCTCGATGCACTGTCTTGGGCTCTTGTACGCAACACAAGGCCGTTTAGATGAAGCTGCTCCTCTCTGGGAGAAGTATCTCCACGCACTGCAAAAGAACAAGGGATTTGAAGACCCGCAGACAATAATTGCAACATATGACCTCGGCACACTGTATAAAAACTATGACAGAATCGACGAGGCAATACCACTGCTGGAGCGAGCATTCACCTTATACGAGCGTACCAAGGGGCAAGATGATCCATCAACTCTTGATTCCCTAGACACTTTGGCTACAGCTCATGCCATGAAAGGCCAGTATGAAGAAGCAGAAAACCTGTGGAAACAGTTGCTCGAGGCCCGGCAGAGATTACCAGGTTCTGATTTCGACTTGATCCGGACCAAGGAGAACCTCGGGCAACTTTACTCTCGACAAGATAGGCTCCAAGAAGCTTTGGAAATATATCTCTCTGTGCTCTGGGGGTACAGACTTCACTATGGATCTGCTCATGTTGCAACCGGGGAGATGTGCAACACATTGGCAGAACTTTATGAAGACATGGATCTCTTGGATCTGGCAGAAGACATGCAACTACAGGCATTCCACATCTTTGAAACTTGCCTTGGCATGGAAGATATTGCAACTGCTACAATGGCAGAGAAGGTAGGTTTCACACGTGCAAAGCAGGGGCGAATAGATGAAGCAGCCCCATTCTGGGAGACAGCACTGCGAGGTTTCGAGAAAGTCAACGGGGAAGATCACCGGTCAGTGCTGGGACAGATGGGGAATCTGGGGCGCGTTTATAAAATGCAGTTCCGCCTAGGTGAGGCCGAAACAATTCTAAAGCTTGGCTTCGAAAGGTCAATGCGAGCTTTAGGTCCACATGACTCTCTGACGCAGAAGATCGGCCAAGACTTGATTCTCTTGCATGAGAACCAAGGGCAATCGGAAGAGGCTGAGAAAATATCTGATTTGCTAAAGTCATGAGAGCTTATAATTTTAACTAAATGTCTTTGATCATGCAGCAACAACATGTATAAAATATTTGATCGAAGAGATGCAATGAACACTCACGGCCTACTGTATACACAAAGACAAAGGAACTTCTTTATATTTTAGTCATGTGTTTCAACTACAAAAATTCCTCGCTTCTTTTGTTTAACAGCCGGCAAAGACGGCTGTTTCATCGTTTGTCATTCGATGCAGTCGGCTAGATCGGCTGGCCCCTAGCTAACAACCCCTTAAATATAGAGGCTCTGGGGTTTCAAAGTGGCCCATTCACTACGCTAAGGCAGCCGCATAATGGCGATCTACAGCGAATCAACGCATGTTAGCGAATGATTTTCAGGTCGGAAACACTGCTTCTGGAAGGCCATGATGATCATGTAACACCAGTGCCATCCTGGTGTTGATGCTCGCACTCGAGGCAAACTCACGGACCCCTTTTGTCGCAGTTCCAATATATAACGCGAAGGGCAAGCAGCTAGATTGATCTCTCTTTGTTTCTTCATCGAGAAACTTTAGCCTTGCATTTTACTCTTTGACAATGCGTTTTTCTAACTTTATGCTCGCACTGAGTGCAGCGTCTTCTGCTGCGGCCAACAAATTCTCCTATCGAAGCCAGCACCCGCACGCAAGATCATTCAAGAGAGACATCTCTGTGAAGTCTGACGATGCTTGGGATCATGTCGTCAAGGGGTCCGACCTTGCTGTGTCCGAGGAGTCAGCAACAGCCTCATCTGTTGACAAATCAAGTTTCCATATTTCTAATTTCAAGCTCCGTGCCAAAAAGCTTGATCCATCAAAGCTTGGGATCGATACCGTGAAGCAATACAGCGGCTATTTGGACAACAATGAACAAGACAAGCATCTTTTCTACTGTAAGAAGCCGTCGTTATCTGCCCTGCCACTACCATTAAGTTGCTCATTCTAGTTCTAGGGTTTTTCGAGTCAAGGAATGACCCTGCCAATGACCCTGTGATTCTTTGGCTCAACGGCGGTCCAGGGTGCTCTTCTCTCGTGGGCCTATTCCAGGAGCTTGGTCCGGCCAAGATCCTACCAGACCAAACAACTCAGTCAAACCCTCATTCCTGGAATAACAATGCGTCTGTCATCTTTATTGACCAACCCGTCAACGTTGGGTTCTCATACAGTAAGACAAACGACACTGGTAGTACAGTAGCTGCCAGCGACGACATGTATGCTCTCTTGACCCTGTTTTTCCACGAGTTTCCCGAATACGCCAAGCAGGACTTTCACATCGCCGGCGAGTCATATGCTGGCCATTATATCCCCGGTATCGGCTCCAGGATACTCTCTGAAACAAACCGCAACATCAATTTAAAGAGTCTATTGATCGGCAATGGTCTGACGGATCCCCTCACCCAATATGCTTACTACCGCCCAATGGCTTGTGGAGATGGTGGCTATCCCTCTGTTCTTGACTCTAAAACCTGCGACAAAATGGATAGTGACCTCCCCGCGTGTCAGGATTACATCAAGAAGTGTTATGATGGAGATGTCCAATCATGCCAGGATGGGTTTAGCTACTGCAACAGTCGACTCATCGACCCCTATTCCTCCGCTGGAAACAACGTCTATGACATTCGAAAGGGTTCATCAGACGTGCCCACCGGCGCCGACAAGTGGCTCAACTCCCAGGAGGTGATGGAGGCACTCGGCGTGGAGGTTGAGGGCTACACCCAGTGCAGCAACGAGGTCTACTCTCTGTTCGAGCAGTCTGGGGATTGGATGATGCCAATCTACCGCCGCATTCCGGATATTGTTGCTAAGATTCCAGTCCTCATCTACGCCGGTGACGCTGACTTTATCTGCAACTGGCTTGGCAACTTTGCTTGGGTCAAGGGGCTGGATTGGACAGGAAAGGAAGCGTTCAACAGCGCCAAGGTCGAGACCCTGAGTGCTTCAAATGGTTCACAATACGGCGAAATAACGACTGCACAGAATCTGGCTTTCATCAAGGTCTTCAAGGCCGGCCACATGACCCCCACTGCTCAGCCCGTTGGTTCCTTAGATATGGTTAACCGCTGGGTGCGTGGCGAGTGGTGGAACAAGAATTAGATATTGTATTTTTATCTCCATTGCAACTCCGAGAACAGGTGTACAATAATTTCATTTTCGAGCTACTCATCAAGGTGTCATTATTCGCTTGTGAAGGCTGTTTAGCTCAACGACATCTAGACATATCCAGATAGATATAGATTATCTGAAGGATGGCTTCTGAACTCTGAATGAAGCAAGCCCCGTACACTTATCGAGACATGTTTCCTGGTCGCGTTATTAAGTTGTGCCTTGGGTAATCCAGAGTAAGGTCGAAATCTCAGACAGAAAATTCAAATATAGTGAATAATATCAAAGTCTAAGAATATATGTCCCTTAAGAATGTAAAGAGAGAAACCTCGTGGCACAATTGTTGATCAATGATCAGGGTGATTCATCATGTCAATTATTACTTCGAGAGGATGCATAATTACGACGAATGGGTGAAGAGGCTTCAATCGAAAGGCCGGACTATTGGAAACAACATAGTTGCTCTCAAGTGAATTGGTGTCAGGTGAAGCCCGCATCCGTACAGAATTCCGTTGAGGGCGTCGAATCCCCTTCACCAAGGTCTACTCTGAGACAGTGTGTTTTATGTTTTACCATATCGAGTACAGTCATACATAACCGCAAAACAATTTAGAGGACATATTCAAATCCAGTGACGTGAGGGAAGATGAAATAGAAAACACATGTCATTGATATAATGCATAGTTAGCAATAGAGTGTACACACGACAGCTTATGGAGCATTTTGATTTGTATTTTCTCCTTATCAATAACCATTACCGTATTCTCAGCACCAAATATCGCTGCCGTATATGTTATGGATAAGCATAAGCCGCAAGTAGACGATTTATGCTAAATGCCTAGCCACCCAAGTGGGTGACATTGAAATTGAGACACTCAAACAATAAGCTGGTTATTCCCAAGTCTGCGACCGGTGTTATCGGATTATTGAGTCCTAATAACCTAATAATTTAGAATACTGTATTTATTGTTCCTTTCTTCTGTTTTATACTTCTGAAATTCTCTATTTCTTGTAGAAAGTAGTCGATTAATAGCTAACTCTTCCCTTAGGTGTTTCATTTCTCATGTCACCCACTTGCCACCTTTCCTTCAATTTCCCCTGTGAAAAGAAGCATGGCGGCAAGAGCTCACGATTCGTCCAGACTTTATGAACATTTTGCCGATCGGTGGAGTATGTAACGTTTCGCACATACATACCGGACGAAATAAAGGACCCGGTAGCCATGTTCCGGACGACTAGTCTGCAATGCGTCTAGCAATGCGCAGTACCTGTCGATCCGGGTAGACACGTAACCAGTCATGCACTGTGGGTAACTGAATCATGTCTCAGTTCTGAAGACGGCACGGTAGATTCCTTGGGACAAAAAGCCCTCCATTTCTACATATATCCATCGCAAGCATGAATCGTCTCTACGAAAGTTCCAAGCCAAACTCATGGCAGCGTAATGGAAAGGAACTGAAAGGATAATATATTCAAGCGTAGGTGGACAAACGTGGACGCCCTGTGGATAGGGCAGATGTCACCTTCTCCATCAATGCAACTTTTGCAATATTTCAAACACTAGTCATATGATGTGCGTTGTCAGTGGGTTCTTCTTTCAATTTATGTGATACCCGTCTTGTCATGACGCGTCGAAGTCTTCTACGGACCTTCCACTTTCAGCACCAGGCAGATAAGTCGATTTGTAGGTAATGGGAATAGCATCCTTGATCCTTGCCACTGCCAAGAGAAGTAGAAGAATCTCCAAGGAAAACAGCTTATTTGCAATCCGGCATTTGCTGGGCACCTGCATGTTACGTTACCCCTGCCAGCCAGGCACATTTCCTCTCGCGGAAAGTGGGAGTTCTCTTCGGCGTCTAGGTGATCTACGAGAAGCAAAGATTTGCGATGACTGCAAGGTCTGTCACAAGACTAACACATGCGTAAATTCACGGGAGATACCCCGGATAGGGTTTAATCTGACTGTTCCCTTACCCAACTGCTCCATACTGACATGTTACATGTAGTGTGCAGGCGCCCCTGCATGAAGTGGTGGCAACCTGTCAGCAGTCAATGGGAATGAAGCTCTTGAAGAAGTGCCATTTCCTGACGCTACGCCGATTAATTATTAGTTAATTCGATATGCACAAGCCGAAAGCAAGGATATGCTGGCCGGCGCCACTGAACCGCGTCTCAGCTATACTTACATGTTGCGCCGAAATCTGGATCTCTTGGCCCGTCCCATGTGCTAGATTTTCAGTGCCGCAAGTGGGTTGCTATTGGAAGGTGAAACATAAGACGCCGAGTACTGTGCTGCTTCTCCAGATTCACTCGGGTACTTCAAAGCAGCATCGTTCTCAAAGACGAAACACGTTCCCACCTCGGCTTAGGCCTCGTTGAGCCGCTTCAGCTCGGGTGGTTACAGTAACCTTACAAAAAGCCATGTTGTAGATACATGAAGTTCGGCAAAGTGGAACAACTTGGTGGGAACAGGGTTTGTGGTCGTTTCAGCAACGGAGATCTAGCCCAGATGAAGAAACTCAACTAGATTGGCAGATGCAGTATCAGGACATGCAATGCAATGTGATAGCGGCAGTGTGTGGTAACCATGGACATCCTTGTGGTGATTGGTCAGGATGGTTTCTCATACTACCGCCAGTCTCCATCTTCATTGAGTTAAGTGTTCGGACCATGTGTAGAGGGATATTTCATATGGCATTTCACTTTCACTCAGTTGTGAGGCGAAAGGTATAAGTATCGACAGGAATCTCCCATCCATTTGGAAATTCTCTCTCTTCAACCATCAACCAACAAACAGTCTTTCCTTCGAAAAGAAAAGCAGTCTCTCCTTCAACTGAATCTGGTCATTCAAACTCGATTATCCTACCACTTGTTGCGAGCCAACAAATCTTGCATACCTCAATCCTTTACTTGTTTGATTAGCTTTGCCGGACCTCAGCTTTTCAACCCATCAATATGAAGTTCACAGTTGCTGTCTCTGTCATTGGCCTCCTGGCCGTTGGTACCAACGCCCATATGGAGATGAGCAACCCTCCTCCTTTCCGCTCTAAGAACAATCCCTATACCACCAACGTCGATTACTCCATGACCAACCCTCTCGATCAGGGCGGCAGCAACTTTCCTTGCAAGGGCTACCACTCACTCATCGACACCGCCCAGGGCGCTTCTGTTGCCACATGGACTCCTGGTCAGGACTACAGCATCTCGGTATCCGGCTCAGCCACTCACAATGGCGGTAGCTGCCAGCTCTCACTCTCTTACGACAAGGGCAGCAGCTGGACTGTCATCCACTCATTCATTGGCGCCTGTCCTCTGAAGGAGAAGTGGGACTTTACTCTTCCTAGCGATGCCCCTTCTGGTAGTGCCATCTTTGCCTGGTCCTGGTGGAACAACCTTGGTAACCGCGAGATGTACATGAACTGCGCACATGTTACCATTGGCGCCAACACCAGTTCTGCTTCCACCGAGCAAACTGACGCCGGCTTTTCATCCCGCCCCGCCATGTTCGTTGCCAACGTCGGGAACGGATGCTCGACTGTTGAGACCTACGACGTTGAGTTCCCCAACCCCGGCCCTGATGTTACCCGCAGTGATGGAGCTAAGACTAAAGCCCCTTCGGGAAACTGTGGCGGGAGCAGCAAGAAGATCGCTAGATCTTTCTCTGCCTAACCTGTTGATGAAGTTGAGCATGTTGAACATGCTAAACTACATTGGTTCTAACCATAGTCTGGCTGGACCACACACATTTGATCTGGTTACGCAGCATCCAGCTGGTCAGGTTTTGTTTATATTGCCTTATATTTTGTACATAAGTCACTCGTTATGATAGATGAACATAGTCACGTATGAGACCATTTCGGTCAGCTCTCAAGTATCACAAAGATAGGGCAAAACATTTATTGTCACTTTGGTAGAAATTCAAAACGTTCTATGGCCTTCTATGTGCAGATCCCCAAGTGGCTCTCGTGTATCAAATGCCGGTAGGTTCCTTTCTCCGTAGGATCGTCGGCATTCAGCAATCCTAATCACCCCGGGTATCGCATCACTTAGGAAGGTGAGTTAATCCTTTGAGCCTAATTATACACAACCCAAGCTACCTGCCTCTTTGACGACGCTAACTCTTTGACGAAGCTAACTCTTTGAAGCAAACAAAGGACGCCCACGTGCGGAGAGTCATGACCGAACACAATCTTTGTCCGCTTTGACTTTCAGCCGCCGCTAGCTATCTAGTACCAGGGCTCTATTATCAGTTGACCATGAGCGAGCTACAGCGTCTCACGACTAATTCCGCCTTGGCTTTCTCCCACCTGTCATGGCTCGAACAAACGCAAGCGAGAGTGGCAAACTACTGCATCTTGAACCCTATACATTTAACAAGTGATAACACCATGCCGTCTCAACAGTCTTGTTCGTAAAAGTGTACTTAGCCAGCTACAGATAATACAAACCAAAGCTATTCTTCTCCGAGAAAACTCTGGACCGTGTGTTTCACACCCATTATTATCATCTCATTCTTCAAAAAGCCCCTGCGCATCAGCTCAAAGTGGTCGATATTTGGCCGTTCGAAATCCGAGTCAAAGTAACATTTTTGGATTCCGATGCCATGTTCGACCTCGGGAGGTGTTTCCAGGAACGGGTTTTCACCGTCACCATACAGAAACTCGTTGACCTCGTCATCAACCCAGACGGCGTACCCATCTCCTCGGAAGACGCCTTCCTCTTGCCAGCCCATAGAGACCTTAGGCCTGTCAGCTGGGTCCCGTCCACGCCAGTCCAGGGTGTCACGTAAACGAAAGAGTAGCTCCCGATTCGAGCCATGGCCGATTTGAAATTTGAGAAAGCTGAGCTCGACGGACCTCAGCGTGTTTGGAAGCAGGGAAAGCAAACCGACCAGATCATCCATTCGTACGCTAAAACCTGAAAGACCCCAGTGACGGAGCCTCGGCCAGCGCTCGACAGGAAAGATGTTCAGTAATGGAACGAACGGCTCCTCCTCGTCATGATCCATCCATTCCTCAAACTCCAGGTCGTACGTCATATTGGTTCTCAGACTAATGTGCTCTAAATCCGATGCCTGGCTGAGCGCACCGTGCAGCTGGCGGTTACGGAAGGCGGGAAACCCAAGCTCTGTCTGCCCGCTGAGAATCAAGGCAAGGTCGAGACGCCGAAAGCCCGGCTTGAGCAACACCGTGACGAGATCTTCCTGTTCTGCACACGGTTGGTCAAACATATGGGCGTTCAGGCCCGTGTTTAGTAGGCCAACGTCGACCACAAAGTCTGTAATGTGGTGGTCCACCCGTGCCAGGGTCCAAAGGATGATACGATAGCCTCGCCACCTATTCTTCTCCCTTTCATCTCTCTCTTCTGACGACCATTTTGTTGTCCTTAGCCTGCTACATGGCTCGCTACATGGCCAACCACGAGGGATAGGATAGTTGAACCCGTACGGGAGAGCACGAATCATGGGAGTTTGGTAGAGAGGGTTGAACTCTACCCCATGAGTGGTGGGTGTAAGAGTAATTCTGGTGAGCGACGTAAAGCGCTCGAGGCCATACTGGAGCGCCAAAGCATCGTCCGAGGTCTTCATGATCTCTTGCTGCTGCCTAAAAAGCTCTTTGTAGTGATTCCACATGTCCTTGACTGGGGGCTGCGCGGCAATCCAACGTGCCCGTGCAGCGCGTTTTGGGGTCTCTAGTTCGTCCTGTGGGAGAGCGTCTTTACTATTTCGGTCACAGACTTCCTGATACCATTCTTCCCAGAAGGGTTCGATGTGATGGGCCCCGTGCCGGCATTGGAACGCAAGCGGTGGTTCCGGAGGAGGATCTAGGCGGGCGTCGTCCCAGATCAGCTCGACCACCTTTTCTCTGTAGACGTCATGGTCTGCGATGGCCCTGAAGACCTCAATGTTGCGTGGGTTCGCTGAGAGAAAGACGCGATCAATCTGCAGCAGCACGCGTCGGCCGAAAACCGTGCATGTGAGACGAAGGCTCTTGCGGTCAGGGTTGCTCAAATGCGACGCAACTGAATCGAGAATCTCCGCGGGGAGTCCGAGAAGCGGCGAGTGTAGGCCCATTGAGCACATCTTTTTTCTCTTTCTTCGCAGAGATACCACCAGGATGAGCAGGTCGGCCCCGGTGCTAAGGTGAGGATGGAGAGAAGGGATGCGTTCATTTGCAGCCGGTAATATGCCAGAGGTGACAAATCCCGGCCAGCCTAAAGCAAGGATCAAAATAGCGCATTCTCTGATTGGTGCTGCCTTTAGCCATTTCAATACATCTGCTCTGGGTTGTCTTGGACCAAGAAATCTGGAGAGCGAAGCGCAACCACAAGATTCAGTCTGGTCTGAGGACTCCTCAAGACAAGACGTTTGCTTACATACTCAGGTAGCCTTTTTCTTTCAGAGGAACAATCATCTCTAATCATCAGCAAGACTTTAGCACAATTTACCGCAAACTCACTTTTTCCTTCGTATCGGGCTATGGATAACATAAAACCACACCATAGACTTGCAAGCAATCTACCTAGCTGCCAACAACACCAAAATTCAAACATTCCACAACAGATGTGAAAACAAGGATTTAATTTGCTTGTATACTATTCTTGATTAGCTAGGAAGCGTGCTAATTACATGAATCGTTGCAGCGGCCATAGACCAATAAATGTTGGATTAGTTTCTTGTGAAATCCAAGTCATGATACTCAAATGCTATATGCAAATAGAACGGCAGATGAGGGATTTAGATTCAATAGTAGGGCATATTTACATGCCCTAATGATCAGCCAATTCCCGTCGCAATCTCATTAATGTCAAGGCTCATATCAATTGTATAGATGACCAAGACCTCTGACGTTTCATATTATCAGTGGTCGAATCACTTGTCACCCCTTTCTTGTCATCTGCTTCCAGCGTCTTCAGAGTACAGACAACTGGACCAATAACTTCACCAGCAAGACTTTTTCCGCCCCTCATAGTATTAGGACATCCCAGGGAGCATCTAACAGCAAGCGAGGTTCTGGTCGGGACTTTGGTAACTACTGAATTAGATATGAACGAGAAGTGATAATCAGCTTCGACGCTCCAGAGGGGTATTAAGACATCATCAACCTGCATCCGCTTGGGGCCAATGCCATAGTCGACTTTCTGTGCAAAGGTCTCAAATTCCACGACACAGAAATCTGTGAGAATGGAATCAAGTGTTCGAAGCCACCACAACATCTCGTAGAAGCCGACGGCCGAGAGAGCAAGAGTATTGATAAGCTCCATTTCAAATTGACCTAAGCATCTACTGCTTTGCTCTCGCTGGACATCCGTATGGCGAAATTCCGAGACTGACTTAAGCAATGAAGCGAAAGCAATAAGATCTGATTCCTGATTCTGTATATCAGGAAAAAGCCGCCTGATAATACGCACGACTTGTTCACTTCTGCAACCATCTGTATGGTTTCCAGAATCGAATGTAGCGGCGAACTTGACTCGATAGCCGTGGGGGCATGTATCCAACGTACAGTGTAGAAATAGTCCTTGATGCTGAAACTGAACAGCAACATTCACATCTTGGTCAGGAAAGCATGGATAAGGCTCAAAGGTATCTGTATTTTTGATGCGTGTTTTGTATGGAAGAGCCCTCCGTCTACGCTTCGACCAGTCTGGAATCCACGAAGGATATGACATTTTCTCCGATTGAGGTACGGGGCCAAATTCAAAGAGATGGAGTAGTAGTTGTAAGCTGATGTGGTTATCGTTCAATTGGTACAAGAAGCAAGCTAGTTCATGGTATATCTCAGTCCACAGCCTGTTGTAGTTGAGTTCAAATCGTTGGTTGGGATTAACCAGACTCCAGAGAGCAGCGATTCGATCTTTCTTTTCTAGGCAATCGGATTGGTGAAAGTGCCATAACAGCTCTAGGATGCTCAGATGAATCGTCTGCGAATCCAAGCTTGCCACCATTTTTATAGCATAGTCCGACATGTCCGTCCTTTGGAAACGAACAGCAGCCAAGTGAACTGTGCGAAAGGGGATGGACTGATTGCCGCAATGCACCACAGGGTGGCGTGCAAGGCAAACTTCCTGAATGACCCAGCGACGCAAGAACCAGGGTCGATTAAAGAAATCCATCATGTCTTTCAATGCTGTGTGTACATCAAAGAAAAATTGTCTCATAATCAGGAAAACCCTCTTGGCCATTGCAAGTTGCGTTTTCCATCGACTAATGCCGGGGATGGTGCTAAGAGCTCTGAAGAATGCGAATAGATTTGGAATCGTGTTATTCTCAGGCCCTAGCCAAATATCCACAGCCTTAGCGTCTTGAAAGACTTCGCCCATCATTGGAACCTGGGCAGATTTCTCTGTCTCATCGTTCTGGTTGAGACAAATGGCGTCAATCCAAAGATATCGGGGTTTGGTAGGTGCCCGAAATTGTCTCAAGAGGGCATCCACAACGGCCGTGGTTCGTAGGTAGGAGACGTCATTATCATCGCTCCTGATCTCCAAACTTTGGTAGAGCTTCTGCGCTCCCCATGTATAGGAAACGGCTGAATATTCCACATGCTTCTCTGATAGTTGATGTTCAAAGATTTGACATGTAAGTTGAGAATCACTGTCAACAGACGGATTCAGTTTAATTAGTCTTATCGCGTTGGGTGCAGAGAGAGGTTTATGAACGTAGGTATTAAATACTGGCATTTTTAATATTGAATATAATATGCTGCGATTCTAACTAGTGCCAGGAATTTCTTGTTCATGGGTTAAACTGAAGCTTTTAATGACATTTATGCAACAATCAGGCAGCAAGGCTCCTTGCTAGGCGGAAATAAGGCACCGAGGCGGCCTTGGCTGGGCCGCATAGGGAGTGTATGTTGGTGGATTACGAAGCACAACCTCAATCTCAGTTCAGATTGCGTATGTAGTAATGTTCCATTTACAATTACCGGGTCATTCCTTGTTCACTAGATTGTGTATTGTAGATAACGACCAATGGCTGATCCACCCAAACCCCAAGCTGGTAGCTTTATCCTGTTGTGGCTTATTTATTCGTCATTAACCATTAACTACGGCTATTTGAACGGTAGAGGACTACATGGAAGGGCACTCGCATCGGTTGTTTACTTTCAGTTATAGTATCTCGATATTCTTCGTACCGTGCTCAGCCACATCTCGCCCAAAATCAGACCTGTTGGGTCAAGTTTCAATCTAAAAAGCAAACAATTATATCGATCAAGACTATAAATGCAGCCACTAAAGAGAGATTTCAATATTCTGGGAAGCTAGGAGCTTATGGGAGGGCCATAATTAATTGGGCTTTGTTAGATCAATGAGTACGAGTGCTTTGAGGTACAAGTCTGGTTTGTTATTTGCCTAGAAATAACCCCTGTTGAAATAGTTATCTAACAATATTTGAGACACCCTTCTACTGTAATGAAAGACATTCTAAAAAATAGATATAAGACGCCTTTAAGTTGGCCTCGGATATGTATTGTCATTGTCTCGAGCTATCTTGTGTCAAATGAAAAGTCCCGATGCCACAACAAATTTTATGTATCTGTTGTTCTATTCTTTGTTAAAAAAACAAGAACTCGTTTTCAACAATGACCTTGGACATATTCATCGATATTAGTTGTTTCGACTTCTACGAGCTAGTCTTGACCAGATGATAATGAAATAAAACAAAGAAAGAATGTTTGTGAGAAATAACTACGTTGTGCGACCAGTTAATAGCTATATAACTTCCAGTCTCTGAGTCCTTCTGCTGATTCTTTTTGGTCTTCACTCTGATCATTGTATTCGAAAATCCAGAACTTCGATCATAAAGAAGCGAAACAACGAACGAAGATTCAGAAAGACCCAGTTCAACAAGATTTGCGTCGCAGTCAATTCGCCCCAATGGATCACTCAAGCAAGGCTCAACCCGATCTCGATTCACCAGTCCAACCATCAAGAGAAGTTCCAAACGAGCGTGACGAGGATAAAGAGTCGGTCGAAGAAACGCCACCCCCTTCACCTATGCCGCCAAAGTGTGAAGAGGAATCAACGCCGAGCCAACAATGCCCTCAGTCGACTTCTGCCACCGAGCTTGAAGATACTACGGGCTTGAACTGGCTTAACGCATATGGGGCTTCTCAAACTCCAGCTTTTGTCTCAGTAACCAGTCGTCCGTCTCGGGAACAGCTTCCTTATCTGCCTATTCCCGCCCCTGGTAAATCTCTGCAACCCGCATGGAACCCCACGAATCCCCTCGCTTCGCCCCTTTTTGGTTTGGTACCGCCAGTGAACGGCCGACCACCGCAGCCTGAACCGACGCAGAGAAAATGGTATAACGAGGTCAAGAACCTCAGGACTAACGAGTTCTCGCATACCGATGCAACGAATCACCATGGGTCGCCGACATATTTTCCATTCTCATATCCAGTCTTCTTGGGCTCCCCCACGGATCCAAGGGCGACTCCGACTTGGTTGCCACGCGACCCTCCTCCCCCCTCACCATCGCAGGCACCATGTTATAGGCCAACCTCTTCTTCCCGCGGTGCACCGTCGACCATTGCTGGGAGCAGTCGTCCGGCCTGGTCAGTGTCCAGCAGTGTAGCCCTGCCAAAGCTGCATACCAAAGGCCATCGGCAGGAGCCGTACCAGCTTTCGGGGAGGCCTGGGCAATCGCCGCGCACACCTAGGCCACATTACGGGCCACAGCCCCGTGTGGAGGCGGCACAAGAGGCAGCAGCTTCTGCCACCGAGCCTGAAGCTGGGCCTGCACCAACTACATCCACACTACACGATAAGCTATCACATCGTGTTGAGGAAGAAGCAGCAACCAATGGCCCAGCTGTCTCCGTGCCAAAAACACGGCGCGATTCCTCCATGCCAAAGGGCCACTTTAAGGGTCATCGGCAGGAGCCGTACGCGTCGTCGAGAAGGCTCAGGGCAAGGCCAACACCACCTATACCCAAAGATCCACATGATGACCTACCCCATCGTGGTGAAGGGGTGGCGAAAGAGGCGGCAGCTTCTGTCGATGAGACTGACGCTGCTCTGCCTATTCGGGAGAAGCAGCCAGTGGTAGGCAAGGGCGAAGAGGCATGAAGGCCCGAGACCGCAGGCCCCTTTGACCACCGCTGTCAAGAGAAGCAAGGGTCGGGGCAAATTTCACGATTTAATGAAGGCATGTCAAGAGCCATAGAGTGGTGCGGGTGGAAGCGTGCTTTTTAGGGGGGGTCGAACGGAGTTTGGATAATTCGGATTGATTCAATGTGTCCTTTTTTCTTTTGTATTTGCTTTCACTTTTGCTAGCGTGCTCAATATATCCTTTCTTTTCTTGTTGTTTTCAAATCTGCTAGAATTTCTAATGATGTCGCCTATATGAGAGGTATGCCGATCCTATGTGAACGAGAAGTCCTTCAGGGACAATTTAATGAAGTACTACTTCAGTAACGACACAAACCCCGGATAAGTCCAATCAATTCGGGCGATTCGTTCAGTCTCATTTTATTTCCTTGATACAAGCGCAGGTACATGATCAACAGGCGTTGTCCAGCTAACATAAACGGAAAAAATACCAAAAACATTGGCCCCCAACTATGAATGGGTCAGTGTCGGCTACCGATGAAACGTAGACATGTGAAGATGCGGCGTTGTGGCACATGCGACACGCGGCATATTCATGCCAGACAGCGAGCGAGCTGGAAAAGTGAGAGAGGTTGAGGGGGAAATGATTGAGCCGTCCGGCATTACAGTGTGCAGAGCAGAGCAGATTTAATTCGCATCGCTGCTTGTCCAACGAAGGCAAAGTATCATGTCGTGTAGACAGCCACCCCTTGCATCCGATGTACTTGAGATTTCTACCCGCCACTAGGATCTTTGGAAGCATTCAAAGCCTTCGGCCAAGAGCAGGGAAGTCCTGCACGGTCCGAGATGTGACTGCCCTCTTGAAGATATCTGGAGTGATGGGGGAGTCATCCACCGTACTGTTCACTACAAAGGGTGGCACCAAGAAAGCCAGAAGAGTACGAGTATTCGTGACCACGTTTATTCGTTTATGGTATTCTAAAAATTATCAATATTGAATGCAGGAATCGCTAAGCTATGCCAATGAAGGGAATCAGTCGCACAAAAATCAGCTCATGGGTCCGTCCAGACCTCATGTCTTGCCCTAAAACACCAAACCAAAACATGTGCCTCCCACCTTTCCCAAGTTCCAGACGAATGATACCCGAACCATGTGCCCCTCTATTTTCTTACAGAGTCGCCAATCTCAACTGGGGCGTTATTGCCGGGCAGCTCGGTCGGGACTGTGGACTGTAACTCGCTCGGGGCTGACGACTGCGCATACGTCCACTGCGGTGGGTATGGCTGGGGCGGAAGATATGGCTGAGGGTTCTCGGTCGAGCCGGTCGGGGGAGGTACGTATGAATAATGCTTCAGATGGTCTCCCATGGGGGAGCCGTAGGATGACGGTGCCTGTGGATACTGCTCTCCGTACGCAGGTTGGTATTGTACGTGTTGCCCTCCAGGCGAAGGTTGGTACTGTGTTGTCTCGCCCGGTGCCTCGGGTCCCTGGCTGGCATTCCTCCGCTTCTTGAGAAGCAAGACGACCCAGATCAGCAGGCCGATGATGGCGAGACCGGCGAGGCCACCGACGATAGGGCCGGCAATCCATGCAAGATTCTGACCGCCTCCGCTGCTGTTACCGCTATCCGCGCCGTCGGTGGGAATCTCAGTCATCGATGTTGTCGCATCTGCGGTAGTCGAAGGGAGAGTGCTCGATGATTTCGTTGATGACGTTGTGGAAGCTTTGCCTGTGGTTGTCGCCCGGAACATGGGGGATCGACGAGCGGACTGCGAGGGGAAGCAGAGGTAGTAGCTGAGGGTGGTTTGCTGGTCGAGGTTGTCGAAGATGCTGTAGTAGGAGCAGGTCATGGACGAGGTGCTGCATTGCCCGCGTTAGATGGTGGCCAATCTACTGACTCTTGAACCAGTCGGGACATGGACTTACCAAGTTCCACTGGCGCCATTGGCAAACTTCATGACGGACGTATTGACGCATGCCGTTGGGATTGGGCTTCCGTTTGCCGTCACGCAGCCGCCGTTATTCTCGCTTTGAGTCCAGTATCCCACACCGCAGCTTGATGCGCTATCTGTTCATGGAGAAGCATGGTCAGCGCATTCCCGGTTTCTGATGCTCGTTTGTTGAGTATTTTCCAACATACAAGTTCCATTCTTTGTTATGTACCCGATGAAAGCCGGGCTGGCGTTATCAGCTCTCAGCTCCATGGAGGCGAGCTCTGGTGGCGCCGTGATGGTGGGCTCCGGCAGTGCCATGACAGCCGAGGCAAGGCCCAGAGTGAGGACCTGGAAGATGGCCTTCATGGTGAAGATGATACAAGGCAATCAATAACCACGATGGGTCGACCGCCCTATCTCTGGGGGGTGATGAAACGATCAATCAAGAAAAATCAGATTGAGCGCAGACGAAATCCGCGGTCTGGGAAAGGTGAGCGGGCACCTAGATTTTGTTCAACCTGGAGATTAGCCAAGCCTTGCAGTTCCACAGATGCCAGAATAGTATGTACATGACATGTACATCATGCCCTACGCCTCGTCAATCCGGTCCTATTTAGTGGCCCAAATGATTACAGTACACCAAGAAAAGGAGCTAGAAGCCCAGTCCTTGAACTTGTAACTCAGCACATGGATCTTCTAGACTTTATTCTATAACTACGAAGCTCGACTTGACACTTGAATTAACATTTGATCGCAAGAATTTCTTGTCTTCTTCTGTATCCTAATCCGATACCCCTGTTCTTTGTAGCCTCTGTCAACTGTACACTCGGTGTGACAGTGATCCTTGGTGCCCGGAACAACCTAAGATCAGAAAACTACCCGCTGATCCTTGTTTCAAAGCGCTAATTAATCTAACTAGCTATGGCCTGGTCTGGCAGTGCTCTGCGTGGCAATGTCTTGAAATAGCTCACTAGAAGGCATCATCCCTGTAGATGTAAGCACTTGAACTGTCCATACCCACCACAGCCACCATCTGTGCCCATCAAAAGAAGTGTCACAAGAGGCAGGACGCATTGCTGATTGCTGGGTTTCCTTCATGCTCCACGCCATTGCTGGGTCAGGTAAGCTTTGGCCCCCAATTGTGCGCCATTTCATCATCATTGTGCTCCGGACGGCCCCAGCGTCTCATTGGCCTGCTTTTAATAATTCCTCGGGGCTTTAGTCCAAGCCTCGAGTGGCATCATGACCGTTTTCATAGGGCATTGCGGCGCCGATCCTTGATTGGTTAGTCTGTGTGTTGTGTTTGAGACTGAATGACTTCAGCCCTACCCTCCAAGACGACCCGGGCAACCGGGCTGCCAAAGCTTGACGGTCAATTAGAATTAATACCGAACACTCCTCTCTGGCCAAGCAAACAATAATGCAGTATTCATCACGCAGCCTATCGAAGAAGGTAATTTAAATGAACCCTATTTCCTCCTTCCTTTTTTCTTTTTCCCCTGTAGCAAAAGTCCATTTCATCACCAACCATCCTTGCACGCGTTGGGTGAGCGGACACTGGTTACCCTACACCCTCATGTTGATAGATCAATTGATCCACATCAACAGATTAGCTGTGCTCTTTTCAAGCTTTTTACTTATTGAGCACATTTTCTAGTCGAAATGTAGTAGATTCCCTAACCACTGAAGTAACATGATTGGAGCTTTTTGCTCCATCAAAGTAGCAGTATATTTGTGACTAGCTGTAGACACACAGTTAATGACACCACATTTAGTCCTGAATTCCAAAACTTCGCTGCGTACCTGCATGTGATGTTAAATTGATTAATAAAGTTAGGACTTGGTGTTGTTTTGTGTAAACAGAGATGCCTCTTTTGCCATGATTACAGCCATCCTACTAGACTGAAGGTTTCCATGGGTCCTCAGTCATAAGCAAGTTCTGCTCCTGCTCTATCACATACGACCATACCCATTCGAAAACACGCGATCCCGTCCGCTCTCGCCTAGTTAAACGGATGAGGGGCCGATTAGTAGTTGGGTCGGTGACGACCAGCGAATACCGGCTGTTGTATGTTTTTTGACTCTTTTTTTGGTTGATGAATTGCCTCTTTGATGCCCCAGCCCCGGTATCATCGTAGAATATTTTTGAACGGGGCAATGCTTTGTCTGGACTCTTCGTGGACAATGATATGCTGTGTGGAAGTTGATAATTCTCAACAAAGGTGTTAGCGTTGCTTCTTGGATATTGTTATTACCTATGTATGCTACAGGAGGGCCGTCTAAAATATTGCTCCTCCTAAATGACCGCGGAATTTATCCCAGAGCTCAGGCATCTACCAGTTTATGAACGAGCGATATTACATGCATGGTTCTTACCAAACATTTGAGAATGGTATGTTTTACTTCGCAGATCGGACCATCACTTGAAACAAACCCATTTCTCGAGGAACTCAGGCTGAACAAAGGCTATAATTTGACTTTAGATTACTAGATACATTTTCACTTCTTCATAAGGTGTTTGTTGACGGGGGTAAGCGGCTCCTGGCCAGAGAGCACAGCCAGCACATTCTGCATTGACAGCGCCTCAAATCCACTCTTCGTCTCAAACGCACCGCCAGCAGTGTGTGCCGTCACCGTGACATTGCGGTTGTTGATCAACCTCTTGTTCACATTTGGCTCGTTTTCATGAACGTCCAGTCCGGCGCTGTAGACGTGGCCGCTCTCCAGCGCATCGGCAAGAGCTTCCTCGTCGATTAAACCGCCCCGGGCGATGTTCACCACTCGCGAACCCTTCTTCAGTTTCGAAATGCGAGAAGCATCGAGAAGCTGCTGTCCTCCTGGTGTGGCCAACACAACGCAGTCTGCCTCAGCGAGCATGTCGTCAAGCTCAGGGATTCGACGTGCTCCACCGATGGCGGCCTCTTGCTCGGCACTTTTGGGGAAGAGATCGTAGTAAATGATTTTCATGTCAAAGCAGCGGTATGCCTTTGTAGCGATACGGTATCCAATATTTCCCAGACCTACGATGCCAAGAACGTGGTTCTGGGGGTTGTGAGCGCCTACAGGGGCGTTCTGATGAGCGTCGAGAAACTCGTCTTTGTTTCCACTGCGGGCGGCAACATTGCTCCACTGGATATTTCTGAAGACTGAAAGAATATGATAGATGGCCATATCGGCAACGGCTTCAGAACTTGCTGATGCGCCGTTGCAGTAGAGGATGCCGGCTTCCGTGAGCAGAGGGATGTCGGCCCAATCATAGCCAGCACCGGCAGAAGTGAAAATCTTCAAGGACTTGGGAAGCAACGGGATCATCTCGGCATCCCAGCGACCCATTTCAAGACCCGAGTTCCAGAAGGGACGGAAAACAGCCTGGAAGTCTCCCCATTTTCTGTCCCGTAGAGCCTGTAGCCAGGCATCACGTTGTCTCTCCTCAAGTGAGGGCTGGATGATAGTGAAGGCATTCTGCAACTCCTTGTAGATGTCTGGGTTGAACTCGATGTCATCTCCAAGATGGAGGATGACGGGTTTCTCTGTGGCAGACGACATGACGTTGGCGGGTATTGAACTAGCGGATCAGGGATGGGATGACCAGGGCAATTGATAAGATGGATTCAGTCCAAGCACGAGCAGATAAATCAATCTCGGAATGGTTGATGTCGACTGACCCTGGACCGAGAATGGCACGAGGCGGGGTTTGCCTGCAAAGTCAGTTTGGCTCCTGACTCGGAATGCTCCGCAACTCGCGATATTGGCGACTGCGATTTTGAAGTCAAACCATTCTCCCCACTAAAGAGTCGACCACGAGGCACAAGCACGAGTCAATTGAGCAACGACCCAGCAGTTGCCGGTCGCGTCGCTTGCGCTTTACTGGAAAAGGGCGCAGGTCCCCGGCACGTCTCGCTTCGTGGTGGAGGGGGTGGATATTTGGTGGAGAAATGAATCAGCTGCTTCTCCTCGCATCGGCATTGAGCCTCCAGGGGATCCTCTGGGTGTCTCCAAAGGGAAGGGATGTCTCCGATTGGAACAAGTGATTCAGTTTTCTGGAAAATAAAGACTAGTACCTTACTAGTCTCTGACCTGTTGAGGGGGGCGTTTTGTGTTTGAGCTTCTTGTTCATCTTTGGGAATCATCTGTCGTTGAGGACCTTATAGTAACCCAAATCAAACAGCCATACTCGTTCAGTTGACTCTTCATTCAGAAATTCCACCAATTCATCTGTAACCATGGCATCTGTCACTGCTTCAAAGCCCTACCCCCCGGGCATCCATGTCCCCAGTTTGACATGGTTCCAAGGCACGAACGAGCAAGAAATCGACTGGGATGTCCAGTCAAAGCACTTGGAGTTTCTTGTCAAGTCTGGCCTTCATGGAAGTAAGTGACTTCTGGGCAGTATTTCATATCTATTGCCCGTTGCTGACTTGAGATTCTCAGTCGTTCTGGCTGGCACTAATGGAGAGGCCGTCACTCTGAGCCACAGCGAAAAGAGTGAGCTCGTGCGCCGCACGCGTGAAATCGCCATCAAGGCTGGTCGTCCAGAGCTAACAATCACTCTTGGCTGCGGAGGCCAATGCACACGCGACGTCATTGCTGAAACTCGCCTCGCTAAGGATGCAGGTGCTGACTATGTGCTTGTGCTGACCCCAAGTTACTTTCACTTCGCCATGAACCAGGAGGCGATTGTGTCTTTCTTCCAAGAGGTGTGTATTTCGAGTCATCTACCCTAGCTGGGCCAGTTTGAATTATACTGATGCCTGATACCAGCTTGCTGATGTCAGCCCCCTACCTATCGTCATCTACAACTTCCCTGGTGTTGTTGCGGGACTTGACCTGAATTCGGAGATGTTGGAGACTCTTGGCAAGCACCGCAACATCGTTGGAGTCAAGCTCACATGTGGTGGTATTGCCAAGGTAGCCCGCGTCCGAGCCGCATTCGAACCGGAGCAGTTCAGCGCTCTGGCTGGACAGAGTGACTGGCTCACCCCTGCCCTTGCCGTTGGAGGCACGGGTGTTATTACCGGCATTGCCAACCTCTTCCCCAAGGTAAATAACGTCTACTCTACTCCTCCTTACATACCCCGACACACTGGAACTAGCTAACACGTTCCCAACCCCCACTAGTACTGCATAGAGATCTACGATCTGTTCCTTGCTGGTAAGACCAAGGAGGCTGAAGCCGCCCAGCTCAAGCTGGCCAAGATGGAGTGGGGTTTTGCTAAAGGAGGTATTAACGGCACGAAGTGGGTGACGGCCAAGATCCTAGGATATCCTTTGGAGAGCTGCCACTGCAGACGACCTTATCCCCAATACGTTGATGCTGCCAAGCAAGACTGGATCCTGGCCACTTGCAGTATCCTGATCGAGGATGAGGCCCAGCTAAACGCAAGAAAATGAATAGAGTAGAATAGAGTAGAATAGAAAAAGTTAGATGGCTGTTAGAATGAATACATTAGATTATGATCATATGAATATCTATTGAAAACTAAACGATGGGCTGTAACTTACGAAACTTAGCAAGCCACGACTCAGGTGCCGAGGTTGGCTTGTCACTTACACCGTGGCCATGCTCAGTCCCTGAGAATACTCCAAAACCAAGCCTTTGCCGTCCTACGACTCTTTGAGACATCCCCAACCGCTTGAACCCCAATAATTCCAAGACTTCGGTCCCAAACTTGCGTAGTTTCGCCAGTATTCCCCTCGTGTTGCATCGGACAACTCGCCAAACTTGCTTAATATGGGCCTGAGTGATTTGGGCTAGCGCTGCCGACGAGAAGAATTCCACTCCATATTAATTAATATATCACTCAGGTGCTAATAGCCGTCGCGACAGCCAATGCAAATTGCTGCAGAGAGCCCGCTGTCGGCTCACAAGTGACTGTTTGGGCGACCTTCGCCGAGGGCAGTCTTCTCCATCGGACCATCACCATCGTGTCTCTCCACACGCAGCACAGCACCAACCAGACTGCGGGCACTGCGGGGAATTCTCCCATTTTCCTGCACAGGTGCCCCAGATTCCCCAATTCCTGGAGTTCGTCGTCGGAGTGCTGTGCGAAGCAGTTTGCGCCACTCCCCACATGGCCAGTCAGCTGGCCGTTTCCCAAGAGAAAGTAGCGGAGGCGGTCCCTTCGCCTGTTTTGAAAATTTCTCCCCGTTTTGCAAGCCTCCCTGGATTACCTGTAGTCAAGGAGAATCCACCTGGGGAGCGAACGTGGTCGTCTTGGAGGTTTAAATCTTCCCCTCAGCCCCCAATTATCCCCCTCCGGATTCTATCAAGCGACGAGTCACTCTGCTCGGGAAAGCCTCTTGTTTACTGCTTATCTGCTTGATTACAATTAAGTTCGAAGACGATCAGAACGAATAGCAGACATGGCTCCGTCGGCCAAGGAAGAGGTTGTGGGCTCCGCAACCCACGTCGGCGATGAGGAAATCGCCAAGCCCGTTCGCAATGAGTACCTTCTACCCAAACCAGAGAGTTTTGCGAATATGAGTGATGAGGATCTGGGCACTCTCCGAAAGAGAATGGTTCGAAAGATGGACATGGTGATTATGTGAGTTGCTAGAGATCATAGTTATGATATTCAATACGGGATAACTGACAATATTGACGGCAGGCCTATTATGGGAATCCTGTACATCCTCAACTACGTCGATAGATCCGCTCTTGCAGCAACAAAGGTCTACGGAATCATGGAAGACCTCAACATGACCACCGCCCAGTTCGCGACTGCCATTACCTTCCTCTTCAGTAAGACGACCTTCAACTAGGCCTTGTTGTCTTGTGTCTAATTCGTGCCTTCAACAGTCGGTTACATCCCCTTCCAGATTCCTTCCAACTTGATCATGACCAAAGTCACACGCCCTGGTCTCTGTAAGTCATATAATACAATCATCGGAAAAGCACGCTGAGGCTAATCGTCTTAGACATTTGCTCTGCCGCGACTGTTTGGGGAGCCGTCAGTGCCTCTACCGCCGCCGTCAAGACATACCATACCCTCCTTGTCGTCCGAGTATTCCTGGGTGTCACTGAAGCTGTCTTCTTCCCTGGTGTGATCTACTTCCTGAGTGCTTGGTACACTAAGCAGGAGCTCGGAAAGCGTCTTGCTGCTCTCTACGTTTTCCAGATGATCGGCAGTGCTTTTGGTGGTTTCATCGCTGCTGCTTGCCTGACGTTGGATGGGAAACACGGTATTGCTGGATGGCGCTGGTTGTTTATTGTGTAAGTCCTCGACCAAGTTGAATCTCGGCCCAGTCCAAATTATCTCTGACCATATATTTAGGGAAGGAGTGGTGACCATCGGTTGTGGCATCATCTTCGCCATGATCATGCCCGAATATCCCCACAACGCCCGACTCCTTAAGCCCGTCGAGCGAGACTTTGCTGTGTGGCGACTCGAATGCGAGGCTGGCGCCGGTGAAGCCAACGAAGACACGACGGCTCTGGGTGGTCTCAAGGAAGCACTGCTGGATATAAAGATCTGGGCCCTCGTCTGGTGTATGTTCATGTCCCAGGCAATGGGATCTACAAACAACTTTTTCCCGTCTATTGTCGAGACCCTGGGATACAACAAGATGAACACCATGCTGCTTACAGCTCCTCCCTTCATCTTCGCCGCCATCATATTCTGGATTGTCTCTTACCTCAGCGACGTTTGTCTCCAATCTCCCCCCTGCTACGGTCTATTTGGCTGACAACTTGATACAGCGCAAGAACATCATCTACCCCGTCTTCGTTGGCCTTCTGTCCATGGCGTGCGTTGCTTATATCATCCCGCTCGCCACTACCAGCACTGCCGGCCGCTATGTTGCCATGATGCTCATGCCTGCATCCAGTACGTTGACATTATATCGATTCTCGAAGGGGTGCTCATGAAACTGACTCGTATTGCTTTAGCTGGACCCCAGATTCTCTTGTTCAAGACCCTCAACTTGCACATGGCCCGTCCTTACCCCAAGCGTGCAGCTGGTGTCGCCATGATCAATGCGCTCGGTGGCCTGGCCAACCTCTGGTCCAGCTATCTGTACTACAACCCTCCAGCATACTACACTGCTTTCGGAACTGGTAGGTTGCCACTTGAATTTTTGCAAAAAACTGGTGTTGTAGTTACTAACAGTTTCTGCCCGCAGTCCTCGCTTGCACCGTTGTTTTCTTCATCACGATTACTATCTACCGCTGGAACGTTAGGAGACTCAACAACCTGCTGGACGGTTCCCCAGAGGATCAGCAGAAGGCCATGAAGAGCGGAGTTACCCAGCAACAGGTAGATCTCGGATGGAGATACATCGGCTTCTAGAGTGGGTTCGAAAATACCGAAATCGCCTAGTTACGATGGGTTGTGTGTTTACACTCTGGCCTGTCAACGGCGAGTTCGACGAATTGCATAAGATTGAGCAGGAGCATTTCATGGGTGTCATAATATATGAAAGACCTCAGTTCAAATAATTAGAAAAAGCGCCTTATGGCTAAATAAGACTTGAATCATTATCGTCATTGTTTTCTGTTTGTTTGCTGCCCCCCCATTATAACGCCAACATCATGACAGAATAGACAAACTGGTTAGTACAATTTACATTATCGCAAAACACGAATCGAAAATATCATGCATCACGGAGCGTATATCAGCCCGAGCCTTCGACGCATCCTGCCGATTCTGCACCTCATCCAGCACATGCGCCGTGATGCTGGCGTTGGTAGCGACCTTGGCCATACGCAGAATCTGCTCCTTGATCCACGCCCTCTCCGAGAGATCCTCCTCCTCTGAGCCGAGCATCAACAGCGGCCAGAGTTGGCTGACCGGGAGAGCGGCGTCGGGCTCGAGGGTATCGACGAGGAGTCTTGTGAGAATCCGGATCTTCTCCATCGCTTCTGCTGTCTCCTTCGATAGCGGTAGGTGCTTGAACGCCACGCGATGTAGATGAACCTTGCTGGCATAGTAGTTCGACAGGTAGGTCCTGAATGCACGTGTGATGGGAATTGCCAGGCTGGCTGAGATATGCGGCGGTTTGAGGTCGCCTTTGATGGCGAGGTCCATTAACGTAGGCCGTTCGTCGTAAAGTGTTCTCAGATCCTTCATTATCTGGGCCGCGATCCGCATGACCTCGACCTCGTCCTCCACAGTGCCTCGAGAACGGTGCCAGGGGTCAATCATGGAGATGCGACCCATGTAGCTTTGCACCTTCTGGAAGAAGATGACACCAGGGGAGTATAGCACCTGGAAAAGAGAGTCCTCCACGTCCCACTCCTTGACTTCCTCCGCGACTCCCTCCGCGACGGTCTCCGTCTCCGAGGCAATGGCTGGAGATGGGTGGACGATCAGGAGTTCACTGTTCGAGGACAGGAAGAGACCCTCCCCTCCGGCCGACACCGCCCTTGCATCGAGGAGTCTGATCCAGGAGAGAAGTCTAATCTCCACGGCTCCAAACTTTTGCTTTTCAACCTGCTGGAAAATCCCGTAGGCGCGTTTGAGGTGATCATGGGCATTGTTCATCCGGTCCTCCAGAATATCAACGTAGCATAAGAAGAACAGCGAGGCGAGGTAGACTTGGCGCCGGCGGGAGTCCGAGACGATGGATGTCGGGTCCAGGGAAGCGACCTCGGCCAGAGCCGTCTCGTAGTAGTGCTGCGGAGAGCGCCCCCAGGGGTTCTCCTGGCGCTGGAACATGAGGCTCGAGAAGGCGAGTATGGCGGACCGGACCATGGTGGAGTTGTTAGACATGGAGATTAGCATCTGGCGCATCGAGGACCATCGCCGCTCCGACTCGACCTCGGCCAGGATGGGCGGGACGATGGTCCCGATGAAGAAGTTGATGAGGTCGTGGTCCTCCGTGTGTGCTGGACGTTCTGTCAGGGTGGCCAGCTGGTTCGACCCATTTGCGATGGCCCCCTGCTGCGGTATCAAAGATAGACTGTTTGATTGTCCCCCAGCTGGAGATCTCGGGTTGGATGCAACCCCCCTAGTGTTGACACCCGGCCACAGGTCCTACGACGCGTTAAGTAAGCAGCCGTGGTCAGATCGGATACGAAGTCTCGGGTTGATAATTAGGTAACCTACAATTGCGCGGCTCATCGACGCTGCATTCTGATGACTCGGCTCTGGATTGTCATACGGAACAGACTCCCCTGTCGGCTCCCACATGAAACTCGCGTAGTCGAAAAGCTGGTCCACGGCGCCCGGATTCTGCAGCCACGGCTCATCCGAGATGTTGGTGGCATCGTCGGCGGGAGACCGGACCGGGAGACGCTGCGGCGGCTGCGGCAGCTGCTCTTGATGCTGCTGATGCTGCTGCTGCTGGGCTGAGGGCGTGCCAGACGCAGAGCCCGCGGACGAGGCCTTGAGGACGTCCGGCTCGCCGACGACGAACCTCCACTGGGTCGGCGTGCTGTACGGGGGTCGCCACTTGCATTGCAGATTGAGCCGCGTGCAGTGGGAGCAGCGCGGCCGCAGCTCGTCGCACCTCACCTTGCGCTTCCGGCACGTCAGGCAGCCGCTTTTGGAGCGTGCTGGCCGGGGATGCGTGTGAGGTGGGAGCTGCTGCTGGGACGGGGGTGCCGGTTGGTCCATGGTGAAGGCTCTGTGACATCGAATTGATGGGAACGGCTATTGATGGCTCTTCTCTTTTTCTCTCCAGCCCGCCCACATTGCCCCCAGCTGACCCTCCGGCCAGAAAAGTGTCACCTGGAGAATGGACAAGGCCTGGCGTGGAGAAAAAGGGGTGGGGAAACGGGGTAGAACGGACGAATCTCATCACGCCTGGCCCTGTTGCACGGTGATTTCCGACTCGCGAGTTTGAAATCTCCAGAGGAGGAGCATTCCCTAATCTTTTTTTCATCGCTCAAGGGAAATGAAGCGAGATGAGGTTCACGAGGAGCGAGTGTTCAATTGGGAGACTCTTCACGATTACCAGCCCGATCTCTCAACAAGAAGTAAAAGCGTGACCTTGACTGAGCCTTGAGCAGCCTTCTCAGTCTCTGATTCTAGGGGCCAAGCCAAGGGAATTGAGTACGTAATAACGAACCACTTCAGGTCTGGAAATCAAACAAAATCACGCGCACTCACCAATACTGCGAACAGAGGTCCTTGGATATAATTGACAATTGGCCCCCATGTCATTTTGCACTGGAGCAGACTGAGCACGCGCTAGTTCACAATTGAATTGACACAGCAGTACTTGAATGACACCAGTATGATATTCACCACGTCTATCTATATACCTTCTGTCATCTAATACAATATAAATCCAAATGTTCCCATTTTCCCATCATAAATCATACCCCATTCCCAGCAGGGGCCCAGAGAACCTCTATTTCCTCACAGAGTGTACACAAAGTCGGGGCGCAAGTCACCCTCGATCCAGCGCTGCTCCTCCGACAGCGCCGCCCACTTGGCGTCCATCTTGCCGGCCTTGCGGTTCGCGTTCATCCTGCGCAGGGCAAAGTGCATGAAGATGGTGCCGCCGAGCAGGCAGACGACCTGGTACCCGAGGACGACGCCGTGGCCCGTCCAGAAGTGCGGGCTCTCGCGCGTGAGGTAGATGTTGGACGAGACGACGCCGTTGAGGTTGCCCCAGCCGACGACCATTCCCAGCACGAAGGCGCGCTTGAGGGAGCCCTCGGTGTTGTTGTTGAGCCACGATAGGGTGTTGGGGATGGTCGGGTAGATGCCCGCGGCGCCGAGGAAGGTCCCCGCGTACTGGACCTGGAGGTTGTTGGAGCCGAGGAGCATGACGAAGCCGGCGACGCCGATGAGGACGGTGAAGACGTTGCAGTAGCCGCGGTAGCGGGTGCGGTCGGCAAAGAAGCCGATGGCGACGGTGCAGACGGCGGCGACGGCGTAGGGGGGCACGGAGAGGAGCTGGCCCCGGGTGCCCGTGTGGCCCATGCCCTTGAGGATGGTGGGGAGGAAGAGGGAGAAGGCGTAGAGGGGGGTGAGGCAGCCGCCGTAGATGACCATGTAGCCGTACGTCTTCCAGTCCTTGAGGGCGGCGTAGATGTGGCGCTTGTCAAAGTCCTCGGCGGTGCGGCCCTGGCGGTCCATGATGAGGCGGCGCTGGACGCGGATGCGGTCGTCCTCGTCGAGGAAGGACGCCGTCTCGGGCCAGTCAAAGACCATCCACCAGCAGAAGACACCGACAAGGGTGGTGGCGAGACCCTCGATGATGAAGATCCAGGCCCATCCGGGCATGCCGCCGATGCCCTTCATCTTGGCAATGGCGGCGGCCAGGAGACCACCAAAGGAGCCGGCGAGGGCGGCGGCAGAGAAGAAGAGGGAGGAGCGCACACCGATCTCGGAACTCTTGTACCAGCAAGAGAGGTAGTAGTTCACACCGGGGAAGAGACCAGCCTCGGCGATACCGAGGAACCAGCGAGCAGCGAGGAGACCTGCGTTGTTCTTGCAGAGACCCATGAGGGTCATGATGATTCCCCAGACGACGATGATGCCGGTGAAGAAGATACGGGGTGTCAATCGCTTCAGCAGAGCGTTGGTGATGGGTTCAGCGACGGCATAACCAATGAAAAAGATGGTCAGGGCCATGTTATAGTTTCCTTCGACCATTCCCAGGTCATCCTCCATGCCCTCCAAGCGAGCATTGCCAATGTTTGTTCGGTCAAGGAAGGAGAGGAGGTACAGCAGCGAGAGCCAGGGGATCAGCCACAAGTCGACTTGTCTCATCAGCTTCTTGTCCTATAATGAGCGAAAGAGAGGGCAGGTTAGCACAAGCTCGGCTAAGTGTGGTAGGGCAGGATATAAGGTTATGGGGAGGGGTAAGAACTCACAATCGCCTTGCGCTCCTCGTCGGTCTTGCCGGCATCAGGGTCTGGCAGGTTGGCCAGGAGCTGGGCGCGCTCATACTCGATGCCGGACTTGTCAACGTGTGATGAGCCCTTTTCCAGCTCAATGGGGAGCTCGGGCTTCTCGATGTCACCCATGGCGGCAGAGGTCCCTCACGCTTGTATAGCAAAGCAGTGGACGTGGGTATTGAAGGGAGGGGGGAGGGTGGGTTGTCTCAGTGCACAAGAAGGGTGAAAACGTGGGAGAGATGGAGAAGTTTGGGAAGAGGATGTGACGGAGAGCTCAAGGTAGAAAGTTTGGGAATCGTCCGAGTTTTTATTTATGATGTTTGGGCTTCATGGCTGGGTGAGGGTACGCTCTGGCTGGCACTCTACTCCGCATCGGGGGGTGGGGGGAAGACAAGACAAGGGAAACCCCGGCTGAATCATGGCCGGAGCCACTTCTGTTTGCATTTATTGGCCTTTCCACCCCCATGTATACCCTGCTCTACGAAATGTGACGCTTTCTCGTGGGCATGGTTGGCTTCGTTGATGGCGGTGGGACCGTCGGTTGGTCATCAACCCGGGGGCAGTCGACCATTTTGGCGGGGAGCCCCGTAACTCCGACCCAGAGTCCAGATCAGGTTCTCAGATAGAGTCTATGGAGAACGAGGTGGAGGAGATTCCAAGGATTTGCCCCAGTCTTCCAGCCTGCCCCTTGCTTCTGTGCCCTTGCAGTGCTGGCGGATTCATGGTTCGCGTCACGAGGAAGCTTCACTGACACAACGGAAAGAGCGCTAGGCCAGTAAACTCATGCTTTAGAAGCAGAATAGCGCAATGTGCCTGGGGACCGCAGGATCCGAAAACAATGCTTTCTGGGCGCTTTGCGGATCCGATGGTGGGTGGGATGAGAAAAATGGTGTGGTGGACCAACAATAAGCTAAGCAAAACAAATCACTCTCTAACCAAATAAGATTTTTAAGCATCTCACTGATTAGCCCGCAGCGTCTCCAACAAAGCCTGCTAGGGCCAAGAGTTTGACAGTTTAACCCCGAGGTTAGAGGGCAAACCAACATAGACGCTAATCATGAAAGGGGCAGAAGATCAACGCAACAGGCAGCAGGATTTGCAACCCCGTCTTTCCTCTTCACTTTGGCAGCGTCACAGTCGTATCAACCAGGGTCCGTCTCCGTGGGGGAAAGAGAGGGAACCGGGAGCGAGCCGGTGAGAGCTGGCTTCTACTTTCCCTGCGTCAACAAGGTGCTGCCCAGTGCTTTTTTCCCTTCACCCGGCGTTGCAAGGGGTCAGCCTGAATCAGGCAGGAATCTACGAATCTGACGTCCCCGCAGATTCACAATGAGGGGGAGAGATGAGGGGATGGGGTACATAAACGAGCGAGACAATTAATCTTGGGCGGATCCTGCGTCCATTCAAGCTGCCCAGTCACCGCACGCAGTTTCTTGTGGTGGCACGTTTTCCCCCCATCATCATGCGACGAGCCGGTCCACCCCTGCCGCCGGTGATGCTTCTAGATTCCGGTGCGGTCTTTTCCTCGCGTACTTATCTCGAGTGATATCTGATTATGTGCGTCCGCCACCACCATCACTGTGCTTATGCTGTGTGGAATCCCGTCCCCTTTCCCCGAAAATACTCTTCCATCCTCTGCCCCGAGAAGCCCGAGGATGGAGCAAAGATTGGGCGAGAAGTGGCAATCTCCAAGTGAAATCCCCAACCTGTCACACCCAGCCACCCCTGGTTGAGTCGACCGTCCCCTCATCTCCTCTCTGAACCCATACCCAATCCCAAGGCTTGCTTCCTTGTGGAGTCCTTGACCGCACCGCGGAGTTGTCGGAGATTTCTACCTCTCTCCTCTCTCCTCTCTCCTCGCCTGCTAATACTCTATTCCCCCATAGCCTAGTCTAGAGTCTAGTCCCATCCTCCCCGGTCTTGAGCTAAATTTTAAAAGAAGGATACTAGGGAAACCCATGACATGATCCATCTTGTTAAAGGAAAAAGAGAATAAAAAAGTGGCAACACCACGGCCATGGTGTGGATGGGTCCGTGTTCGCGAACCTGGCTAGAAGCACAGCCGTGCTTCGGCTAACCATCAACATGCATTGGCCATTATCACGCACGCTAAAGCAGAGTAGCACCGGGAAAGAAGGGTGTCCCGAGTCAGAAAGGTCACCTTCTCCAACTGCCAAGTGACTCTTTCGGGCAAATCCCGTCGAGTCTTACCAATCTCACCGTGGGGGAGGAGAGAGCATTCTTCCCAACCACATCAATCATTACACATTGCAAGTAGAAGAGACTGTGATTGTAGTAAAGAAGCATTCTCATTAAGTCTAACATCAGCGACAGACTTGACTATTCATTCATTACAAATTGGCATTTCATCCAGAATAAAAACACAGACAAGCTTCCCAAACTAATGCTGGCGATGCAGCCTTGTTCCCTTCCCAACGCCATGAGAGCAAATGATGATTGAAGAACAAAAAAAAAAAGAGCCATGTAAAATGAGAAAAATAGACACAGAGAAAGGGAAGAAGAAAGGATAATCCCAGCTACCCAATCCGTGTAGCGATACCGCGCAGCTCCCCCATCGAAGGCCTCCAACAGCCAAGAGATGGGGTTCATATCACATCACACCCCCAGCCATGACTACCCCACTGACTATTGGAGATGGGGGATGATCGTATCCATAGTCATCATCTAAGCTCACCGCCAGGCAATGCTAGATCGGGCATCAGCCTTTCGGTTCCCACCGGCAGGCGTCGACCCGAGACCAATAGTCACGCGCCGAGTCTCGCCAGAGCCGTTTCCAGAACGTCCATTTTCCACCCGGAGGCTGCCACCAAGGTTCATGCGCCTCGCCTGGCTGGCGCTGAGGGCCCTCTCGCCTTTGCCATACAGCTCAGAGGGGGAGCACGTCATGGGTGGACTCTTGCGTCGCTCTGAGCTGCCCCGTCGGTGCCTCGAGATGCCGTTGGTGCTGCTCGCCAGGCTGCCGGAAGCAGGCATACTAGGCCTGGGGGCTGCTCCCATTGATCGCTCACCACTCAAAGAACCAATCGACGATACACGTCTTGCGCCAGAAGCCCCCGCGCCGGCCATAAGACTCACCCTTCGCGCCTTGTTGGCCGAGTGCAGCGCGCTCCTAAGCTTGCGAGCATCAATGGCTCCTGATTCCGAGTCGGATCCAGACTGCTGCGACGGCGGGTTATTCTCATCGACCATGACCTGGGCGATGCGCTGAGAGGTGGGAGAGAAGCGCCTTGTGGCAATCGGCAGCCGCGGTGAAAGGTTCCCGGTTTTAGCGACGTCGAGTGACCGCAGCGGAGGGGGCGTTCTATCCGAGTCTGAAGGAGACATCGAGTGTCGGCTCGCAAGATTGAGGCTCATCGTGGGTGCCTGTTGCGGAGGAGAGCCATCAACCGCCAAGGATCTTCTAGACGCCTTGGACAGGAATCCGGCCTGGAACCGACTGGGCTTGGCAACGGGGATGCTCGTCATTTCCGGCAAGTCCAAGCTTGTTGAGGTACTATCCTCTTCGTCGATCGTGGGTTCGTGCTGCAGGAAGACGGGCGCGGCTGGCGCTGGCTCGGTTACAATTGAGGGCATCGTGAACTTTGGTGGCGGAGGAGGACTGCTCTCGGCGGCGACAGTCTCAACTGGGTTCTCTGGAGGAGAGCTGAATTTCTTAGGCGTCTTCTCAAAGTCGGCCAGTGTGCCATCCTCAGATTCGTCGTCGCGCCATCGGACACCTCCCTTCTTCATGACTGCCTTCTTCACGGGGGAGAAAGACACTCCCATCTTTGCAGGGTTGGCAGCCTTGCGTCGTTTCGGAGACGCCTTCAATGGGCTCATTGTTGTGACCTCAATTTGTGTCATGGTAGGGAAAGCAAGTGGCTTCACGGCCGAACCAGGAGCCCTCTTCTTTCGTGGAGTCCCCTTGCGCATCGGTGGAAGAGCATCTACCACGGGCAAGGGTCCGTCAGGCTTGACTACCTGCGAGGCGGCATTGAAACCAGTTTGGAGGAGCGAATGGATGAGCCCTCTGGCATGAGCCACAGCCGACTCCTCGTCCATATCAAGGGTCTCGGAGAGCGAAGTCAGCATCTCAAACTGGGCAGTTAGGAGAAGCTGCATCATGGCAGCGTCGCCTCCCCTTTCCTGCTCAAGCACTTCTCTGTAGCTCTCCCGGTTGAAGTTCATCTTGAGAAGCTCAGCTTCCCGTTCGAGGTTGGCGATCTCACCGGTATCCGCACCGTCAGTACTCTCGAGCTGCTTGAGGCTGTGCACAAGCGCTGTGTCGATAGCCCGTTCCCAGGTCGGCTTCTCCAGTTTCTGATGGAGGTGCTGGCGGCTGTTCTCGAGCTCAAGGAGAATGCCGCTGGCCGTCTTCCGGATTGCCAAAAGGTTGGGTGGCATCGCCTCCTCATCGCCTCCGGTGTGCTGGTCACAAACTGTGTCGAAGGCCCCAATCCAGCCTGACAAGAGACTGATACGTCGCTCAAAGGCCCTCAGCTTCTTCATGCAGTTGATGCGCTCCTGACGATCAGATGCCGAATGGTCATAGGCCTGGCGAAGACGCTGCATGCCCTCGCGAGCCAAACCCTGGCGCTTGTCGCACTGCTTCTTGAACTTGGCGAAGAAAATGGCCTCGGCGTCCTTCTGCTGTGCTCGCAACTCGTTGATGAGCGCCATCTGTTCATCGATCTTGACCAAGAAGTCCTTGACGTGACGGTTGACATTAAATACGTTGCGGGTGACCTTGGTCTGGATGTTCTTGGCTCGGTTGGCATATCGCAGAGTGTTATGGGTCTCGTCGTAGTGAGCGCTGGAAGGTGACACGCAGACAATCATGACAGTCTTGCAGTTTCCTCCGAGTGAGAATTTCAACAGGCGGGTGAGCTTGCTGTTCCGGTACGGAACATGGGTCTTGAGGCGACGATCGCAGAGGGCGTTGATACAGCCGCCCAGAGCCAGCAGAGACTTGTTGATGTTGGCACCCTCGGTAAGGCGCTCGCCACGGTTCTTGGTCACAGAGGCTCTCTCAGACCCTGCCAGGTCGATAATGCTGAGAGTTGCCATGGTGTGTGGCTCGTTGACGTCTGCGTTCCTGTCCTTCTGGGCCACGTTGATTTGGAGCACGGCGTGCGATCGCGAGGAGGTGGCATTGGCCTCTGTGGGTGACACTGTGCGGTATTCGTTGCCCTGAACAATCATATCCATGACCTCTTGGACGTCTTTGGGATGGTGGCTTGACAAGCCGGAGACTGTGACGGCTTGGTTGCTGTCCTCGCGCAGCATCAGACCGGCCTTGCTGCCTCCAGGCACCAGCAGATCTCGGATCGTTTCGTTGTAGATTTCCAGGTAGCTCAGGCTAAGCTCTGTGGTCTTCTCCTGGCTGCGCTCGTCAATCTTCTCGAACAACTCCTGCATGGTCAGGAAGATGATGCCCGGATGTTGGGATGTGCCGGTGATGGTGTGCGTCTTGCCGCATCCGGTGGCACCGTAGGCGAAGACAGTGGCATTGTACCCGTCGAGGACGCTGTCGAGCAGGTTTCGGGTCGTGCCCTCGTAGACGTCGGACTGGCTTGTGTTGTCGTCAAACACACGATCAAAGGCAAAGACCTGGTCCTTGACCTTCTTGGATGTGGGCACGACTGATCGGGAGAATTTCTGCACGGGGTTGTCTTCGGGAGGATCGAATACTCTGCAAATGTGATCTTGATTAGCACTCGGTGCCTTGAGTCGACAAAGAGTCACCAAGTGGTGGTAGTCTTACAAGCACCGGTCGTCGACGACCTTGATGACACTGCGCAGGCCGCGCTGGTGCAGTTTGGGTGCTGGGGCGCCAGCGAGCGAACCGTCTCCGAGGAAGACTGTGCCATCGTCATTTTTCTGACTGTAAAGATCGAGTTGAGCGTTAGCCTTGCCATGGTTATCAAGCACTCGAAGTCGCCGAGGCTTGTCTTTGGGGGGAGGGAGGGCGGAAAGGTCTTACAGTTGTGCAGCTTCACGGATGGTGAAAGGCCGTACTCGCACTGGATTCTGGTTAGCTTCGGCCCCTCACTCTTGCTACCTCCATGTCCTGGACAGATTTTCGTCCAGTCCGCCGAGGCAAAAGGTGTCAACGTACCGGCTACTGTGATGGAAGACTGTCCGCCAGCTTGCGCCATGTTTGGCAGTGTGAAAATGTGGTCGTTTCGGTGTCGATGAGGTTTGTGGTTGTTTGTCCACCGCCCACGGCGAGGTGAGGATCGATGGATCTTCTGGCAGTGCTGATCGACCTGCGTGCCTGGACTGCGAAGCTGGGCGAGTGGCAGCCGACTGTTGGCAAAAGGCGGTGATGCGACTGTCTGTTGTTGGTGCCGGTCGACTTCGTGATGGGGATGCAATAAACAAGCAGAAAAAGAATGCTTGTGCAGCGCAGAAACAGCAAAATGGATGCTAAAGAACAAAACCCAAAAGACAACAAACAAAAGTGAGTGACTAAAGGGATTAAGGACAGAGAGAGAGCAGCCGTGCAACGCGTCCTGGGTTGGTTTGTTGATACTTACTCTGTTGCCGGCAGGAGGATGGACGAATGCACAATGCAGATGCAGCTGAGGAGACGGGAAGCTAGCTCGACTAATGAACGACGACGGTGAGCGGAGAGTCAATGCCTGCAGCCCCCTTCCTCTGCCGTGCTTTGATTTTTCGCCAATGGATGCTGTTAGCGGCATCGACAAGGGTCGAAAACAACAAACGTCACTGTTGTGCACCGTTGCCTGGACAACCGCGCGGGCCCGCTTAGCGCCTTTGTACAGCGCTGTGCTCTAGGGCCTGCGCGCTACGGGCAACGCTATTGGACAGTGTCACATGTTCTGAAACTCGCCAACCAGGCCCCAGCATTTCCGATATTTGGCCGAGAGCGATTAGATAAGCGCTCATGGAACACCCCGCTATTTTATGCAAGCATTGCTGACAGTGCATACCTAAGCCAGCAAGTGGGTGAAAAAAAAAGAAAACATGGCACATCGAGATAGTTCATAATTGAACTTTAACACAATGTTACAATAAATAACCTAGTACTGAATACAATATTAAGCTAAATATTATAGAATAGTTTATTACTCTCTCATTATTCTCTTATTATTATGTTTAGGTAGTTAAAAACGGAGGTCCCTGCCTTGCGCGGAAAGAGCTTTAGTGTGCTATGTTTTATTCCACCCACGGCCGGGCATCAACTCTGCCTAAGGCCCTCATCTTGCAACTACCCTAGACTTGACGTGGGATCGTTTTGGCTGCAGTTATCGACTGCCTCGATACGTTGGCAACAAATATATGGCGTAGGCCACTATTTAGATCGGTCTCATTCTCCTAAACTATCAGGTGAAGCCTTTTCGAAGCAGATGACAGGATCCCTCGTGCATCCTTCTTGTTGTGGTAGCAGAATATCAACCCCTGTAAATGGTCCCATTCTACCTCCTTTGAAGCACCCTCGTCATGCAGTCATCCAACTGCGAGTACTACCTTGGGACTTTTGTCAAAGAGTTTCTGTGCATTCTATGAACTATTTAACTGGTACATCACGAGGAGCGATCTTCTACCAATCCCATCGTGTCTTGCTATGGCTCGTGGAATCAAGACCATAACCACCCTCTCAATTGACGATATCTGTGCTGTCTTTGCCAGACCCCTGGCCGTAAACAATCAGCATGGCTTCGTGGCAGACTCACACATGCCCCTCAGACGACACATTTGGGCCCATAGTTCATGGATGTCGCAATGATTTTGATTTCACGCTCCTGTTTGAACATCTGTTTTTCACCATTGTTCCATGTACAGCATTCCTTGTTGCTTCTTCTTACAAAATTACACAATTATACCGTGTCGAGCAGATCGCAAATGGAAAGCTGCTCCAAGGGACCAAATCTGTAAGACAGTTAGGCCTGAGTTCATTATGGCATTTCTCATCATTTAACAGGCAGTCCATCTTGCACATTCACTGCTTCGCCTAACTATTCTTTATAATTTCAGTAAAACTACTGTCATTTGCCATGATAGTGCGCGACTTCATAATATCGGAATAACAGCTGCAGCATGTGTCCTCCTAGCCGCTCTCATAGCTCTCATTCTGTCATGGCTAGCGCACTCACGATGCCCGCGGCCTTCATTCACTTTGACCATTTTCCTATTCCTCACATTTCTCCTCGATTTAGCCCAGTCCAGAACTCTCTTAACCATATCATCATCACCATGGGGCATCGGATATATATTCTCCACCGCAACATGCGTTAAAGCACTTGCTCTGTTGCTCGAGAGTTATCCCAAGGCGTGGGCATCTGGGATAAAACAGCCCAGCCCAGAGCCAACCCTCGGGATCTTCAGCATCATGACTTATTATTGGCTGAACCCCCTCATTCTTCTTGGGTCCCGAAGGCTCCTTGGGATCGCTGATTTATACAATTTGGATCCGCAAATGACATCCAAAGAGCTAGATCCCAAATTTTGGGCATCTTGGAACACGTCGAGCAACTGGAAAGGGAAGGCACGACTGCTTATTGCACTTTGGAAGGCGATGAAGTGGGAACTGCTCGCGCCCGCGATACCACGACTTGCAAAGCTTGGTTTTGGCCTTTGCCAACCTTTCCTGATCCAGGCCGTGGGACACTTCCTTTCCAACCCCAAGACGTCCGAGTGGGCACGAGAAGGCAGAGCACTCGTCGGCGTAACTGCAATGATCTACTTGGGCTCGGCAGCCTCTCTGGGATTGTACCAATACTACAACCAGAGGGCAAGCAGCTTCCTTCGTGGCCTTCTGGTCGTCGGAATTTATAGAAAGACGACAGAGCTGAGACTGTCCTCGGATGACAGCAAGGCATCTCTGACGTTGGTGAGTGCTGATGTGGAACGAATTCAGCAGGGTGCCCACGGATTTCATGACATTTGGGTAGGCTCATATACATATTCCACTTGCGCACATTTGATTGACAGCCGCGCAGGCCAGCATAATCGAGTTCTTCATAGTAGCTTGCTTGCTCTATCTTCAACTGGGCCTTGCGTTCCTTGTCCCAATCGGGGTAGCAAGCGCATGCTTCCTCGTCACAGTGGGCATTGGTAAAACTGCCCCCCGACTTCAGAGGGCATGGGTTGACGCTACCGAAAAGCGAATTGGGATCACCGCAACTCTTATTGAGAACATGAAAAGCATCAAGATTATGGGCGTGAATAAACAGTTGGGTGACTTTGTTCAGGCCATGAGGGATGTTGAGATTGAAGCCGGCTCAAGTTTCCGAATGACAATCATTTATTCAGTAACTTGTTCATATGCTCCCATGATCCTCTCGCCGCTCCTGACATTCGCAGCAACCAGCAGGGACTTTGACACCACAAGAGCATTTACTTCACTGGCATTTATCAGACTGCTCACGATACCCTTGGGCAAGCTGTTTCAGCTTCTCCCAGCTCTGGTTTCGGCAACAGCCTGCTTCGAGAGGGTTGCTTCATACCTAGAGGCTGAATCCCGTTCAGACTACCGGCTGAGATCTTTTGAGCCATCAGAGGTACCAAATGGATCCAATTCTGGGCGTCCAAGAGAGAATGACATACGGAATGATGAAAATGCAACAGCGTTCTCAAACGCAACTCCAGCATTTTCTATCAAGGATGGCTATTTCGGATGGAGAGACAATAATTTTGTCTTGCGCCAAATCAACCTATCAATTCCACAATCAAAAGTCACTATGGTTGTTGGACCAGTAGCCTCTGGCAAGTCTACATTCTGCAAGGCTCTTCTCGGAGAAGTTCCTTACATTAAAGGAAACGTTTACTTCACCCACAGACTTTCGACAATCGGATTTTGTGACCAATCCCCATACATACCAAACGCGACGCTGCGAGACATCATTGTAGGCCACAGCGACTACGACGAAGTCTGGTATAAGGACGTTCTCGAAGCCACGGCTCTAAGTCAAGATATTGCCACTTTTGCCCAACGGGACCAATCTGTGACTGGTTCGAACGGGTGCAATTTGAGTGGAGGGCAGCGCCAGAGAGTTGCTATCGCGCGTGCACTCTATGCCAGACCATCGGTGTTCGTTTTCGATGACATTTTCAGCGCGCTAGATAAGAAAACCGAGGATTCAGTCTTCGCAAATCTATTTGGATCCAATGGCTTGATTCGCAGATTGAGAGCCACTGTTGTTCTCTGTAGTCATTCAAACAAGCACCTGGGCTGGGCCGATCTCATCATTGCCTTGGGAGCCGACGGCAAGGTTAAAGATCAAGGAACGCACCAAGAGCTTGAGGAAAGCCAAGAATATACGCACTCTCTGAACATAGATGACGCTGAGAACGCTAGGGATGAGTCTGGCGGCTCCGACTCTCAAGAATCGGACGATTTACATGTCGGAAAGCCAGATTCTGCACCAGAGTTTGAAATCGATGATCGTCAGAGGCAAATCGGGGATTTCATCGTGTACAAGCGTTATCTGTCCACTCTTGGTCCAGTCCTTCTAGGTCTCTTCTTTCTTTTGACCCTGGCATACAGCTTCTGTGATCAATTTGGGACTATTTGGCTAAAGTTCTGGTCAGACTACAATACCAATCACCCGGATGATAAATCACAATATGGGTTTTACTTGGGCATCTATGCCCTGATCCAGATATCTTGTCTAACCTGTATGGGCGGATTCACCGCCGTAACATGCATCCAGTTGATCAAGAATTCTGGCCATGTCTTTCACTTGCGAGCCATTAACACGCTGATGGCTGCGCCTTTAAGCCTATTTAGCATGACGCCATCTGGTATATTGCTCAACAGGTTTGCACAAGATCTCAATATCATAGATACTGAGATCGAAGAATACCTTTCGGATCTTGTCATATGTATTGAGATATCCTGTGCTATGGCCATTATCATTGCCACAGCGTCCCCATACGTGGCATTGTCATACCCCTTCTTAGGGGTATTGCTTTATCTGCTTCAAAAGATATATTTGAAAACCTCAAGGCAGCTTCGCTTCTTGGATCTTGAGACCAAGAGTCCAATATTGTAAGTTTGAGATCTACTCTCAGTCGCCAGCTAAAGCTAACAAGCTCCCAGCACCCATTTGTTAGAAACACTTTCTGGACTTTCAACCATCCGGGCTTTCGGTTGGAATAATGCCCTTGCAACCACCAACCACATCCTCGTGGACAACTCTCAACGCCCTGCATACCTCCTAGCTCTTATACAGAGTTGGCTAGCTGTCAATCTTGCGCTAATGGTTGCCGTTCTCGCGGTTCTAGTTGTGGCTCTGGTCACGGCCTTTCGAGCAGATGTCGGTCTTGCTGGGGCATCTCTAGTTTTACTGATGAGTTTCGGTACCCTCCTCTCAAATACGGTTAACAACTGGACGCAGCTGGAACTAGGTATGGGCGCAGTGAGCAGAATGGAAACCTTTTGCGAGACGGTAAAGAATGAAAGCCACGGCGATGCGGTTGAGACACCTTCAGAAGACTGGCCACGATACGGAGATATCAAGATGAAAGATGTTTCGGCTTCGTACGAGTATATGAAACTTTCGAGAGATACCTTCAGCGACCCACCTCATCCCTCAATCACCGGAAACCAGACTCTTGCTGTTAGGGAGCTCAACTTCACCATAAAAGCCGGGGAGAAGATCGCAGTGGTTGGACGCACGGGAAGGTGAGTGCTTGTAATATAACCCAATGATACAAGCAGCGCACTAACCCTGGAATAGTGGAAAGTCGTCGATTGTACTCCTTCTTCTACGCCTGCTTGACCCTCTGCCCTCCGACAACCAGATCATTACAATTGACGGGTTACCTCTGAGCAAAGTAGATCGTGATACTGTGCGCTCTAGAATCATTGCAATACCGCAAGATACCTTCTTGCTTCCCGAAGGAACCTCCTGGCGTGTCAACTTGGACCCATATGCGGTCGCTTCTCTTGACGAATGCGAGTCAGCGTTGCAGCAAGTCGGATTGTGGAATTTGATTCTCGGGCATGGAGGGTTAGAGGAGCCTATGAAGGCAGACTTTCTTAGTCAAGGCCAGAAACAGCTGTTCGGCATTGCGAGAGCCGTGCTTCGTGCACGCGTTAGGGCCCGACTGCTCTCCACGCAAGGTGTTTATCACGCCGGTGCCACGAAATTGGGTGGTGTTGTGCTTCTGGATGAGGTGACGGCAAGTGTCGACAGCGCCACGGACTCGCTGATCCACGAAATCATACACCGGGAATTTGAAGGGTACACAGTTCTAGCAGTCACGCACAAGGAGCACGCACTGCAGGATTTCGACCGAGTCATGGTATTGGAGAATGGTGCCATCAAAGAATTTCGGAATGTGGCCTGTGTGGCTATACCTTGAACCGAGTATGGCAGGTTTGGGAAGCAAGTTGAGTTCAGGTTTTGGTTGGTATTATCTTTTGAGACTTCAATTTTCAAATGAAAAAGGATCAAATATCTGTCATGTTGCAATTCATACTGGTATTGAAAGTAAAAGAAAAAGAAAAGTCTCGAATCCTACCAATACTTGATCATTCTGTGGTCCGGTGTAAGCCCTATAGGAATAACAACCAAGACAGATTCCATCCTCTAGCTCGTTGATGATTCAAAGAGCATCCCCACGTATACCTTTTCCCGAAAAATGGACGCAGATAACGCTACAACATGATGAGACTGCCGCTCATGGATGGTGGATGAGAATCGAAGACTCCTCCTGGGAAAACCAGAACTCCATCGTTCCTACGAGATCTGTACATACCCAAGTATCAGTTCGGGTTGCGGTTGGGTGTGTCTTATGTAAATGATAAGTAGAACTATTCCCGCTGACCAACTCATAGATGGCATACATTGAATTCGGTAGCTTCAATATAGAGTGCCAACATAGACGGGTAGGATTGATGTAAGTCTGGACTTTGTCAAGGCCGATTCGACAGTTCCCCGCGGCACGTTGTGCCCCGTTTTCGTAATGAAACAAGATGCCTGCGACTGTGCCTGTCTTTTTGCCATGAAAAGTTTCAATGCATGTGACAGACTCGAGTGAAACAGAAGAGAAAAGTGCTGGACCAGTTGGAAAATTGGAAGGTGGAGTGTTCAAAAAACTAGGAACTGAATCATCTTTTTCTGGGGTAAATGCGCCAAAGACCGTGATGGGACCAAAGTTGGTGTTGTTGTGTATTAGCAGCTTCGGGGACGATGGCTCAAGAACAACATCCTGATGTGTATATCTAGCTGGAAGTGGCCCGAGAATGACTTCTCCGGCCAGCTTGGTGCGGAACTATAAACGGTTAGTTGGGTGAGCTTTAATATGCCGATGTAGAGACTGTAAATGTGCTTACCATAAAGCAAGGCATTTGTGACACTGTCCTCCCCTCCGCAGCTTTCACACGTATACCAAATGATATGATCTCATCACCTCTAGGCAACGGAAGATACACCCAAGCGAGACTTGCCCGGCGTTGCCGCGAGAATCGCTTAAAGGTTTTCGTCGCATCTGGAGAAGATGGGGTGTGCGGATGTACTGCGTATACTTTACTGTGGGAGAAGAAAAAGGTGAGACCAGTGACTGCGTGTAAATCGATTGTCGAGAATCGCATGGAGTTTCCAACATGCCCACAGAACTTGCAGTCTTCTAATAGGGGTGGGTTAGGCATATCCCATATATGGAACCCATGGTTGATGTTCGGCGTCTCTAGGCGCAAGATGTTGTACTATAGCAAGAATATTAGAAACAGAACAGTAGGCGCAATTCGGGACTGTGGGCAGGCTCACCTTGAACTCCGCAGTGACTCTTTTAACGAGGCTCACATCCTGGATGGCAAATTCCATGGTGTCTGATCGCCAGTCTTGGTAGTGTGGCATGCTGTCTAGCCTTTCTATTTGTCTCAGACCTCTACAATCACTGGTAAGACGTACAATAGGTGGCCCTTCTTCCTCTGGGGTAATAATTGGGGCGCTTCCTCTCGTCCATGCCAGTATGTTATTGAGGGGCACCGAAACGTGGGACGAGCCATCAGACGAATCTTCTCCAGGAAGATCCCTGATAAAGCTCAAGGCGGAGAGGTAGAGCCAAAATAATGCTGATTCAGAGCTGTCTTGTATCATGTCTGTCAGCTCCCGCGGCAGCAGCCTCCAGGCGGAAAGTCCGAACTTGTCCGCCTTTTCGTATATAAGCTCCAGCGGGCAATCGGCTCTCCCATTAACGCGGGCATTCAGCGAGAAATACCACGGGCTTCGTGATAGGACCGCTACCCACAGACGATCGAGCGCATCTTCAAGACCGCACTCTCGCTGAAATAATACGAAGCAGTCGGAGTGGACACCGACTGCTCTGCTACCGTGCTTGCATTGCTGACACTTTTGACGCCAGCAGAGCGTCCTCCCGTGATAATTAAAAGCACCCTCGTTTCCCCTGGGAAACTTTGCGCCCTTCAGGCACGGGGGAGATTCAGGCGAGAGTTCGCCTCCTATCACTGTTGGATTGAGAACGAGAGTCAGTCACTGAGTTGCAGTTCAGAGTGGATAAATCCGGCGGTCTGGGACGGGAGTTGGCTCACACGGTATAAAGCGATCACCAGCGACCAGCGCCCTGCCGCAAATGCCGCACTGGGCACGGAAGCAGGCATGGACAGCCATGTGGGCGCTTGATGATTAGGAATAATGCGACCCAGGTTTGAAGATGGGATGATGAGGGGGGAGCGAGGGACGACGAGCCCAATTGCAAGATTACGGTGAAGGACTGAAGGTCATCGGGCTCGGAACATCAAAGCACCGATGTGTGTTTTGCAGGAGGTGTGTCGCCATGTCTCTGTCCTGTCATGATGGCCATGTCAGCACAAAGTCCTCATGTCAGAAACGAATATCATACGCTGCATTGGGGGTGCCCCGTAATTGTTGTAATCACGATTTCCGGCTGCTGCTTGATGTTCATGCATCGCTTCTTGGATACGTGACATTGAATTATCCCGGCCTTACCCTAGACCGCCTCGCAAACCCGAACACGGCGTGGGCGATAAAGACGGTGAAGCCATCGCACACCTCAGGGGTAGCCAGTCGGTGTGTATTGCCGGTAGCCAATGGCGATCGTTTACCAGCTCCTGTGAATCGAATCATTTTAGGTTTTCAAGTCAAATGCATGTTTCACCGCAGACATCTGGACAGCAGACTTGCGTGCCTTTTTGACACAAAAGACAGTAGAAGCAGGGGTTTCTCCCTGCTATATCACATGCTGAGTAGCATAAGCATAAGTGAGCTAGTTTCTCGCTTGCCAAGGGTTTGTTCCTCCGGCAATCGGCAAGAAGACAAGACCCGCCTCCAGTCAGCTCATTGACTAGCACATGCCAGTCTTGGCTAACGAAGTGGTGTGTCAAGAGCTGACAACAAGATCGGCCTCACTCCAATGTGTTCCTCGATTGCTAGTGGGAGGTGCTAAGCTAGCTCGCGTGCGGTGCGAGTGATAGACCATGCCTTTTCATCCAAGCTCATCGTTGTTACACTCCACACAAACCGACCCTCGTTCAATCGGGATACAGCGTGCTTCCCGTACCTGCATCAAGCTTAACCCAACCCTGGATGGGCAAGGCATGTTGAACTTGACAAGGGATGGTACAGGCTCCACTGGACCGTGACCTTCGCTTGCGGCGGAACATCGTTTGTCCTCTGTTGGGCTCAAGTGGAAACAGACACGGCTTCCCTTCTGAGGAACCTTGGGACACTATCGATTGACCGGTCGAGACCGTTCTTGGCGCAGCCAACGGCACTGTTCGCCGCCTCAAACGATGACTAGGGTACTCGATCTTATCTGATCTTACAGGGGTTGTGGTCTCGTCGATCTGGAGTCAAACGCTTCCTTTCAGTTGACGAATGGAAGGAGAAGCCAGTCATGTTTACACGACATAAAGCTGGATACTGCTTGTACAAAGGAGAAGGGCCCCAGGTAGCTCATCATCGCCGGAAACTGCGGATATGGTTCATGCAAGCGGTAATGCAGAAACCTGCGTGCCAAGCTCAGCTCATGTGCTCTGATACTCGCAAAATGCTAGGTACCTTGGAATTATTGGGTGATGTGACCTTAGATTGGTTGCCAATGGGAGCCCGAGCAGGGAAAAATCTTCTCATCAAGATATGGGGAAACCAACATAAGAGGCCACTCCAATTTCCCACGCGAGCCACATCCGGCTGGGCATCCAGGGCTGTTCGGCTGGGCCACTGGCTCGGCGACGGCCGGCCTCGGATCAGATAAACTAAGTGTATAATCAGATTATCAGATCATCTGATAACTCCACTATCCCGGCTTCTTTTGTGCGTGGCGGAACCGATCAAGCATAGCGTGCTGGAATATCACGCACACTAGACTCTCAGCTGCCTTGTGGAGCTGATCAAGGTCATCGTCAGGGCCAAGGTTCCGTGGAATCTAGTTTTGGACATCAGTAATAGCCATTGCACTAGTAGTCATGCTGCATACGGAACATGATGAGTTATTACTTGTACGGGGAGATAGAGGAAAGTGGGAGGAGGGGAGCCCGGACTGTGTTGTTCTTAAAAAGAGAGGCTTGACCTCGTCCTGGTTGACCTCGGCTGTCCTCCATCCTCTAAACTCACCACTCGCTTCATTTGCCTTTCGTTGAAAGTTTAAGCAACAGCTAATACTATGAAGACCTTCACCTCCATCCAGCTGGCTGCTGCCGGCATTCTCTCGCTCGCCTCCGTGGCTACTGCCATCCCGGCATGCGCTGTATGATGCCCCTTTCTCCTGACCCCCAACTCAGACCAACCAATTCAAAATCCGTCTATCAATGACTGCGAGGTGTCAGACATTTGAACATGACTTATGATACTAACCAGAGGTGTTACTCGTGCAGGTAAACTGTTTCTCAAGCGTCCTCACCGAGCACCCTCCCCTAACTTGCACGTTGCCTGACATGTATCACTGCTTCTGCGCCTTACCCGATCTCCAGGGCTACTTCATTCAATGCGCTCGTTCCACCTGCGCCAATGATGCTTCTTCTGGAGAAGCCATCCAGTTCGGCGTTGATCTGTGCTCTGGTATGTGGTATCAACTCGCCTAAAGGAAGATAGTTGACTAACAATTGATCCCAGAGCTTGGCTACACCATCACGGTGCCACCTGCAACTCCCTCGGTATGCAAACTGTTCATTTAGAACCCCGACCTAGCTGTGTGCTGACTAGGTACGACTCAGACCACATCCACTGCTGTCTCTAGCAGCAGTGTTGTCCAGACCACCTCTGCTGTTGTTTCTAGTAGCAGTGTTGTCCAAAGTAGCTCTGCTGTTGTCTCCAGCAGCAATGCCGTTCAGTCTACCTCTTCTACTCAGCTACCCGGCTCAACTTCCGCTGCTAGCTCTGCAATTCAGTCGTCCTCTGCTGCTTCATCTGGATCTGCTTCCGCCTCTGGATCTGCTTCTGCTTCCGCATCGGCATCTGCCTCAGCCTCCGTTTCGGGCTCTGCTTCTGCTTCTGCTTCCCGAACCCCCTCTGCCTCCGGAGCTGCCTCCTCCTCCGTCTCTCGATCTACCGGCGCATCATCCCAGGGTGGCTCCAGCACAACCCCTGCCAGCGTCACCCCTCAGTCGACCACGACTAAGGCTGCCGCGTCCACCACCCAAGCCGGCTCCGACCTGACCACCAAGACCATCTACGACACCCGAGTCCAGACCGTCACCTCCTGCGCCCCCACCGTGACCAACTGCCCCGTCGGCCAGGTCACCACCGTCGTCGTCCCCGTCACCACCACCGTCTGCCCGGCCTCGGAGAACTACGCCATCTCCACCGTCTACACCACCAACGTCCGCACCGTCGCCGCCTGCCCTGCCTCCGTGACCAGCTGCCCCGTCGGCAAGGTCACCACCGTGACCGCCCCGGCCTACACCACCATCTACCCTGTCACCTCTGCCCAGCAGGGCTCCGACACGACCGTTGTCACGGTCACCAACAAGCCTGCCACTACCTCCGCTGGCAACCAGCCTGCCGGGTCTTCCACTGCCGCGGGTAGTGCTAAGACCACCGTCCCTGTTATTCCAGTCAGCATGGTAAGCTTTAAAACCTATTGAGAGCCGACGTGTGTAATCTTTTATACTAATATCTCGCAGGGCAATACTGCTACCGTCTCCAGCTTCTTGGCTGCCGCCGCTGTTGTGGTGGCCTTCTTCCACCTCTTCTAAGCTTCGTGCTCTCAGAGTTTGTGCTAGGGGCTCATTCTATGGTGCTCTTGGTAGGGTCAGGTCAAGATTGTTATTAGTATATCAAGATACTTAAAATAATGGTTAATGGGAAAAGTACATCTTCATCAAGTGCAAAACGATGTGAGGATGGCCTGTGAATGAGAATGACGGACGAAGGAGATGCTGTGACGTGTATGGTTCCAAAAGGATAATAAATGGTTTTGTCTTCAGTTCAAATCCTACAAAGTCTAGATATTGATTATGAATCGTAATACTAGGTGCCTCTTTCGAAGCACAGGCAAGAATGGTAATGTGCCAACTCTTCTCCCAAGAGTCGGTGGTCGTCTTCCCTTTCCCCTCTACAACGCCGTAGGACACGTCTTCACTGTACACGCCTTCTGTCCTACCCCCCTTCCCCATCTCTCTCTCCAACCATGATAGCTTCTTACTTAATCATCCAGGCCATCACGGATCTGGAGATAGTTGAGGTACCTGGTCTTGGTCCAGGACCTGAAGCGCTTCCCCCACCACATCATCGGAAGCGAGAGACCAAGAATGACAAAGCTCAGCACACCAAGAGCGATAAAACACTCCTGGATACCGGTATCTAGCCAGTAGCTGGCAACAAAGGTGAAGATCATGGCGAGCGTGTTGTTAATAACCGCGACGCCCACCATGCCCTCGAGAACCATGTCTGGGTAGCAGTCAGCCAGGTACGTGATGCTCAAGTCTCCCGCGCATCCGTACCCGAAGCCAATGAAGCCCAGACCCACGTACGGCACCGGCCAGCTCCATCCCTTGGCGGAGCCGATGCCGAAGAGCCACATGCCAGTCGGGAAGATGGCCATGCAGAGCGTCATGAGGTGCAGCCGGAACTCGGCCTCCATGATGCCCCTGTTGCGGCGGCTCCTCCAGAGCATGAACTTGTCGCTGCAGTATCCACCGTAGAAACAGCCAATGACGCTGCCGATGATGCAAGCGAGGTTCATGTTGGCCACGGCGGCGTCGTCGTAGAACCACGGCTCGTCGGTCCATGTGTCCTCCTCCACGGTGAGGTAGAAGGACAGGGCAATGTTCTGCATACCCCACTGCAGACCGGCGTACCAGACGGCGGGGAAGGTGAAGACGCGCAGGGTGTGCCAGAGCCGGTGCAGGTATTGCATGAAGCCGGTCCCGCGCAAGTTGCGGGCTGGTGTGATCAGCCTGATGCGCTGCCAGTACGTCTTGCGCTGGGTGTATCCAACAGACAGACCATCGCTATCGCGCTCCACGTCCGTCGCGCTGACGCCCACAGGGGGCTTCTCGCTAACAGTCTTTTCACCCTCGGTGTTCGTAGCAACAGGAGAAACGGCACCGTCGACAGGGGCGGCCTGCTTCGTCTCGGTCGTCTTCTCGTTCGGTTCGGCGTTGGTCTCGGGAGCGGTCAAACCGATCGTGTTGTTGCTGGCACGCTGCTCCTCAGCCCTCAGGTATCGATTGCGATCGAATGCGGTCTCCTCCAAGCAGAAATAAGTCAGAACAAGTGTACCGGCCGAGAATATGGCACCAAAGTATCCGATCCAGCGCCAGCCGACATTCTCATCGTGGGCAATGTAGCCGGCGATCAGGGGGCCTAGGTACGTGCCCACGGACGTAGCCAGAGTATAAAATCCAAGCGAGGTGCCGTTCTGGTGCTCGAACCAGATGTCGAGCAGGGACAGCTGGACAACAGACTCAGCGACGGACTCGGAGGCGCCGACAAAGAGCTGCGACCAGATGGTATCATTGGTACTGCTCAGGTATCCAAACCAGAGGTTCCCGCCGAAGCCGAGCAGCGCGCTCAGAATGTATCCGATTCGACGACCGTAGAGATGGACGAGGGGGGAGCTCAGCAGGGTCCAGTAGCCAATGGCGAGGAACAGGACACCTGCGCCGGTATTGAAGTAGTCGTAGCTGATCCCATACTCCTCCTCGACGCCGGTGGAGGCGACACCGGCGATGTTGGAGGTGGCGGCGGTCAGGGCGACGATGTAGCAGACGATGACGGAGTGGAGGACCTTGCGAGGGCGGCTCCATCTCAGGGGATCGTTGGGGGAGTTGGTCGGGCGCGGGACGAGGATGACGTCGCCATCCTTTTCGAGTAGGGACTCATCGGAGCTACTTGCGTTTTCATCCGTGAATATTCGTTTTGTGCCTGGGAGCACATCATCGTAGAGATTGGAGGTTGTCGGGTGACCGTCCATCAATTTCGACGCGAGGCCAACTTGCGACCGACGACGCTGCGTGCTGATTGGCTGGTTGGTGGCGGGGAGCTGTCAGGCAGTATGACGCGTGATTTAGCGGACTTTAGGGGCTGCGGCGCGGCGCGAATTGCTGTTGGCGGGCGGCTCAGCGGGTGGCAGGCGAGCTACAGGGAGTGGGTGCCTGTGGAGAGCGCTGGTTGGCGGCTGCTGTAGGGGAATGGGTCACTGTCGCGTGCGCTGAATGAGGGGCACGGCTCCTCAGAGCCGCATGCGTTCCGGGAGCAAGCAGTGAGGGAGAGAGGACCGACTCGACGGGGGAGAAGGGAGAAGACGATGGGTGATTCGAGTAGCGATGTCAGCAAACCATGATTTTCTGTTGTGGTAGGAGGGAGAAAAAGAAGAAAGAAGAAAGCGAAGGGAGAGCCCACGGAGGAAAAGGCACGATGGCGATCAGTAAATTAAGAACAGAAATGGAACAGGAATGGAAACGGCAGGTCAGTGGGGAAAGGCCCGAGGCGAAAATTTTTCTATTGATCTGGCTGCTGTCTCGGTCGTCATGCCACGGCCTTGAATTGCCCCCAGCCAGCCTGAATGGAGTCGATGTTCCCTTCCAATTAAAAGCTTATCGTTCCACATCCTGCCACGGCTGGTCGTTCGCCACTTTGCCTCTTCGGAGCTGAGAGCGCCCAAAAACCACGCAGTCGGGCCGCAGTGTCCAGGTCTGATCATCGACCAACCCGGGGAGGTCTGTCTTGGTAAGAGAAGCGATGTGACTGGGAGGCCGTATGGGGGTCCGGGGTTCTCATCCGCGCGCTCTCTTCAGAGTACAGAGCAGGCATCTGCTGGTACGATCCTTCTGGCCTGATGCTCTTGAAGCCGTCAGCCAACCCTGACAGCCTGATAAGAGCTCCCAATTTCGCTCTCCCCGTCAGCTTGGCCCGTGTTCCACACAACTGATAATGCATGTCTCTCAAAGACGAGTTTAGTGAGACACAAAACGGAACTCGGCTCGGCACGTTACATCATTGAGTGGGTTTAGATTCATCCTCTGTCCGTATCTTAACCCATTACGTAGTAGGCTATAACACAGACACAGACTCATCTCCATCTGCTAAGTTTTGGCTCAGTTGGACATGTTGATGGAGCAATATGTCGCCAAACCTTTGCTTTAAACTTCCGTGGCTTGGGGACGATCGTATAATTTGTTCCAGATATCAACCATAGGCCACTGAGAAGAGCGGTATGTTGGGAGAACTGTTTGATCACAAGGTATCTTTTTATTAACCTAACGGTAGGTACTAAGCAAGATCACACCACTCGCCAGATCGATCAACACAAACGTAAGCTAAAGTAAGTAGTTGTGCCGTATGCCCCGGCTTAATGCTGCAATAAAATCCGTAGAATTATCCTTTATATGCGTGGCTTGGGCTCGAGATAATCCAACTGATGGTTGGCGCACTTGAGAATCTGGGAAGGCCAGTTGGTCTTGGAACCCCCGATGTGGTTTCTTTGCTTCACAATATTGTCCTCAATTCACGGCTGGATTAGATGAAAATGAAAAGGCCTAGCGGACAGCTAGCTGAGTCATAGCCAGACTCAACTGGCCATTTCATTCCCACACGGTAGGTAATTTTTGAACCGGAAGCGCCAAATCCAACAATCACCCCATCAATGGGTTGGCTGCAAGTTGATCCTAGAAATTCAAGCCTCCCTTCCTAATAAGTTAGGCTCTTCTCGTCAATTACACATGCTATCTGGGGCATGGGAAGTTAGAAAAGAAGAGCGACCGGAGCATTTGGTAGCCCATGAGAAGCTGTGCAATCGGGGATCGAAAACCATATACTTGTCAAACGAGTCTTGGACGAAGTGCCGGATGTTCAATGACTCTGAGCCCTTCCTAGGCGATTAGACTTATTCCTGCCTTTGTGTGTGGTCAAAGATGAGATTGATCCTCTGCGATGGCCACGCCAATGTCGGAATGCTCATGATTGAGCTGACTTCAATATTGGGAGTCTTGAGGTTCCAGGTCAAGGTTGCATTTTGCGTCTTCTGATCATGCGGGTGCCTGTAGCGGGCCGGCTACAGCCAGTTGGAGTGTGGTTCAGGGCACAATTGGTGCTGACCGAGCCTGTAGCCACTGCAACCGCTGGTGCTGTAATCCACCACTTGAATCCGACGTTGAACGTCCTCCAGAGCTGGACCTTTCAATTGTCGGGTGAATATCCCATTGCCTTCTTCCACCATGAGGCGAGTCCTCGTTTTTCCAATTCCTTGCCGAATTCTGCGACGGATTCTGTTTCGTAGAACCCCGTGGCTAGTAACCTGTCGGTCACGGTCTCATCAGACGGCCGGCCTGCTCCCTGCCGCTTCTTTTTGGCAGCCTCATCCTCAACAATTATCCCACGAGATGGAGCAGGTTTGGCAACACAGCGGAAATCCTTGTATCGCAGCGCGTGGACGGTGGCTAACCATTCTTCTAGACCAGCGGCGTCGCGCGATTCGGCAAACATTATGCCTGGACACCCGCCACTGCGGACGAGTAGCCAGTCGACATTCAGCTGGCTTGCCGCGCGACGGACACGCTGTAGCTTCTTGCGTGAGGTGATGTGATGGGTACGGATAAGGCAGTTGAAGATGGTCGGCGCACGAGACATGCTGCTGCGGTGCCGAGCGTGAAATCAGAAGGCATTCCCGGTAGAAGTCGGCGATGGATTTGAATGTTTCCCACCTGATGGTCTCTGCTGACTAAACATCTGCGTCTTGCCCAAATTCAAACACCTGGACCACCAGAGAGAAAACAATCTCGAAGACTACACGAGATGTAGCGGCTGAAAATAATCCGGCGGGTGCTTCGCCGCGTCCGCCATCATGCGGTTTGGGAGATAGCAATGGCCAACCACATGGTACGCATTATCGCCCGCAGCGCCGTGCCATGGCCGCAGCACGATGGGCACAGGCAGCCCGGCCAGCACCCAGACCTCGTCTGTCCCTGCCTCGGCACTCTGCGGCGCGAGGCCTAGATATCCGCTCGCGCTGCGGAAAAGCACGCGTGCCTCCAAATGGGAGCCCATCGCGAGCTCGAACTTCTTGGCCCGGTCTTGGATTCTCTGCCGCTCCTCTTGTCGCTCATCGGCATTCGCGTTGGGCGCGACTACGGCTACAGGCTGGAACGCCCTCAGTGTCTCACAGGTTTGTGATGGGGAAGGGAAGAAGCCGTCCTGGTTCAGCTCCCAGAGCTGGGTCATTGCTGATTTAGTCGCGTCGATGAGGTCCACGGCATCTCGTGAGCTGATTGTCTCCGTTTGCGGTCCGGAGAACATCATCTTGCGAAACTCATCTGGTGTGGTCAAGTTGGGCATGGGCAATCCGCTTCCCAGTCTCGGGGCGTTTGGGTCGCTCATGTTCTCCTTGAGATAGTCATTCATCTCATCCAGCTCTCTCTTTGCCAGGAGCACGGCGGCTGTGGGATCCCATCTCGACTTCTCTTCAATGACCCGCAGCTTGTTGATCATCCAGTCTCCAAATTCCGCCTTGAGCTGGGCCCTTGCCTCCGAGTCTTTGCCCATCTTCAGCACGGAAGAGGAGCAAAGAAGCGCGCTCAGCAAACGGTCGTCAGCTGGATAGTTCACATGGGGCCCATCCATCTCGTACAGTGATTTGGTGAGCGCTAGAACAGATCGCCAGTCGCCATTAGCCATGATGTTATTAAAGCTAACCGCTGTCGCTTGGATTGTGTCTGCTCTGTGGCCATGCACAGCAAGTACAGAGTTGGCCGCGACAATCTTGATACCACGCTGAGCACCACCGTCTGCTTTCCATCTCTTCTTCTGTGAAGCGCCTAAAAGATCCAGGGGAAGCAGTGCTGCGGTGTAGTCCGGCATCCAAGAGGGCAGAGTGCGTTTGTTGCGAAGGCTACGATCTTCCACTTGAGTGAGAATAGTCAGGTCCCCTTTGGCTTTGATAAACTCAACTGTAAACTCTTTAATGACCTGTTCGATGCTCTTGTTGTAGTCCGGCTTAAAATTCGGGAATCGCGTGCCGAGCCTTTCGGCACTCGTTTTGGCCAGGTCCAGCATCGCGAAGAACTTGTCCCTGTGGTCTTTGGCCTGCAGTAGCCGCCCTGCCATGAGCAGCTTGTACGGCGACTCGGGTGAAAGGGCCCTGAACGCAAGATTCTTAATCGTGACGTGTAGTTCGATTGCGCTGGACAAGGGCTCAGCACTGAGTTTGCTGGACTGCGACTCCAGGTGCTCCCACATCGGCTTGAACGCATCCACTTCCCTCCGTAAGAGGGCCCAGGTGTTGTTCGAGGATAGGTACTTGGTAGCTCGTCGTATGTCCTTCCACACAAAAATCTGACTCCCCCAAACCATGGTGTTCTCTCTGGCAAATGCCAACTCTTGGACGATCCAGGCCCGTTGAAAGTACGGTAGACTGAGCAAGACTACCGCACTCATCCAAGCCACCGAACTGAAGCGTTTCATGTCCAAGGCCGGGTCGTATGAGGCGCTGGTGTAAACCGGCTTGGGAATTGAAGATAACGCCGTGATCACCTCGTGGGCTGGCTTAGTGTGGCTGTCTTCCGGCCCCAGCCAGGAGATGACCGCCTTGGCGGACTTGTAGATCTGACCCATGAAGGCGACCTGAGAGGACTTCTCGACATCATCTTCCTGATTGATACACAGTTGATCTACCCACAGCCTGTCGCATCCCAGCCTACTGGCTGTTGATTCCCCAGCGCCATCGAGCGTGAACAAGGCGCGGAGAGCATTGTGTAGATTCTCTGTTATGGGTATAGACTCACCGTCACAGATAAGTTCATGTTGCTTCCCTTGGGACTTGACTTGACTCTTCTGATAGAGGGAAATGCGTGGGTCAAACCATACATACGATAAGGCCATGTACGATGGACTTTGATTAATGTCAACAGTGTGCAAGCGAGCTTTGATGGTTTCGGATATGTCTGACTGAGTCACCTCCAGAAGACGAATACTGGACCGCAACGGAAGTTTCTTGTAGAACCCCGATGGAACAGTTAAGATATGCTCTCTTGGCTGCACTGGCCGGGCCGGGACTGTGTCAGACGATGTACTAACGTCCTGCTTTTGCTGCGATTTGAGAACTGTCTCCGTCATCTCCCGAAATGTCTCGTTCAAATGCTCCAGCATGACACGGGTAGAGCTGTCCGCCCCGTCTTCTTTTGTCGATTTCAATAAAACGTCGTTCATTTCCACCCGTATCTCTTCCAATTCCCGAGCAGTAAGTTCCGCGTCCCGTCTTCGAATATGCCAGAAGAACTTGAGCACCTTGGGGCTCAAGGCAAGCTTGGCCATACGGGCTATGTCCCATAGGTTTTTGGCCATGCCGGAAACCAATTCCTTGTTGCTTAGCGTATCCATATCATGCTGTGATTCAATGGTTCCGGATTGAAGCCCACGCGGTTGGTCTGAGGCCGTCTGTGACATTGCATCGGGTACTTTCGAGTGGTCAACAGCAAGACGGTGCTGGGAAGCAGCAGAGACATCGCGCGAGACAGCAAAGCCGCTACGAAAGTACTGAGAAATGGGTGCCAGAGGCCCTGCTGCGCCACTGAGGCCGGTTGAGATCTTGAAGAGCCCGGTGACTGGACTGTCCCAGGAATCCTGCAGGAGGTCGAGGTAGGTCTTTGCAAACTCTGCTGCTTCAGGGCCGTCCTTTGAGCACCACTCTTTGACAGAATCTCGGCGCAGGAGTTTGCCTAGTCGGAGGGCAAGAGCCACGTCCACGGGCCCATCCCGTGTCGCGTCGTAACCTGATGTCTCTAGTCTCTGCGACCTTTCTTTGAGGCATCTTCTGACCTCGTCTTCTTCCTCTTGGCTCATTGGTTTCAGCCATGACAGAAATGAAGACATGTTACTGAGTCTAATACGCTCATGTATTCTCGATTGATTGAGTTAGAAGACATGTATTGAGCTCACTTTTGCGGCTGGGTTCAGACAGGATGGCGCAAGATGTGCGAAAGTCAGCCTCACGTGTAAGGCATTTTCAAGGGCGTCTTGCCCAACGGAGGCTACTGGCTATGATCTAAGCATGGGGGTGACAGGGATTGGGCAATCCTGACTTATTCTTATCCCTGTCTCTTTGAACGAGCGGGAGCGTCTCGACTAAGTCATGCCAGAAGGACTAAAAATTGCCAACAGTATGCAATCTTAGCCATTTATCTTGTACGGGGCTTGATATATATTCAGTCCACTAAGCTTTCGTCGTTTTGGGTACGTTCACTCTCAACCATATTTGTGGTCGTAGCGCTACGTGGGATGCAGGGGAGTCTTAATGGAATGTCCACTCAACCTTGGAGACATACTGGTTATCACTGGGTACTGGTAAAGGCAAACCATGAGCTCTCTTTTGGTCTTGAATTGCGATCTGGATAGCTCTTGTTCATAATAATGGACCCCCTATTAGCATTGGATGGGAGACTATGAAGAGCGAATTCTACAAGGATTATCTGCGGGTTTGGTTTTTAGAGTCAAAGACGTTGCCATGCTTGATTGTGCTTCAAAAGAAGCTTAAGAAAAGCACACGGCCTGAGGGGCAGCCAAGAGCTATTGTTGACCCTGCCACAGCCAATGAATGATATGCGCGATACTCCGCAGGTAGCCAAAGCAACCTCTCCTGTTGACCTTTCAAAATCCATTCACGATCGAGGCGTATCCCATGCAAAACGGGTGTAGCTTCTTGAATATCAGTAGTGGTTGACTCATTTTCAATCGAAGGCGGCAGACTCGGCAGATCCAAACTTATAAATCCAATATCGGTTGAAAGAAGAGAGTTTGTCATAGGATCGAACGAAATTTGGGCAATCACACTGCCGATCTTGAGGGTTTGCACATAAGTTTTAGTCGCCGTATGCCAGACCTTAATCATATGATATTCTGTTCCCTTAACCCATGTGAGCAAGGCGAGGTATTGGTTATCCGCCGAGAAGGCTGCTGATTTCGAAACAAAATCACGCCCCTCAAAGACCTGCGTGCATTTACCATTTGGCACCTCCCAAAGCATAAACGTGCCATCGACTGAAGTTGAGATGAGCTGATGGCCATCTGGCGAGAAGGCAACTGATTTCACCCACTCCATATGGCCCTCAAGTGTGTGCACATATTGACCTGTCTTCATGTCCCAGACCCTAGCTGTACAATCAAGAGAGGCAGAGGCAAGCCACTGGCCATCTATTGAGATGGATATATGTACAACTGAATCTGAATGGCCCTCCAGTGTGTGAAGACACGCTCCGGTTGTTGCATCCCAGATCTTGATTGTCATATCTCGTGAAGCTGAGGCGAACCACTGACTGTTTGATGAGATGGCAATAAACCGTACTGAATCATGGTGGCCTTGAAATATTTTTACGCATTCCCCTGTTGTCGTATCCCAGATCCGAATCCTGCCGTCAACCGAACCGGTGACAAGCCACCTGGAATTTGCTGAGAACACTATTGAAGTCACCCGAGAGCCATTGCCATGTAAGATTTGCACATCTGAGGCTGCTCCTATATCCCAGACTTTAATTGTACTGTCCACAGAACCGGAAGCGAGCCTTTGACCATCTGGCAGAAAGGCGACGGTGGTCACGGCATTACCATGGCCACGAAGCATCTCAATACATGTTGCTGTCGGTATATCCCAGACCTTAACCATACCATCTGCTGAACCTGATGCGAGTCGCTGACTGTTCACTGAGAACGCCACTGAGCATATCATGTCAGTGTGGCCCTCCAGTGTTTGTAGGCATATGCCTGTTGATATATCCCAAACTTTGATGGTTTTATCCTCGGAGCCTGAGGCGAGCCTCCGGCTGTCTAAGACAGCCACTGTCTGCACTCCACCGCTATGCCCCTCAAGCGTTTGCAGGCATGACCCTGTGTTTATATCCCAAATCTTGATTTTTTTATTTCGAGAGCTTGAGGCGAGTTGCTGGCTATTCAGGAAAGCCAACGAGTACACGAGTCGTACCTGGTCATCGCTGACAAGTGTTTGCAGGCATTCACCTGTTGCTATGTCCCAGATCTTGATTTTCTCCTCAAAGCTAGCGGCGAGGTATTGGTTATCTGAAATGGCCACTGAAAGCGCTTCATGTTTATGCCCATGCCCTTCGAGCGTTTGCACGCATGTCCCTGTTTCTATATCCATGATCTTGATTGTTTTGTCTGTAGAGGGACAGGCGAGCCTCTTGCTATCTATGAAGGCAATCGAGGGCCCCCACAGCTCAGTGTGACTCTCAAAGGTTTGTACACATAGTCCTGTTGCCATATCCCAGACCTTGACTTCATTGATAAGGGAACTAGAGGCAAGGCGATGCCCATCTGGCGAGAGAGCGATGGACGTAACCCCTTGCGAATGGCCCTCAAGCGTTTGGACGCATGAGTCCCAGTCCGACTCAAGCTGAGGGACTAATCTAACCCAGCTCGGCTCTTCCTTTTTGAAGAACTCCCTGACCAGGCTTTTGGTAGGACTAAACAAGAGAGCTGACACATAGGCCTGTAATGGAGCAGTCTCTATAGCTCGCCTGTTGGTGAGAATGAAGCGGAGAGCATCCCGAACCGTCGATTTTAGTTCATTAAATCCAGTGTTTTTCTGAAATTAGGTTACTCATTTGTAAATGAACTGCGAAAGTGGGAGGGACTCACTATGATACGCTCAAGTTTCTCCATTGCCAAAATCCCTTCTAACATGCTGCGTAGGAGACTGAGAGCCTCCAACCAATAAAGGTATTTAGTTCTCAAGAATTCTTGAACTGCACCCCCCTCGCTCAGGGCTTCATTTTCCGCCTCTGTGTCGTATTTTGATTCCTCGAGATGATCAACCCAATATATACAAGAATACCGAGCGGCAGACAGTGGATCGGGATTGGGTATGGATATTTCGTCGATGAGAAGGCCCGGAGCCTGTACCCCATAAACATCTCGCTGTAGAGTTTCTGATAGACGTTCCAGCGAGTTCAAAAGGATAGCACGATGCTGATGAGCAGTGCCGAAAGGCAGGATGTAGCCAAAGGCCTTGTCAAGCAGGTAATCCTTCGCAGACTGATGCACAAAGTAGATGATGTCGTCGCGAAGTGTCAAGAAAGAACCACAGGCACCAACAATTTCTTTGATCTCATCCTCGTTTATGTCCGTAAGCGACTGTGCCAGAGCTTCTAATTCATCCAATTTGACGGGTCGATATACTACCGAAGCAATAGCCAAGATCTCTCTGCAACGATCAGCGTCTTCTGAATCAAGCACATGCTCTATCATTTGGCCGTATAGCGAATCGAGGTCCGGAGGGAACGAGTGTAACTTGCTGAGCGTATGGCGTGTCTCGATCTTAGGATCTGCGAGCTTCTTGCAGACCAAGGCTACCCAGAGGAAAGTGCCGTCAGCATTTGAAATTAAGTGATTTTCAACAGCTTGTCTTGTTTTTTGGTCGTAATTCTTGTCGCGGTCCAATTCTTCCACCTTGTGTCTAATATAAGTCTCGACAGCCTTGGAAGTTGAGTTTTGGTTCAACTCGAGACTCAGTCCGACTTTCTGCTCTGCCTTATCCAGCTTTTTCTTAATATCCTGCCAATTGCGGCTGGAGACTAACCATCTGGCACGACTAGGCCGTATAATGAAATCGAGAAGCGGATGCCGGTTTGTCTTACACTCATCAAGTGCATCTATGATTAAGATGGCGCCCTCGAGGCTTGGATCATTAAGCATAGCGGTCAAGATCTTGGACAATGCTTCCCACGCATTCAAATCTTCGAAAAGCTGCTTCCCCGCGTGGTCGTACTTCTGGCGGATATGTGTGATAAGCGATGGCTGTTGTTCAACAAGGAGGTAGATTAGACCACGAAGAACGGCTGTCGCATTACTCAATCGGGCTTCAGTAGCTTGGCAAAAGAAGTAGGACAGGCAATTGGCGGACTCCTTCTTTAATTCATCAATGATTCCACATAGCAGCATCGTCTTGCCTTTGCCAGGGTCCCCCTTGATCCAGAGCAGTTGGCCTTGCGAATCGTCGCGCCATCTTTTGAAGTCATCATGGTCCAGGATCCAGCGGTAAGAGTCCCTTAGTAGACCACCTTTGGTGCTTTGGATACGTGTCTTGTCATCACTCGGGTCAGTCTCGCGCAGATCTTTGAGGCATTGTTCATCTTTGTCATCTCGATGTCTCTTCTCTTGTTGGCGCGTTTGATCCTGGATTGCTGAATGGATATCTTGCAGATTTGTCTCAATAGCCTTTGCAGAGTCGACGAGTTTTCGAAGTCGCACCTTGCTCTCTTCAGTATTGTATTGATCCATATCTTTTTGCACAGCAAGCTCGGCTTCGTGTATCCCATTGAGAAGACCAGTCCAGTTATCGATTTTGAGGAGATCTCTTCCGATGGTAGCAGCCCAGTTTCGGTGATAAAGGCTTACGCTCTTCATCTGGTAGGCTAGAAGAATCTTATAGAGCTGAGCAATATGGTTCTCTAGCTGGGCTCGCAGTCCTGTGACAGACTGCTCAGCCTTGTTCTCGTCAAGAAGCAGCGACACCAAGTTCCAGTACCACTCCAATCTCGACAGGACATAGGTAATGCCTTTACGATTGTCACGCGCCTCAGTGATAGGGTTCGAAAGGATCTGTCAACAGTTAGCAGATGATAAAGATTGCCCTCCCCTCACTAGAGAGAGTTTGTTCCACTTACCTCTAATCCAAGACAGACGCCGGACCAGGCTATAGCAGCTCCTGGAGCAGCATGGACCGCCTTGTCCACTACCTTCCTCATTGCTTCCACTGCCTGTGTGCCTTTGCCAATGCCTCGCTTCAAAGAGGCGGCCTTTTCCGCCCGTTTCAGTCCTTCCTGCACCAATTGCTGCATTTGGCGACACCTGGCCTCTCGGGCTCTCTCTATTATATTTTCCATCGGTTGATTGGTGACAGGGTCTGGGTCGTTTCGGTATAGCTCAGCTGATAGAATCTTCTCATATGCTTCGACCAGCTTAGGCTCGCTTGATGCAAGCCCATCATAAGCCTCGTTCCAAAGCCGCTCCTGTAGAGTCGGCAGGGAACAAATAGTGGGATCTGTCACAGGGGATGGACAGGCGGCTGGCCGAGATACCGCTTGAATAGTCGTAGAAGAGCCAGACTGAGGCGGAGATGGCGCCGATGATGCTGATAATGCTGATGATGGCAGGGGAGCCTGCACCGGCTTTCTGGTGCTGGATTCGACTTTCCCAAACCAGTGAAGCGACATGTTCAGTTATAGGATAACAGAGCAGCTGAGATGGTATCCGTACGCTTGTTCTTCTCGAAGTGTCTAGTGAGTCAAGGGGACGAACAAATTGTCACTATTGACAAGGCAGTACCTTGTTTTTTTCTTGCATGTGCGGGGAGACAGCTGGCCTGTGGCGGTGTGCAAATCTCGTGAGGCGAATGGTGTTACGATAAGCGCCAAGCAGCTGGATGCCTTGCCTTATGCGAGGACCCGACACGTCACAAAATCGGGATGAAAGCTGCTGAAGCAACAGAGAGTGTCTTTCCTGACGTCATATTACCACACGTGAGACCATTCTCATGTAGCTTTCCTAGTTGGTACTGTAAATTCTATTAGGTGATGAAGTATACGTATAGCAGCACGAAGATAGCGTTGTAGAACTTGATGTTCCTGGTGATACCTTTCCTTTTTTTATTCCGTTTAGACTCTCGTCCACTTACAACCCGCGCACACGGGCGACCAGCCAACAAGGATTATAGCGCTGATACGATACGTTATATGTTGATTCATCAGATGGCAGGCGCACTTCTTATTGCGACTATATGTGACTATAAAGAGAGGTTAATTGCGTGTCATGCTAGTCATGTTATAGAGCGGCTCACATTGTTTTTGATGAATTAGCGGCCTGGGAAACTACCGAGTCGAAGGTATCATGAGTTTTCGTAATTGGTGTTCCAGTGGTACTTGGGGGACTGCATTTTGCAGTTTCAGAAGGCTTGTTTGAATGGTTCCAGAGCAACGCGCAAATTCATGAGTCTTAGCTAACTGAAGAATTCCTCCCCTTCAAGTCGTTGGATAAGTCCAGATTGATCGTCATTCCATGCTGCTCTCTACGCCACCAAGACGATATCTCACCTACGCAGTGTTAGTATTCTCTCGTATTGTCATCTCGATGCTCTACTAAGAGCTGAAGTCGAAATAGAGGCCATCATAATATACTTCTAAGTACTGAGGTACTAAATAGAACGGAAACCACCGAGCAAGCAGCCTCCACACGCCTTGCCAACTACAGAGCGCTTCACTTTGTAATCTACGGAAGCCTCTCAACGCATGTGCTCATGCTGTCCGCAATTTACCTCACAGAAGGTGGTAAAAATCATGGCTGAGGGCTTCATGTGGTAGAACTTGCGCGCTAGACTCGCTGTCCTCAGAGTTTAGGGAACTAGCGGTAGGGACTGGCGATGACGCGATTGGTTTTGCCTGCTCCCTTCTGGCTGCCAGCGTCAAGAATGTGTTGGCGAGTGTGTGGAGTATGTACGATGAGGTGACAGCGTTTTTTTAACCAGATTTTGTGAGCACATGAAATGGGATGGTCTCCTTATGCTCAATATTTGTGGATATGCGATGAACCATCCTAAACCTTTTCTTCGCATCTAGACAGTATATTCCGCATAAATTCGTCTGGCTAGGGAGACATAGCCCAAACTAGAGTCGAGCCAAAGCCAGACCTAGATATTCGTTACCAAGAGCTATCAGCCCTACTAATTATAACCCCTGCTAGATTCCAAGATATGTCGGCCGAGACCTCGGTGGTTCCCTAACCCTGCCAAGCGGCTAATCTAACTACCCTTGCAACTGTAGACCACCCGCGCGCGACGGTAAACTTCGAAGGATCTGGGCGTAGATTACTTGATATATCTGAGACACCTACGGGCGGAATCTGTCTCCGAGACTGTGCTAGGGAGACCAACACGAAGACCCCATGCGAACGCAGGATCAGGATCAAGTTGCCTTTCTTTCAGTGCAGGCTCAAAATCTGGCTCGGACAACTTACACTAATGCAGCTAGTGATCAATTTCGCTAAGGGAAGGAGAAATGGTAACGATGTATCAGTAGTGCTGTGTGGAAGAGCCAGATTGGAATCCCCTTAATTACTTTGATGGGGCAAATACGACGTCCTGTCCCAGTATGATACGAGGAGATCCAGTAGAGAAAATGTCAAAGTCCATGAAGGAAAGAGTAGAAGACCCTCCAAGGTTGTTATAGAACAAGGTGCACCGAAGGCATCGCGTAGGAGCAAAATGCCTACTATATCCAAAGACCTAGTTGTTAGATAACTCTTTTTACACCAAAAGAAGCTGTAGCGGCCGAAAAGGAATGTGGTAGTCATTTCTCAGGTCATCAAGAAGCCAACCCATGTCTTCACTTAGCTAGAAGTTGGCATCGGCCTTATAGCTTTTGTGCCCATTTTATCGGCCCGTGTGCCGGATTTAGTGCCGAACATGCGTGTTCCCTGTGTCATGATAGCAAGTCTAGGGGTATGGTATGGAATGTAAGGAAGACTTATGTCTTTCTCTATGTGGTGGGAAACCGCGCCTAAGGATGTAAGCGGCTGACTATATTTGAAACAACACCCGGCGACTCCCACCTACGCGCCGAAATTTAGGTCCGTTTAAAGAAGGCTGGTGGAGTTCCTTCTGGATTTGAATGCTTACCTCTTACCCCTTGAGACAGAGTATATAGGGCTAGCTTGCGCCGGCTGTTACACACACTCGTCTGCTGGAAAGAAAGCAAGGAGCTAACGCAGCATCTCGTTCCTCTTCAAAACATTCTTTTAAACAAGCAACTCTTCTCTCCAGAATGAGTCCCCAATTGTTCAGGGCTGTGGCCGCTCTGGCCATCTGTCTTTGCCCAGTCGTGCAAGGTGATAGGCTATTCACCGTCAATTGTCAGCCATTGACAATTCAACGAGGCGACCCTATTGTCTCTCCAGGCCAGATTTCCTCTCATGTTCATGCTGTAACGGGAGGAACCAACTTTGCCCTGACAGAGACGAATGAGCAAGCTGTCGCGGCGAAGAACACCACTTGCGACAAGGCTCTCGACAACAGCAATTACTGGCAGCCTCAGCTCTACCACGAGCGCTCCGATGGCAAGTTTGAAATTGTCAAGTTCGAAGGCAATGTAGGTGAACCGTCTTCTCACTGCCCAACCACCCAAGACTGGTACTGATAAATTGCCTTTGTCGATTTAGGTCGCATACTACATCGAACGTGCTTGTGACTATGCTCCCGGACGGACCAACTGCGGTGATGCCCCGAAGCCTATAGCTCCTCCTCAGGGGCTTCGCATGGTTACTGGCAACCCGTTTCTCCGGTACTTTACCAAGTTTTATCTACATGAACAAAATTCTGATTGTTTGGCAGAACGTACAATAGCTCCGACATTGCGCAGCGTGCTATCCAGACTTTCTGTTTGGATGGTCCCAACGAGGGTGAACGTCCGACTCTCCCTCGCCTACCTTGCGGCCGGATCCGTGCCGAGACCTTCTTCCCGTCATGCTGGGATGGCAAGAATGTCGACTCCGACAACCACAAGAGCCATGTAAGTTGTTGTCCTTAACGGATGTGCCTGGCCAGAATCGACGGGCTAATAGCGTGACCCTTAGATGGCCTTCCCAGCCATAGGTGACTACAACGGCGGAGTCTGCCCTGAGTCACACCCAACGGCCATCTTGTCTGTCTTCTTCGAGTTTTTCTACGATACAGGCGCCATCCAGAACCCCAACCGTCTTGTATTTGCCCATGGAGATGCCAGCGGCTACGGACTGCATGGTGATTACCTACAAGGCTGGACAGACCAGGATAGGCTCGAGACGGCACTTGATACTTGCGAAGGTGGCCCTGATAGTGCCGGCTGCAGTCTCGCCGTTCTCCCTGGTGGGAAGGCTGGCTCACCTAGTGCCCAGGTGCCCGTTACTCCTGCGCCCGAGGAAGATGTTGGATTGAATGGTCCTTTGGATAAACTTCCTGGGGACAATCCGGTTACTGGAGAAATCCCTTAAGATACTCTAAATGGTATCCAGTCTGTTTAGGGGCCGCTGTTTCGGCACTTAGTGGTCACAAGATGAGATTCGACGTGACGTTTCTACCGCTATCGATATCGACTCTAGCGGAACCAGGAAGGGTAGTATGGAGCAACGTTTAAGATCAGATATATCAATGGAAGCTTTGTTTAGTTCGACATTCGAATTCATGAGATGGTTTTCACCAAATGACCCTAGAGGATTGTCTCTGCACCATTTAGTTCGTTGAAGTACATGGAGCAGTGGTATCATTAATCCGAATACTTCAGGTCAAGCTTTCCACCAGTAAAATGCATAAGAGTCAACCACCTCATTATCCATGCACATAGGCGCCATACTTATCCCATTCGAGAGCATGATACACCGTACGAGTGCTCAGTCTTACCGTAGGGAGTGCACCCTAGCCCCAGATAGAACATGGAAGATATTGCGGAGTGACTCTTTCCTATATACTTAATATACCGGAGGTGATACTCCATGAAAGCTAATGTTGATATGGACTTCCAGTTTTGCCACTCATCTCTTGATCCCTGAGGTCAAATGTAAAGCGGGTAGACTATGGAACTACCATGTGGTCGGCCACGTAAGGAGATGGAACAAAATAAATACCAGATACGTCTATGGCTACATCTAGCAACGGGAAAGGTGCAAGATGTTTGTCGAGACATCATTGGTGCAAGTGCTGAACTCGACGAGCAGCATGGCCGTGGCTCGGGTCTCCTAACCGAGGCAAGGATTCATTCCACAGCGTGATTACTCAGAGCCTCAATGTGCATTCGCCAGGTGTAAGTCCTATGAACTGTTCGGTATTGTATCCGATCGCTGAACACTTGCTCCCTTGGAGCCCCTGTTCAACCTTGTATAAACGCATTAGGCAAGATTGAGGCGAGGGCTAAACTTCTTTTGAAGGATTTGCACAGTCATAGTACTAAAACGGAACATGATCTCGGCAATCAAGCCTGGAGGATTTATGGCTCCTCCCTGAGCTGCTGATTTGGGCTGTGTCATGAAACTTTACGAATTATCTGATCAAATACTTGACCTCAGTATCTCCCCAAAAAGGACATGTTTGTCGGCCGGATACATGCGACTTTTAAAACTGCCCAGCCTCTTAACCCAAGGCAGCATCAATATTGTCGATCTAAGAGAATCAGGAAACGGTCTTTTGACATTGCTACACGGAGCCTTGGTTTCTACTCTTGGCGCTTCTTTTCTCAACATTTAGTGGTGGAGAAACTAGACTCTCACACTCGAAGCAGTCCTTTGCCAAGAATTGGTAATTTGGCATACGATGCCAATAAATAAGCTCGTACTTGTAGGTCTTGAACATCACGGAAGCAGTGGGGTCACTTTCCGTCGCCCATTTTGGCTCATTGCTTAATTTTGTCCGTTTCTCCTCCCACATCCCGTTAGCGTGAAACAAAATGGCGACAGGTGACATTCCGAGCTTCATGCCGAGCGAATACGATTGGAAGGATTGAGCTTGAAACCCTCGTGTTACAAAATAAAGTTGCACGTCAAAGGTCTGACCCCTGGAAATCGGGTGAATTATGGTTGCGGCCCGCTGAGAGTTGCAGTGTTTATTCCATTCTTGCTTCATTAGTTTTGTTCCGTGGCATGTTAGTTGAGACAGCGTTGGGATCGCTTCTTGTCTCAGGTTGCATTGTTGATGAGATAACTATGAGTAAATATTCCTCCAATCAGAGGTTTGCAACCAACATCTACAATATAGTTAGTATAATCACAATAATATTGAAGAGTATATAAGGAAACATCAATCCAAGACGAGATAATGAAGTGCAATAACTTCAGTGAACCAAGCAGTCTTAAATCAATACATACCAATCCAACTCACGGATCCACAACAGCAAACAATTCACAATGAAATACAATACCCTTGCTATTCTTCTTTCTTGTGGCCTGGCCTCTGCCCAGACTCTCAACATTCCCACACGAGTTGGAGATGTTGTTGCCCTTTCTCAGCCTTCCGTCATTAGCGGTTCGGTCGATCTTGGAAACCGCGAGTTTGACCGTGGTGTTACCTGCAAGGATGGAGAGAATGGCGACGAGGATGCAGTTTTCATTCTCAAGAACGGCGCCACTTTGTCCAACGTCATCATTGGCGCTCGTCAGCTCGAGGGTGTTCACTGCGAGGGTGCATGCACCCTGAAGAACGTGTGGTTCCGTGATGTCTGCGAGGGTAAGTTTCCCACGAATTTGCTGACTGGAATATTTTGTTTCCTAACTTGTTGATCCTACCAGATGCCATCTCGGCCCTCGGAACTGGTGATGTCCTCATTCAGGGCGGTGGAGCCCAAAACGCCGACGACAAGGTCGTCCAGCACAATGGCCGTGGAACTGTCACTATCCGCGATTATACTGTTGTCAACGTCGGCAAGCTCTACCGTAGCTGCGGCGACTGCACCAACAATGGCGGCCCTCGTCACGTTGTTGTGTCCAATGTCCGCGCCAACACTCTCAAGTCCGACCTTACCGGCATCAACTCCAACTACGGCGACACTGCTACCATCAGCAACTCTTGCGGTGTTACTAAGAAGGTTTGCCAGGAATACAAGGGTGTTAAGAAGGGAGACGGCAAGAGCGAGAAGGTCAGCACTACTGCTAACTGTCTGGGAGGCCAAGGAAAGCTTTCCAAGCTGCCTACCTGTTAAGTGAAGTCTGCGTGTGACACCTAAGTTTGACTTTGTTCATCAAATTGGCAGAGGCAGTTCGACAAACAGAAGAAACCCAAGTTGAAAATTGGGGTTGGGGAGTACTCGAATGGTTTCTAGTTCAACTAAAAAGTCTGCAGCAGTGCCGATACCTCACATGTAACTAGAAACTACAATATAACTTGACATTGCCTTAGTAGACAAGAACTTACTTTATTCCGTTCTGTGATAGGTAGTAAATATATTCGCGGAGTTCTAGCTCTAGCATTGAGAAGACATCTTTCGTATACCCTTATCTGCCTAATGCCAGTCTCAGACGCCTTTGCATGACAAGAGAACACAAAAAATTCTAAATTTCATAAATAACCACGTTTCATCCCTGAAGATTTTAATATGTTGCCTATACTCACCTTAACAGGAAGCGATGTATAAACAAAGATTCTAATTAAATCACTCATCTACCATATACTCTAACGATAAATCTAAATCAAAGCTAACCTATAGGTAATAATAAAGAGCAAAGTCCAAATATCAAATGCGATCTCCCCGGAGGAAAAAGACCGAAAACCCAGTCACTGCAACATGATATATCCCAGCTTCCAACCCCAACTGTCAACCATCGGTTCCTCGGTAAGGGCCGCCTAACTTTCATATGGCAATGATGTTGATAACACCATCCACGGTGAGACTACGTCTTTGGCCACTGAAAGCTTCCTAAGCTCCACCACGAGGATCTTGGCAAATGTCATTCTGGCAGTTTCCGCTCAAGCACTGATCATCAAAACCGCAGTCTGAGCCATTGATGGCTGACCCACGCTTAGGATCTTGGCAAATACCATTCTGGCAGTTTCCACTTAGACACTGATCATCAAAACCACAGTCTGAACCGTTTATCGCTGATCCACGCTTGGGGTTTTGGCAAATACCATCCTGACAATTTCCGCTCAGGCACTGATTATCGAATCCGCAGTCAGAGCCATTAACGGCCGACCCACCACTCGGCTTAGGCTTTGGGTCCTGGCATGTACCATTCTGGCAGCTTCCGCTGAGGCATTGGTTATTGAAACTGCAATCAGAACCGTTGATAGCCGTTCCGTTGCTCAGAGCCTGGCAGATACCCCCCTTGCAGTTACCGCTCAGACACTGGTCATTGAAGCTGCAGTCGGAGCCATTGATAGCTGATCCCCTGGTCTGCTTTGGCTTGGGGTCTTGGCAGATGCCATTCTGGCAGTTCCCACTACGGCATTGATTGTCAAAACCGCAGTCAGAGCCATTGATAGCGCTCCCACGGGAAGGGTCCTGGCAGATACCATCCTGGCAGTTGTTGCTCTTGCACTGGAAATCAAATCCACAGTCAGAGCCGTTGATAGCCTGCCGAGTAACATGAGGTGCCGCGTTGCTCACGCCAGTCAAGGCGACGGTCAGAGCGATGATGCTGAGGTAATGCATGACTAAAGTTGCGGTTGGTAATAAGGAGTGCTGCTGTTTCGATGGTGGATTTTTATCAAAGCAAGAACCAAATATTGCCTGTGTAAATTTGTTGCTTTGTTTTGACGGCTGGAGATAAGAGGAATAACTATGAAAATTTTGGAGGAAGCTAAAATGAAAAGGATACAGATTGTATGATTGAAAGGCGGATGAGATGCTGAGAAGATTGTATTGAATATTCCGTGGATGTAGCTGGAAAAGGCGAAGCTTTATAGTTTTCTCTTTGCGCTCCCCCAGTGTCATATCTTAGCTGATGAGTCTTGCTAAAAATTGTTTCCATTGACGTACTCCATCTCTTACTAGATACTAGCTGACCAAAACTTGCCCGCATCTGATATTGCTTACCGGCAAACTTACCATCCGGCTCCGCCCCCATGGCAGTGAATATCTCCTAGCTAAGCCACCTCGCGCGGGAGAGACTTACCATTGGTATTGTTGCTATTTTCAAGCTGACTGTGGCGTACATTTACATGACTACGCGAAATATCTGGAGTCAAAGCGACTCTGCGTAGCTAATCAACCAAAGTGCTGCATGACGAAAAGTTATTTTTTAGACCCGATTCTTGCACAACATGTTACGTAGCATAAGGAGCATGGGTCTAGTGAAGGCCTAACAATGGAACTGGCGGTTCTCGCCGCACACTCCGGCAGTAAGCTACTTTGCTGACAGCATCACACGTGAATATGGTAGGCCAAGTATAACGCCACCTGAAGACCAGACATTCGGTACGGAAGTTAATTGCCCTGTCAACAGTACTTTTGTTAAATTAATCTGTTGTACAGAAACCTTCATTTTCTAACCTAGGCACTCTCAATCCCACCGCCGTAAGCATTACATTACCTCCGAGCAGTTTGGTGTTTGTAATGCTGAGGCAGCCAAGACTGCGACCAGTCCGTCCTGGTTTTGGTATCGAGGCCTTGTTTCACAGCCTCCACCCTAGTCATCACATCTATGGAGCACTTACTTAGCAAATATCTTATGGGACCCGTGGTCATGCACTGGTTTTAGGAAGATATGCGTCAAATAGAAGTGTTTTGTTATGACTATCACCTATTTTCTTTTGCCAGACTATGAAACCGTAGTATACCCTCGCCTTGGAGTGTATAAAAACCTCCAAAGACAAACGTGAACTCGCGTTCTAATATCTGCCAAGGCATTTATCTAAAAAAGTGTCTCCACCCCCTCCCCCCCTACCACCATGTCATCCTACACACTGTACAACAGTACAGCATCCAACATCATCTTCAGAACACCCACCAAAGTTTTCAAACGGCACAGATGATCTTTATCCGAGCGTCTGATGAAGCCAGCCAAAGATCACACGAGTCATTTCTTGAAAGGCCCCAGATTGAGTGTGATAACCGGCTTCTCCGGAGAAGAGGTGGAAAGTAGCCTTGTCACCCAGTGCGTCCTTCACTCGCTGTGGTTCGCCCTTGAAGAACCCTTCGAATTCGGCATCAGCAATCCAAACGGGCATATTAATACGGTCAGTAATGCCCTCCAGGGTATATTGCTCTGTTTTCTTTAAGAAGTCATACGGGGACTTGGTCTTGAAAGCCCAAAGTCCGTGTTCGAGACCCCAACGAATACTGGTTGAGACAGTGGAGTTAGGAGCAAGCAGTGATAAGGCGACTTGGTCAAATTCCTTCTTTTCGCCTGCTTCATAGATCTTCAAGAGGTCATCAGGAAGCTGTGCTTTGTATGAGTCGTGAACGGAGAATACACCGCCATTCAAAAGCACAGCTTTTAGCCGTGGCTCAAATGCTGCAGCTCGGGCTGCTAGGTAGCCACCCATGGAATTTCCGTAAAGAGCCAGTCGTTCAGTGTATTTCCGTCGGACTTTTCATTCAATACATAGTCCACAGCAGGTGTGACAACGCGCTCCCAGTCGGGTATGAAACCGAGATCCTGGCTTCTCCGAACGGTAGGCTGTCCCGGTCCCTCGTATGTTAGGGCGTTCCATCCAAGAGCCCGTGCATGCACGACCATAATATGGTATAAATCCTCCTGTGCGGCGTCATATCCATTGCCAATAATCAATGTTGGTCGCTTCTTCTTATCCTTGTCTGCGGAGTACCAGATGGCCTCAACAGTAAAGTTGTCGGCGGGGATCTGAACACGCTCCCCAGGGATGGGCAACGCTGCCAGACCTTTGTTGAATGCGGCTAGCTGCTCGTCCCAATATTGTTTGATAATCGGGTTGTCCCAGTTGCCCTTGGTAAAGGCGTCCGCACGGCGAAAGTAGTTCGCCACGGAGAACCAGGTGTCTCTCACATTGATAGGGTCGTACGCGAGAGTAGGGTCCAAGGCTTGGGTCTTCGTCTTATTGGCAAGCTTTAATAATACTTCAGAGAATGTTTCAAAGTCTCCAAATTTGATATCTTTTGCAGCTGCGAGAAGGGGAGCTATGTCACTCCCACCGCCGATAGCCTGCCCAAGGCCGCCGAGAATCTCGAAATGGAAGGTAGGGTCTTGACTAAGAAGTAGTATTGGCTCCTCCGCACTCGCTGCCTCGGCGAGAAATAGATTCGACACCGCCTGGAGAAGCGAAATGTTGAGAATCATGGAAGCCTTCATGTTCAAAACTAGGAGATGATCAAAAAGGAGAATAGTTAGATGATGAGTTGTTCTGGCCGTTGATAGACAAGACTACAAATCATATGGGGAAGCTGTTTCTTATAAATCCATTTCCAATAGTTTATTCTATACACTTTAATTTTGACACGTTACTTTTGCTCAATACAATTGTTGTTGGCTCACAGCTGAACTATGTCCAAGAACACAGCCGGGGCCTAGAACTAAGCCGAACTGGGGGCTGTTTTAGCGACGAGGTTGACGATCCCTCCCTGACACATCTTACATTTGTCCAGAACTCCGGGGTAAATCATCATCGGGTTTCGCTGCCGGCGCTGCTAACTCCGCACGTTTCCCGAGGATCCGGAGGTTGATGATAGATAGAGTTAATCCCTCTCATACGATTCGCATCGCAAAAACAACCCCGTTTCAAGTACGCACCACTGTTTCCAACTACTCGTATTTGTTTCTCTCATCTAACCCCGGTTCTTTCCCAAACCCCGGTTCCTACGCCGGGAATATGCACACCTTCCCAATTCCGATGCGCTACTGAGTTATGCTTAAGAGAAGTTCCAACCCCGACCAGTCTCTGCTTGGTAATTGAATGGGTACAGCATCCGCTGGCAGGCTACTCTTCGAGGCGGGTTCGGGATGTTTGTTTTTATTCTTAGGGCGGGGACTCGGTATTTGAGCGTTGCTTTGTTGACTTGCTTTAGTTGCGGTAGGTGCCCTGAACTCTTAAACAATACATTATACCAAATGATGCATCACAAGTTTAATGTTGAAACTATGCTCCGGAATTGTTTTAATAACTGACATCGACTGATACGGCTCGAGTTGACAACATTGAATACGTGTTATCCTAACTGATTCACAACATCCGTGACTTTCGGATATTGAAAAGCAACTTTTGGATCTGGGGACCCGTCGCTTTGAAAACCACCCTCCCTATACGTACTGAAGAGGTAGATTCTCTTGTTAGTGATATCAAGAAACATAAAGTTCGTGCTGTCTGTATTCTCTTGATCGCGTGTATAGGGTAGTGTGGCCCCCACGCAACTGCTGCTTTGTCAGCATTCTGGACTGGGGTGAGAGTTACCCTGAGACGGAAATTCGATTAACCGGAAGGATGGGTCAGTCTTTTCCGATGCCGAAGAGTCTCAGATGTTGGTTGCTTCGTTCCTTCGTTGAATCGCTTGATGAGTGCCTGAAGTTAAGGAGAAGAACATGAGGCTTATCATAGGCTTGCTTTCCTGATGCCCAACTTATCTGTTATTCAAGGCTCGCTTGGTGCTTGCTTGGTTCGTAGATAATTGCCATGGAAGTTGAAAGCCACGCGCTCGGAAATCCGTCGTGTTCCGGCTTTCCACCCGAAATGGAAAGTGGGTCAAAACTCAGCCCATTCTTGAGTCTCATATTAACAAACCCGGGGATAATTTGATGAAGAAGCGTGCTTAATACTTACAACAGAGCTCCCAATTACGAGAGACGGCATGCGTACTTTCTATTAGATGACACACGAGAGTAAGCATACTTGATAATAAAAGCGAGCACCGTGAATTTGAACTCCAGAAACCTTAAGTCCAAGTTAGGTAAATGCCAAGCTTTTTGGAAACTGGGGTACTGGACAACCGGAGCTCTGAGGTTGGGGCTGTATTTGGGGAGACATTTTGTGCATCACGTGGAGAGCTTGTCGTAGAAGAGCTCCTCCTGCAATTTTCCAGAGGAGCTATTAAATATAAGTACGTCTAGAGCCGTAGTGTATAGAAATAGGAGGTTTTCCCGACCGGCTATAAGGTTGATCAGCCGAGTAGCGGAATGGGTCTTGCATAGACTGACCGGGGTTCTCGGCTTAACATCTCCCTCGGCGACGGCGCATTGATCGGTCGTGCGTGTCGAATCGTCACCGGGAGAAGGGAATCCAGTAGACATGATGAAAAGACCGGCAGCTTTCACATGTCTCAGGCGGACTATATCCTCGGTGACGGCGGCGGCGACCTCCAAGATCGACATTCGCCGGCTCCGGGACGCAAAGCCCGCGGACCAGGCGGTGCTCCTCCGTCGAGCACTCGCATCGCCAACAGCCAATAATACCTCAATTACGAGCCAGCTCCTCGATTCAGTGGCAACAGGAAGCTTGCCGGATCTGCCTGTACGAACATGGCTGTCCATCGCCGATGACCCTCAGGTCACTGTCGCCGTTGTTTGTCAGCGGCATAGTGTAACTCTTCGACGGCTGGCTATGCCCGTTCTCACGGCCCAGCTTCGCCGTGATGCCACTTTTGTGCCCACGTGGGATGCTCTCGGTGGATCCGAGGGCATTGCCAAGCTACTTGCTCAGTTTAGCTTGACGGACTTACGGTTATTCATCAAAAGTCTCCGTGAGACAGCTCTTGCCGGGGGCCAGACACGGACGGAGCGTCAACAAAGAATAGGAGAGTTGTTTAAGATGCTCAACGATGGCAATCGGAATCCGGATAAACGTCCATTGGAAATGGAATATGCGCATCTTCTGCCAAGCTGCCCGGCTGAAATGGCTCTGGCATGGACAGATCAAAATAGTAGATCTGAGTCTGTGCCACTTAGATGGAGAGAGTTGCTCGCGGATAACCATTTGATCAGAAAGGCTGTACTGAAGCGAATCAACAGAGCACACCGGACCACAATATCTGAGATGAACTTCCGAAAGCCTTTCTCAGCGTCAGAGATCAAAGTGAGTTGGGGAAAAGTCCGACAATCCCTGGCCCATAGTCGAGGCCTGAGGCTGAAAGGATTTCAACTACTGGCCGCAAGCAATGACTTCCACAGGGCACCTATTGGCGATATCAGGGACAAGGTGATCTTACCACTCGCAAGACAACATAGTCGTCGACGCTGTGATCCGAAGGCTGCCTCTGAATTTTGGACCCTGTTAATCGAGGCTTCAGAGGGTTGTCCGGCCTTGCTTGATTACAACGCAATCCACAGCCAAGGAATATTGAGGCATGATTCAGTTCTCAGACATCGGAGGTCTCTCTTCGAATACGCTGTTCGCGCTTGGGGTCACAATTTATTGCCTGACACAGAGCTTGCAGCCTATCTCGAAACATTTCCTGACAGAGAATCAAAGCGGATCTCAGTTGAAGTTATGTTGAAGCAAGTTCCAAGGGACAAACGGTATGCATTCCTGCGTTTATTCCTTAAACACAACCGAGGGTATCAGCTGGACATTGGACCATCTTCCAGCCGCTTAAGTGATATGCTCAGGGAACTCAAGATCAGCATAGAGGTCTTCCTTCTTCTCCCCAGGCCCGAAGCTATAAATTTGTTTGAGCGCCTTCAAGACGCACACCCTGGATACGGTTACTCTGCCCTCGAGCCTTGGAATTACAATGATTCCGAACTGGGGAATTTGTTCCAATTCAGTACAAACAATGAAGATGAGTCATTGAATCCGGACGGCCCAGCCCTGCGGGGATTTCTCCTGCGCAACCTCTCAAATAGTCCTACTCCCTGCCTTGTCGATCCTCGCCACGTGAGAAATCATTTACGAGTAACTGAGCTCTCGCGCCGAAAGTCGTTATCCCAGCAAGGGCGCACGGCAGAGGTTAGGGCATTCTGGGCAATTTCTGCCTGTCGGCTTTGTATTGCCATGGGCGATATTGATGCTTACATCGATACATTGATATGGGCGCGTCGCTTCAACAAAGATGCCATGGTACTAAAACTTCTATATGATGACCAACAACTCCACATACCGCCCCTGTTACGTCTTCTGTCTGCGATGGATGCTGGGCATACAACAACAGATATTCAGGAGAATATGCGAAAGGCAAACAAAGTCCTCATGACGCTTCTTGAAACAGCGGCCATGACGGTTGATTTACCCTCTTTCTGTCGGTCTGATTGGGAATCGGTGTATCAGCTCATCCCCAAGGTCGCTGAACTTCGCTTGAAAGGCTATCAAAAAATGAAAGTTCAGATGAGATGGTCCGAAGAGCAAGTCTTCAATGTGATTCTACAACCAACCTTGGATACGATGGTTGCAGCAGAGTCGTTGATTCTTCGGCCCGGGAATCAGCGCCTGGGGTTTCAAAATCCGAATGGATTTGCGTTATTTAGCAAGTCTTCATCGACGATGGAGTTTACTCCAATGATCGTAAGATTCTTGGATATGTTGGCAAAAAACCGGGACAGTCTTTGGGCTGGATACCGGATGAGACTCGATCCTGAAGTTTCCAAACTTCAATCACCATGGCCAAAGGGACTCCCGGTTCAGTGTCTGTGGCCACAACATCACATCAGTCAGGCTGGTGATGCTTCGTACTTGCAGAAGCGAGCTCAGGACGTCGTGTTTTGTGACCCGCAGGTGGCTTTGTCTCCAGCGCCGGGCTCTGCCAAGGCTCACGCTTGTATTGGCGTTTTCGTCGACGATTGGAGTGTGGCGCTTCGAGTCTACCTTCATGGCAAAAATGGCGACTCTGAGTACGAAACGCAGCTTAAAACGGCTTGGGATTACGCACTCCATCATCTCACCGGTGATAGAATGTCGACAGAAGAGGCACAAAGATTCTGGGCTCGGGTGTTTCCTTACTCTCCTTTAATAGCCAAGGTTCTTGATGAGGACGCCCCCCGTCGTTGTTACGCGAATATCCCTAAACATGAAGCCAATGAACCATCAAGAACAACAAAATGGGACCCTGATCCAAGTTATAACGCCATGACTGCATATCGAAAAGATGAGAGACGCCTCCGAGTCGCGACAGTCCTCGACTCTATGGTCAAACCCGGCTGGAAGATGGGCACTCACTGGACAAAGCGGAGACTGACTTGGATGGAACCGATAATTCCGAAGCATTCGAAAACTGTGCTCGACTTCTGGCATCCAAAAACCTTATCACAGTGTCCAGGGTCTGAGCTGGATAGTCAGATGATGGCGGCTGTCTTGTGTCTAAACAGTACACACGGAACGAGTTGTGTACTCTCTGAGCAGCTGAGTTTAGACAAAAATCAGACCTTCGACTCTAGACTACTCTTATCCAAAGGGTTTCTTGAGAGAGAAAGCATGATGTTTGATAAAATAGTCTCATCTCTCAGACTGAACCGCTCCCGTCTTCCTCCTCAACTTCTGGAAGGGCTTGGAATATCTATCCTGCGGCGAATTCAGGAAGATCCAGTCAAAATTGAGGGAGCATATGAACTTTTTTACATAATTGTTCGGATGCTGTCGGATGGGCCACAACCTTCACTCGCTAGCTCACTCATTAAGGAGTTCATAGTAGAAGTCCCCCAAGCTAGTGATTGGCATCGATATCTATTGAGCTCTCATCACTTGAACCGGCTTGAGCCCAAAGATGCGGAGGCCTTCATCGAATCGCTATCCGGTGGTATAGTAGAGAAGCTAAGATTACAAAAAGCAAGACAAGCATCGGAAACTGGCCACACAGTCTCGGAATCTCTGATCCGAGTGTCGACAGTCAAGTCTGTGGAGCAACTCCTGCGAGGGAAGAACTTCACTACGTCACAAAAAGCTGTGAATATCCTCGGGGAGATACTAAGGCATAGCTCCCATGTCGAAATACAGGTGGCTGCGATAAAAGCTCTCACCGGATTACTCACAGACGAATGTGACAACATGGATGTTTTAAGCCTCTTGGAGCAATATGCCGTGCCCATCGCCTCTGCGCTCAACGAAAGGCACCCCGATATCGAGTCGGAATGGAAATCAGCCAGCAACGGAGGAGAACTCCCGCTTGTTGATCATAGTCAGGATGGTCATACTGTGTTGGGCATGCTCATGCCCAGGAAACGCAAGCCTTGCAGTGATGCGCTGCTAAAGCTTGCCACCAAGGCCCTCCGCATATCTAGCCAAACTAATTCACGATGGCTAGCTGTGTTCATGGAGAAGTATGGCTTTGGAAATGGAGCTTCGATGCTGCCTAAGATTCCAACCTGCCCCGAGAAGTTTCTAGAGTTGCTGCGACAGAACAATCCTCACAGCATATCGGTGGATGATTTTACCATAATTCGGGACTATGTGCTATTTCTGCTCGATCAACCGAAGGATATTCGAGATTTCACTACTTACGTACAGAACAATCGAAGATTAGCAAGTTCCAACACTGGCAGACACTGGATTCACTTGTGGTCCAAAACCTCTAAGGAGGCATTGGACTTGGGCGGAGGATGGGCAGCAGAGATTTTGGCCTCTAGCACCGTTAGCCAAATTGATGGCAAGACCTCAAAGGTTTCGTCCATGGCAGAAGACTTTGTGTTGCGCATGGCTGAGATAGCGATATTACGTGGAGATTTGGCCCTCTTTGACGATATTGTCTCCCGGATACCGACAAGTGGTCCAGAGGGAGCCCAGGGGAGTGCAGGTTCTGACAGGGTTATCAGGCAACTGATCAAGAGGATTGATGAACTTAGAACACCAGAATGGCAAGCTGACCACTATCGGCGACCATCCGCATTGCCAAATACGTTGCCTCTGAGGCTGAGACTCTTGAATCTCTCACATGGCGATTCCAAGGCCGTTGCGGAGATGATTGTGCAGTTGTTGCGTGAAGTCACAACAGGTGGCAGGCTGTATTATGACGATTTCGAGATCATAAGGACGCATATTATGACAGCAGTCTCTAAGCAATCAGCGCCATCGTTGGCTATTGCTCTAGGAAGTCTTGATAAATTAGATAGCCGGGCCACTCCAACCCAGGCAGATCATCTCCGCACCAGGCTTGCAGCAGAGCTTCTTGGCTTTGACAATTTTGACAAAGAAAACGATAGCAATGGTGAGGCAAAAGATAAAAATGGGCTGGAGATCTGGGAAATGCTGAATAAATGGAGCATGAGCCCGATTGAAGAGTTTAGAAACTTGGCTTGGCAGATGAATGTCCAGGTTCGCTAGACTTTAATTATTGTATACTACGAAAATTTGGGACGATAATGTCTTGAGAAGATGAGAAAAAAGCAACATAACAGGCTATAGCAAGGAGGAAGTGATAGAGTTTCTCTATACGTCGCTCCAAAAAAAGTCGTATCATCATAAATGTAGCCATTAAGCTATGCACCTCGTTCACGCGGGTTCAATCTTGATAAGAAAACTCAGCGGAGAAGTGGCAGCTACGCATCTGTCTTCTTCAATAGCCTCCTTGATGTCGGATTCGAAAATCGTCTTGAGCCTCCGCAAATGACTTTTCTTCGTGTGGTCAATCTCGACCTCAGTTTTCATATCATCAGGCCCGTTCAATGTGCAGCGAATATCTGATGATGTGGCATCGTCAAAACCGCGAACCAGTTCATCCCTGAGCTGCGCCAATGTCATATCTGAAAATATCGCTTTCGATTCCCACCATTTGGCCACTTTAGGCCTATGCGATTTGATGGCATGGTACCATATCTCGGGTTCTGGGGGTATCCGCGAATCGGCCGAACTAGTATCCTCCGGGGGAGTTAGATCAGTTTCCTGTCGCCTTTCTGACATTGCGGACGAGTAATGTGGAGCGTCGTCTGTGCATACCACTGCAGCTTGAGGCGCACGAGGATGGGTCCTTGTCGATAGCTGGCCTTGAGACACTGCCGAGCAAGGGGAAGCAGAAAGCCTGGATCTGGACATGTTTTCAACAGTCCTGTTGAGTGGCGATCTTAGTTGATTGAACCGCAATTCGGAAGCCAATGCAGAGTTCTCTTCACGAGCCTGAGAGGGTAACCTCTTCTCGCTATTATTTTTATCTTTGCCCCGTCTATCCACGTCATTGGAAGGTTCAGTCGAAGCAGATATCGCTAGGAAGCTCTCTTCAGCTAGAGCTCGGACTTCAGCTTCTTGCTGGGGGCTAAGCATTCGGGTGTCCGAAAGCTCAGATAAATCCGAAAGAGACGATTCGGGTTCATCCGGGTTGCCTGACTCTCGCGCGAGTTTCGTTTGATTGTCGTTGTGGGTGTGATTTGCGTCTGTGTTCCTGGACGAAGTAGGCGTCCTTGGCGTTGCGGCGTGGTTGCTTTTGCGCTTTTGATCCGCCTGACGGTCGCTCCTCTGCTTATGCATGTTCTTCGCGAAGAACATCTTGCACATCGTCTCTTTGATTCTGTATTCAACGTTAACAATGAGTTGGACGAACGGGGTAAGAGGTGAGCTTAACTTACTTCTTCTCATCCCGTGGCCAGATGAGGCTCTCGTTATATAATGGATAGGATTCATCTCCCGGCCAAAGTATTGATCCGTCTTGGCTGAGAAATCGAGAAGTCATTTCCAACAAGAATTGTTGGACGCTAGGTCTCTTGAAGTCGCCCCACGCCTTGACCGTTGGGCACTTTTTGGGATATTGAGTAGTGAAAAAATCCACGTATTCTTTCAGTTTTGTGCTTCCACCCCTACCGGCCCTCTTTTGCCCATAGTTTAATTGCTCGCTTAGCTCCTGAATGCTCGGCATTCTGTTTTGCCTCGACATATCAGTGGGAGGTACCTAGTCGAAATTGGCGCATGAAGAGTTCAAGCAAACCCCGCGATGATGTTGCAATTGTAAAAGCTGAAAGGCGGTGACGTGGATTCTAACCCTTGAAATGCGACCCTGTTTCAGTATGGCCCGGTTGCGGCCGCCGGTTGGTTCAAGCTGAGCGGTTACAGCCAATAGTTTTCGCTCGGCGGCTAATTTTCAAGACACTGAAAAGAACACACCGAGCTTCGTCAACTGGAGGCGCAGCAGCTGCGGTGCAGTGCACCAGTGCGACCTGCAGACCGGCATCATGCGATACTTTATCCTCAGTAGTCATTATTCATTCAGCCCAGGGGGCGTAACCCAACATTCGAGGGCTTGAAATCTTCTTGACTCTAAGTAGAGTCTCTCTCGAGGGTTTAAAACTTAGATATGCGTAATAATTTTGACCCATGCGGAGCCATATATCGTTTCCCAAAGATATGCATAATTGATTAATCAATTCTTAATATAACAAGCAACATAATTTGAACTACTGTTAGACGAGATATTAGATGTAAACTCTCCATCTGCAGGTCCTGAGATGGTCCAAGATTACAACCTTCACACGGCCTATTAGATACGATAATACGTTGCTTTTAAAACGACATAAGTGAAATTGAGCATAATGTTGATCGTCGAATGAATGTTCTCTTTGAGCCGCATTTAGGTACCTCGATGACCTGGTCCTATGGTTCCTTGTCAAAATTTTTCCTCTTGGACTGGTTTCTTGATCCAATCACGTAGATTGTTCAAGGAGAGAATATCATTCTCCTTTTCAGAAGTGGAGAATACCTGCTCATCCCAACCTGGGGAGCCGAGTGAATCCAAATTCTCCCCAAAAGGGCGACAAGACCCAAAGCCAACCAGAATTGGCTTGTTGCCTTTAATCATGATGTTGTTGGGATTGATATCATTGTGGGCGAGGCCTGATGCGTGTAAATGGTTTACAGCTGATTCAACGTCATCAACAAACTTGTCTTTGTCTAGTTGGTTGAACTCCGGGGTGTTGACGTATTGGTTCAAGGTTCGTTCGAGGCGCTCCAACCAGATTGCTGTAAGCCGACCCCGTTTCACTCGACAGCCAAGGTACTGAACGAAGCTTGGATGCGGTGATTTTGATAGTTGCTCCATTATCAATGTTTCTTTTAGAAACGACTGGAGGATGAGACTGTTATCGGTACCAGGAGAATAAGACTTCAGCCGTGGGCGCTTCAGGAAAGCTGACTTCTCTGTCAGATTATCAGGCACAAGAGTGAGGTTGGCGTCTGCAGGAGCTTCAGGCCAGATCTTCTCATCGGGAACGCGCTTGAGAGCTGCATTGTATTCCGGGATCGATGTGTCTACTTTGTCCTTCGACATTACCCCGAAATAAAATTCGTCGTCATTGCTGATATGATAAAACGTGGTTGCTTTGAGTTTATTCGCCCCGCGCTCATAGTTTTCAAGAATTGTCAGGTCTTGAAGAGACCGAACGAGCTGTGGCTCCTTGTTTGCAGATTGTGCAAACATGGTTCCAATTTCTCTGCAATGCGGCGGGAAGATTGAGAACGACATGATGAAGAATACGTTCGGTACTTGCAGGTGTGGACCCCTGGTAGACTTGGTCCGTTTGTTGGGCGTATATGAAGGGTAAAATATGTTTTCTAGATGCTGTGGCAGTCTAATCGAGACTGATGCCAAGGTTCCAAAAGCTGCTGATCGGCCGATCACTCAGCTATCACGTAAACATTACATGGGTACGTTGGTTGTATTTCAAATCCGGAGATGACCACTCAGACGATAGAGAACCATGCTTCCCCTAGACTTGCCTGTCAAAATCCTACACAAGACATCCATCACGGCTTCTTTTAGGCTGGACGTTGGACTACAAGATTCGTCATACCAGAGATATGGTCTTAATTTCTCATCAATTATTCCTCATCACCAATCATATTCTGGCCCTTTCTGTGAATAATGGTTCATTTATTGTAGTCAGTTGGGATTGTCCAAGCCAGCCTCGAATCCTGCCATTCAAACATCAAAGCAGCATAGCTTCCGTGGTATATATGGAGAAGGCCGCTGAAGGGCCGAGCCTGAGACGGAGTTTTCATCTAAATTCGACATTGCCTCTCCTCCACGATATGAGATTTCTAGTTGCCCTCTACTTGTAGTTTTTGTCAGGCAATAGACATGAATCTCATCTTGCTTGCGTTGGGTTATAGTAACATTGCGCCCATTGCTGCCACATTCGAGTGTTTGCTAACAGCCCTATTAACTACTATTCTCTTTAAAAAATGAGTGTTATGGTCCCAATAAGCTGATATCAGTCATGTATTTGGTAAATTTGAATTAAGACAGGTTGGAAAATTAGAAGCTAAACTGTAGAATTGGACGAAATCAAGTTATAGTATCGGCTGTAAGCGGCGAGCGCAACACACCACGAAAGTCCTTCATATTAAAACAGCTAGTTATACATCCTCATCATCGTAATCAGTGCAATGCATCATATTATCTTATCCAACACAGGCTGTAAGCATTTCATTAGCATATGGGACGTCTCAAGATCCAAAGTTCGCCGGGCTCGCCGATCGTCGGCGGACATGCCGATTGCTAAGTTCCGACGGAAGCTTCCTGTCTCGAGGTAATTGAAGCGGATCTCGACTTCGCTCCAAAAGTGCTGGCTACTCTTATCGACCGAGCCCCGTCTATCGAGAATCCAATGCGCCATTCTTGTTGATACCCTGATCTCGCGGCGAAGCTCATGGATGCGTTTCTCCTCAAGGGCAAGATCCTCCGGTATCCAGCGTGGTGGGGATATGCAGGTCAGGGCTTCGCTCAGCCGTATGGCAAGGTGATCCAGGGCGGATCGTGGCTCTTGAGACGGAATAATTCGATGTTTGAAAGTCCCCCTGCTTGATTGCCCGTCTAGGCTGTCTTGGGAGCTGCCATCTCCTTGATAACTTGAAATTGTGACGAGCGCAGCTGCTCTGTCAATCGGCACACTCCCCGAAGATATATCGATATCTGCTAGGGCGATCGCTATTGGCTTCATCCGAGTTTCACGGGACCTCTTGCTGTCCGGTTTACATGCTCTCACCAACAGATCTCCAGGGTCTTTTCCACACTTCTGCAGCACGAGCTCCAGAAGATCATGGCCGGAGAAGCACCACGCCCAACTACAGTGTTGTTGAAAGAATGGATCCCGAAGGAGTGACGAGATAGTCATCGCACTCAGAGCACGGACTGCTTTGACGATTGTTGAGTCTACGACCTCCACGGAAACGTAACCTTTTCTCATCAACCATGGAAGGGAGCAAAGGCTGCGCGCACCGGCCGACGCATCTGAGGAGTCAAGAGCGAGAATATGTTCAACAATCTGGGACTTTCCTTTGAAGGCAGCCAGCCACAACGGGGATGCAGATATGGGATCTGAGGATGATTGTAGGCCGGCGGGTTTGTACTCTGCCAATGCATTGACAACAGCTGGGTCGTGATATGCGAAGTTTAGGAGAGCTCGCATTTCTTGAAGACATCCTTCGCCATTCTCTTCGACCCGGGGACGTGATATTGCTAGGAAATGGACGACGGAGAAATTGCGGTATTCGGAGTTGTGTGCTTTGCAAACGGATTTTGTTGCAGCAGCACTGAAGAGACAGGCGCCTTTAATGAGGTGATTTTTGATGCAATCGAAGCAAATTGCCTCCTCGGTGACATAGTTGTCTTCGAGGTAGCGAACACCTAACATAGCTGCCTTCTCAGGATCAGCGGCTGCCAGCTCAATCATAGCCTGCTGACACTCAAAGAAGCCCCTCGCAGTAATGGAGGAGTTCTCCGGTGGTGTTGTTTCCTCTTGTATCCGCATGACATGGTTGCCGGCCAATTTCATCCATAAACCCGCCCAGTGACTCTCTTCTTTGTCCTTTGTCGCTTTGCAGATGTCATAAACAAGCTTTATGGCGGCCAGTGTATGTCTGTCATCGTCACCAAGAGTGGTTTGGAGCATTGTGACGGACTCCAATGCGTGACTTTTGGCTGATGTCCAGAAGCTGATCTTAGAGTATGCCTCCGCGAGTGACTTGTGAACAAATGGAACCTGCTTCTGGTCGGCGTTTGGGTGCGTGATCGCATGCTCCAGGGTCCTGATGGCATCTTTGAACCTTCTCTGACCCATGTATGCTTTTGCCAGCCGTAGTCGTGGGCTGAGATCAATGTGGTTTTTCTGTCCTTCTTCTGTTGCCGCGACCGGAACTAGCGGATCTAGCTTTTCTTGTTCGAGGATTTTGATGGCATCCTCAAACATTTGCTTCTTCAATAACCAGTCAATCTTCTTTGATAGCTCGACAGCGACAGTTGCTTTCAGCTCCGCGTCCCGTGAAGTATATTTCTGAGCTTCTGTGCTGAACCCAGGGCTATTCACGATCACTACAGCAGCAGTCAAACGAACCACCTTCAGATGGGATGGATCAGAGAGCGAATCCATGTTGTCGAGCATTAGTCGAACTAGGGGGACAGCTTGGTCATCCTCACCCCTCCTCACTAGATCTTGGATGACCTCAAGGCTGCTTGCCATCATTTCAAGCTTCAAATCTTTTGATTCGGAACAGAATTTACTGATAACTCCGATCAACGAAGGTGTCATGACACTGAATTCGATGCTGTCGCGTATGAGTGTGATCTGGTCCTGATGTGACAGCTTAGTCGGTTGACGCAAAAGGAACAGTAGATCTGACGAGGAGTCTGTTGGTTGATTCTCGTTTAATGACCTAGTTGAAACACCTGACCGGTTCTTTCTCAGATCAGATCCGAGGGTGGAGTTTGTCCGTCGAATGTCTGTTGTTGTTGCTCTTTCCTTTGACGTGGAAATAGTTGTGCCGGAAGCTGGTTCTTTAACCAGAGGAACCTGCGCTGTCAGAGGTGATAAGAAGCTTGAATTCTGGGTTGTAGGACCCCAGCTTGCAGATGGTGCGTCTGTATCGGTTGCAAAGGTTTGACTGGCTCGAAGCCAATCATTTTGAAGATCTGCGCCCAGCCTGTTTGGAAAGACATGCAATCTGTTAGAAAGTGTAAAGCTTCGTCCATCATGCTGAGAACTCACAGGGATAAATCATTCGATCCATCGTTGGGCACATCATTTGATACCTCCCCGGCCTTGGCCAACCATTCATGGAGACTGGCTTGGTATGCACCCATTCTTTTGTCAGGCTCGACTTGTAATAAATCAACGATGAACTTCTGACTGGTTTTGCTGACACCTTTCTGTTTCAATGGCGATTCTAGTTTGAGGGCGCGAGCTTCTTGGCTGGAGGACAAGTATTGCGAAAGGGTTGTTAGATCTTTGAATGGTACTTGCCCCGTGAATAGTTTCATGCTCAATATGCCTATTGACCACATATCGGCAGGGAAACTTGGTTTTGAGTTATCCTCATTCATAGCAGCGTCGTTACTACTCAGGCCTATCTGCTCAGGCGCTGCATAGCCAATCGTCCCGACACCAACCGTATTGAGAAACTCCTGGAGGAATCTTTGTTTGCTGATACCAAAGTCTGCTATCTTTACGGACCAGTAAGGTCCATTTGAGATCACCATGATGTTCTTTGCGTAATTTATTAGTCAACAGCTATTCGTTAACATGTGTTGTAATGCTTACGCTTGGTTTCAGGTCTCTGTGTATGAATCCTTTCTCATGCATATAGACAATACCCTCCACGACCTGTGAGATGATCTGGCGGACTTCGTCTTCAGGAAGCGGCGAATAAAGATGGCGGCTGAGATCACCCCACTGGTGGTATTCCATGGCGATGAATATCGAGGAGTCGTTCTCAAACCAACCATGCGATTGGACGAAGCAATGCGAGTACTAGGCTTATTAGAACAGGATCTTGGGAATCCGGCGTCAGATCTCTTACTTGGGGCCGGGAAAATTGGACTATAGCTTCTAGCTCTCGCAAATAGTCCATCACTCTCTGTTGTTGATCATGCTTCTTGATCTCCTTGACGGCTCTCATCCTGGAACTTGACTGCTGACATCTCTCAAGCCTGACGGTGCCAAAGCTACCACTGCCTAGGATGGGCCGTTTCGCATCCAGATTCCAATTTTCGACCCGTCGCGTCGGCACTGACTGCCCGCCGGCGCCATTGTGGTAGATGTGCTGTGTGCTGCTATCAAGAAAGCTGGTTTCTAGTCTGGCTTCGGCTACCAGATCCGACAGCTTTCTTGCCAGATCTTCGGCACGTTCGGTTGGCATGCTGAGGTATCGAAATTATGAAATTTCTGCTGCAGATACCGAAGGTAGTAGACAGGCAGAAGACCCCACAGCCAGCCTGGGGGGCGGTTAGATTAATCTCGAAGTATCAATGATGAGACTATCGGCAAGAGAGCATATCGCGAGCAAGTGGTAGATCAAAACACCTGTCAGCTGACAGAGTAATTGGGCAGCTGTCAAACGAGGGCGTGGCAAGTGTCGAATGCAACATGGGACCTGACCAGGGTTTCTTCGTGTGTTACAGAGTCTGCACAGCACAGACAATGCTTTAACAGGGCCACGTCGATCCTTAATTTTGAGCCCGTATACGTAAGATTATTAATACTACCTGATCCCTCAGATTGAATGGTCCTGGGCTTGGATCTTTGGAGGCAATCATCACAGCGATTTTCGCGGTCCATCACATAAACCGCGCTTTCGATTGGAGCGATTTCAGACATTCAGAACTGTGCCGTGTATGGCGCGGGTAATACCGGCGGGATACGGAAATGACCAAGGCTACAATGGAACGAGAGATGTTGCATAGAGCGGAGATTATCTGGAAATACTCATCGCTTAGGTTGTTCTTGTCGAGGAGACGTCTTGTAGGTCACATTTGCAGAGAACAATTGGAAGAAAATGACCAAAGAAACGAAGGAAGAAGAAGACTTGTCTCATTTCTCATTAGACTGATTCCCGTAAGGTCTGTGCTGCGCAATTCGTTGACGTTTGACGGATTCTCTAGGGGCCGCGACAGGGACCAGGATACGAAGAGTTCCGAAAGCGATGATCAAGACTTAGTTCGCCACCGCCTCTACAACTGCCCCGGCAGCTCCTTGATTCAAGTTATCCAGGATTTCCATGTCCTCGTCGTCGAGGGAAAAGTCGAACACGTCGGCGTTGGCTTTGATCCGCCCAACGTTGTCGCTCTTGGGCAGAGGAATCCAGCCCTTTTGCAGGCAGTACCGAATAAGAACCTGGCTGAAGGCCACGTGGTGCTTCTCAGCAATACGCACAAGTGTGCTGTCTTGCGATTTCTTGTTTTGCACCAAAGGAGAGTATGCCTCTACCGCGATGCCATGCTCACGGCAGTAGTCGACAATTTCTCGTTGCTGGGAAAAGGGGTGCAACTACAGCGCATTTACATTAGCTGCCTGTGTGATGGTAGAATGATGAGTGAGTTCATGGAAGACGCGTACCTCAATTTGGTTTACATGAGGTGGCCAGACCTTGGCAAACTTTCGCAGCTCCTCGATATGCTTGATGCCAAAATTGCTGACCCCGATGCTCTTTGCTTTCCCTTCCTCGTAGAGCCTCTCCAGAGCCGTCCACATTTCCTTTCGATTCTGCTCTCCGCCGCAATTGGGGCTATGGATCAAGAACAAATCCACGTACCCATGCTCAGGGTCTAGTTTGCGCACGCTATCCACGCACTTTTCGTAGCTGAGATCATTTGACCCACCTGGATAAAGGATCTTGGTCGTCAAAAAGACATCTTGGCGACGCAGGCCAGACTGCTTTACAGCTGAACCAACCTCGGCCTCGTTTTCGTAGTACTGCGCCGTGTCGATATGCCGGTAGCCATTCTCCAGTGCGGTCAAGCAGGACTGCGTGCAGATACTCGCAGGCGAAAGATAGACCCCGAACCCAAGCTGCGGAAGCTTGTTCGAGTTAGAGAGCGTGATGGAGCTGTTGATTGACAGAGGCTGCATTTTTGACAGGCAATGATATGGGTGAGCAATATGGCAATGTAGGTATTGAAAATTTCTTTACAGAATAAACAATAGATTAAGAATGAGGGGTCGGAGTCGTTCTGATAGGACTACTTAAAGTTCAGATTGCATAATGACGTGGATGATTTCGCCATGTGTGACGAAACGCTGCATCTGCTAGAACGGGACAGAGATGCAGCATTGTCTTACCTCTTCGTAGACTGCAGCTTCTCCCCGCCTGAGTTTGGTTTGTGAAGGAATATCTAATATGCTACAGGCCATCATCAGTTCATTATTTTCCACACCGTTACAGGCACTAATAATCACGCCCTTCTGCCCGTTTATTGTATGCGCGAGTTGAAAACCCGCGATGCCATATGGATGGATTAGTACCATCCAACTCCACTCCGAGTCGCTGAAGTTGATACATCACAAATTATGTATGGCCAGCTTGATTGAAGCCGTAGGAAATAATGTTCCCGCACGGAATAGAGGAAGAGAGCCCGAGTATGATGTGGAGCCATCCCACGAGCAACGTTGGCCAGTGTCATTTCGAGATATCTCTAACATGATCCGGATATATATGGAGAGCTTTTGAAGTGACGTGAAACTTGGATGGACTTTGGCATATCAACTAAAACCTTACAAGTGAGTGGTGGCTCTTAGCGGCGGTTAGGAGTGAGCCATCATGGGAAGCGACAATATGTACCCAACAAAGAACACTTACGTCCCAATCGCCAATGACTGTCCTCATAAGAATTAAAGTGCGCAATTCATACAGCTCATACGCGACTGCTTCGGATATAAATGCTCGGTCAGCTTGGCATGCTCTTGACAGCACATATGGGCTTGCACACTACACCCGCAGACAGACCTTAACTCACAACAATCCACCACGTTAGACGCCCACCACGAAACACATCATCATCAATGAGACATTCCATCATCAACCGCAACACAAAGAACTGAGCTAAATCAGGCCATTGAACCGTGCCGCTGGTGCCTAGCTGACGTAATCATGGTCCTCTTCTGCCTAAGAAGTCCCTCATTTGCCTTCAGCCTGAGCGAACCATCACGACTATTACCCATCAAATTCACATTTCATCCTTATAATTCCCCTCGTGAGCCCGATTTCGTTACTGGGTACGAACCAAATACATCATGGCATGGACTGCGTCTACGAATCCCGAACAGGAGTACTACGAGCCGGTCCATTCTGTTGATGAAAAAGCATTGCAACTTGCCGATCTCATCAAACAAAGCAAGCACTTCATCGTCTTCACCGGGGCTGGCATCTCGACATCGGCAGGTAAGTTATCATTCTCTAGGAAAATATGGACACTTCAAGTGATAGTTGATACCAGGAATTCCCGACTTCCGCGGTCCTGATGGCACATGGACACTCCAGGCGCAGGGGCGAGATAGAATTGGCCCGACGACTGATACTCTTCAGGCGATCCCGACCTTGACACACATGGCGCTCGTCGAGCTACAGAACCGCGGGCTGTTAAAACACGTAATTAGCCAGAATTGCGATGGTCTGCACCGGCGGAGTGGGATCTTGCCGGTATGTGAATCTCATGTTTTCACACGCCATCGTCAGCCAGCCAATGTTGATGAACCGGTAGGAGAATATCTCAGAGTTGCACGGCAATAATAATCGAGAGTATTGCAAAGACTGCGGAAAAGACTACATCCGAGGTACGATGGAATCATATTGGCGATATCACACGCGAAAAGCCAATCCTCCCATCATCAGAGAAAGCTGACATGCTTTAGATTTTCATGCTACAGCCACCTACCAGATAAGTGTTCACGACCATCGAACAGGCCGCCAGTGTTCCCGGTGTGGCGGGGACCTCCACGATAGCATCATAAACTTCGGAGAAGCATTACCTGAGGATGTCTTGGACATCGCGTTCGAGCACGGCCAGAAAACGGACCTATGTATTGTCCTCGGTTCATCCCTGAAGGTCTCACCTGCCAACGAGATTCCTGAACAGATTGGCTTTCGCCAACATTCACTCCGTTGGCCGGCTACGTTGGCGATTTGCAATTTGCAGCCAACACCGCACGATGATCTTCCCGCTATCCGCATCTTTGCAAAGACTGATGACCTGATGGATAAGGTGATGGAGCACCTTGAAATTCCCATCCCACCATTCATTCTTCGCCGACATGTGACTGTGACTGTGAAGATAGAGAATGAAGCTCACATTACCACTCTGATCAATGTCATGGGGATAGACACCGATGGAACACCGGCATCCATTCTCCGAACCGTCAAACTACTCGATTATGATTATTGCATGGTTACGGAACCGTTCATAGCGTCTATCGGTGGCCCTTTGCAGATGGAAACTGTAGTCAATATTGAACTTGAATTCATGGGTCACTACTGCGAGCCAAAGCTTATCGTACCACACAAATTCAAAGGGCCGGGTGCGAGAGAGTGCACCTATCTGCTGGAATACGATCCAAGCACAAGACAATGGGAAGTGACCCCAGAGACGACGGTGCAAAGCACACACGTGTAAGGTAGTTATTCGATAGCCTGAGCTTTCAAGACATATTCGATAAGGAAACAGGAATCAACATTTACCAAAGTGATCAAGTGAAATTCAATGCCCATGTTTGGCCCGCTTCTACCCACTCGAATCTCGTCCTTCCCGCCTCAATAAGGTCAAGAGTGAGTAGTCCAACGCATTCTTGAGCAGTGCAAGGTATCCTATAAATTCCATAGAATGCGCCGTTCCATCTTAATTTGCTAGTCTAGATCCTGCCGGATGCGTTCGGTGTGGGCAGCTGAAGATTGCACTGGAATGGTTCGCTCGTCGCAGGTAGAAACGCTGCCCATGCCCAATCATTTTAAGTCATTTCCACATTAGAAGGTTTTCACTCCCGTGAATCCAGTCCCAACTTGACTAATGAAGATCCCCATGAATATCGATAGATGAGCTTGAATGAGCCCCAGATCCGGCACGGTTGTTGGGACTCTAGCCCAGTTATGTAAAGAAACAGACACTAGCCCACTCCAGGCTGGGTATTACCTTTGGACTAGCAATGCAGATCGATTCTTTTACTAGCCTTCTCTACTTTGAATAGTTTGCACTCGGGCCAATATCACGTAAGGTACGTAGGCAAATATGCGAGTCATTGAGTTCGAGGGCTATAAAAACGCCACCCCCTCATCGCGCAAACTTACCAGCTTTTCCCTCTACGTTGACAAACACGGGCCAACGGACAGAAGATATTTCAATATGGCCTTTAACGGGACCGCAAAAGACATCC